CTTATTATTATAATTACTTAGTTATAATTTGTACTTACGCACTGTATTGTAATTTATACAAACACTGGCTGACCCGACACACTTAGTATTGCCATATAAATTAATATCGCTATTAAAAAATAGGGGTTGATGGTAGAAGGGTTTTGGATTAGAGTCGTGTCGTAACATTTAAAGAGTAAATAGAAATAGAAATAAGTAGTAAGGAAATAGAAATACAAATAAACTCATTACAAGAACTTTTAAATAGTCATATTTTGATTCTACTACTCATTCGGAATGCAGATTCATCACAAGAAGAATGAGCAAGAAACTTGTGTGTTGCTCTTTCGAATAGATGTTTTTTTATATAATAATTACAGTATAACAAGTAAGAGGCATGCGATAATCAACATAGACATCGCTACGTATTCATTATTAGTGTAATCAGATAATATTGTCAGTGCTATGGATTTTAAGTTTTTCTATAAAAACATTATTGTCATTAACGAATTCTTCAAGTGTTGTAAGAGTATATATTAGCATGGAAGATCGCGGAAAGTGGCAAGAGCTCCACCGACAAGAGCGTGGCTCTTAAATTATGAATGAATGAATGGTAGACTCTAATGCTGTTGGCCGCAGCTGGCCTTTACAGCTTCACCTCACGATAGGGGGCGAGTGATGATGGCACTCCAAACCAAAGGAAGGATTTATGGAGCGGCTGAAGGCCAACTCCTGCCTGACGGATACGACTTTAGTCTGAGGGCATCACTAGGTGTTCGAACCTCGGCTCAGGCCGTCGTAATTTCGATCCCCGTTTGAATTGGACGGGGGATCGATCGGAGGGGGGCATATGATAAGGGTTGAAGGGTCACGGGGGTTTTTATAGGGGTACAGGGTAGCGCACAACTCGTAGTGAGTAATTTTTCCCATACTCCCTAATTGCGCAAATAAACATGTTGGTACTTGTTTTATTTTATGGTGTTGATGTTTTTTTAAAGCTTAGGTTTCAAGCGTTCAAATGATATATTATTTTTATTAAAATGTTGTATACTTTTATTTAGAACAATGTTAGATGAAGAGGTAGCGGTTGAGTCGATTTGGTTGCTCGCGAGTGTATGTAGGTGGGCGATTTACCACTTCCACCGTCCCATCAAACCAGTAATAATTTTTAAATTAGACTACTATTATTAATAATAATTAATTAATTAATTATCCTGGACAAGAAACAGCGCCATCTAGTCACACGGCAAACACTGTGCGAGGAATGAATCCCACCTTTTGGAAGTAAAGCTCTTTGCTAGACTAGACTACCGAGGCTGTCAATGATCTAGCAGTTTAGCATTAAGCTGAAGAGTTTGGTTTGTTGAATACACTAGTCTCAGGAACTATTCGATTTAGAAAATCGTATAGTATTGGGTAGTTAATTTATCGAGCAATATAGTTAATTTATAGCATCATGCATCAATAGGAGTGGAGCAGCAGTGAAAAATGTTGCAGAAACGAAAATGTCACATCTAAAATAAAGAATGTAAAATCTAAAATTGACGACCTCGGTGGACTAGCGGTCTGGCACACCGCTTTAAGTCCGATGGTCGCGAGTTCGATTGCTCACACGGCACAAACATTTGTATTCATGAATATGTTTGTTTGTATCGGTCTGGGTATTTTCTATGTATAATATGTATTTACAAAAAAAAATATCGGTGTATTTGTATCAGTTGTCTAGTACCCGTAACACAAGCTTTAGTTAGCTTAACTTGGGTCTAGATGGCGCTGTGTGAATTGTCCTGAGATTATTATTATTATTATTAAAATCAAAATATGTTTATCCATGTAGATCTTGTGATATCTTATGATTTGTCAAATCTACTGTCAGTTCGAAGTGCTTACGCGCTAAGAACTGACAATAAACTCAGCTCTTATTCTTTTCAAATGAGTTTGTACATAATTACATAAATACAGACTTTACTTTATTTACATAACTTAATTGTACAACAAAGAACCTAAAATTAAAAACCTTAAAAAATATAATACAATAACTAAAATATATTATTAAAAGGCGTACCTTTAGGCAAGGTTCGGAAGATACTGGCAGCGGTCCCTCTTTGAATGGCTAGACTAATTCATTATCCGAGGTAGCTGCCAGCTCTTCGGTCTTAAAAGGAGTCCCTTTAGGCAAGGTTCGGAAGATACTGGCAGCGGTCCCTCTTTGAATGGCTAGACTAATTCATTATCCGAGGTAGCTGCCAGCTCTTCGGTCTTAAAAGGAGTCCCTTTAGGCAAGGTTCGGAAGATACTGGCAGCGGTCCCTCTTTGAATGGCTAGACTAATTCATTATCCGAGGTAGCTGCCAGCTCTTCGGTCTTAAAAGGAGTCCCTTTAGGCAAGGTTCGGAAGATACTGGCAGCGGTACCTCTTTGAATGGCTAGACTAATTCATTATCCGAGGTAGCTGCCAGCTCTTCGGTCTTAAAAGGAGTCCCTTTAGGCAAGGTTCGGAAGATACTGGCAGCGGTCCCTCTTTGAATGGCTAGACTAATTCATTATCCGAGGTAGCTGCCAGCTCTTCGGTCTTAAAAGGAGTCCCTTTAGGCAAGGTTCGGAAGATACTGGCAGCGGTCCCTCTTTGAATGGCTAGACTAATTCATTATCCGAGGTAGCTGCCAGCTCTTCGGTCTTAAAAGGAGTCCCTTTAGGCAAGGTTCGGAAGATACTGGCAGCGGTCCCTCTTTGAATGGCTAGACTAATTCATTATCCGAGGTAGCTGCCAGCTCTTCGGTCTTAAAAGGAGTCCCTTTAGGCAAGGTTCGGAAGATACTGGCAGCGGTACCTCTTTGAATGGCTAGACTAATTCATTATCCGAGGTAGCTGCCAGCTCTTCGGTCTTAAAAGGAGTCCCTTTAGGCAAGGTTCGGAAGATACTGGCAGAGTTCCCTCTTTGAATGGCTAGACTAATTCATTATCCGAGGTAGCTGCCAGCTCTTCGGTCTTAAAAGGAGTCCATTTAGGCAATGTTCCGAAGATACTGGCAGCGTTCCCTCTGATAGCTGAACCCTGATGAACTCCAACCCTCACCTCAAAGTCATCGCTCATTCCCGCAGGACTTTTGACTTTAGTACGAACGTTGTTGTACATATCTTCAATCAGCTGTATGTAAATTTCAGGCAGATGTTGTGCTCTCAATGCTCTCCATACCAATCTTCTCGGGACTTTGTCAAATGCTGTTGTATTTTTGTCTAAAGAAAATAATGCAATCAGTGACTGTAACCCCAACAGATCAGAGAAATGTGCCAGAGAAGAGAAAAAATCAAATCAAAATATCTTTATTCATGTAGCTCTATTATAGACTTCTATGATATGTCAAATCTACCGTTAGCAGTTTGAAGTGCATTCGAGGTAAGAAAAGCCGATTTCTAATTTCTAAATTGGATCTATCTACCTACCAATAAAATCAATAGGTCAATCATCATCATCAAATTACAGCAGAATAGTAATATGTAAGTTATATCAGTTGCTGTAACCTACTAAAATTGAAATGTAATGTATTTTTTTTTCGGACTACTCTAATGCTGTTGGCCGCAGGTGGCCTTTACAGCTTCACCGGACGTTAGGGGGCGAGTGCAGATGGTACTCCAAACCCGCGGAAGGACTTATGGAGCGGCTGAAGGCCAGCTCCTGCTTGACGGATACGACTTTAGTCTGAGGGCACCACTAGGGGTTCGAACCTCGGCTCAGGCCGTCGTAATTTCGATCCCCGTTTGAATTGGACGGGGGATCGATCGGAGATGCGCCCGGGGGCGTCAGGTGTGGAGCGGCCGGGCGCGCGCAGGCGCCCGGTTGAATGCGCGATATTGTGTGTTTGAGGTCGTCGTCTTTGCCGGCGAGGACGGTGTCGTGTGTGTGTGTGTAAAAGTGTGGTCGGGGAAATGTAATTTAACAAAAGCTAAGAGTTAGATTTCATGATTTGTTTAAGGAGAGAGACTCAGTTCATATTCTTTTTAAATGAGCTTGTACATGTTTACAAAACACAATTTATTGCTTTTTAAACTACTAAAACTGCAAATTTTAACTGTAAATAAATATTTATTTTATTTATAACTAGCTACTCGCGACTTCGCACGGGTGTACATATATTATTATATATATAAACAATCCTCTTGAATCACTCTATCTCTTAAAAATACCGCTTCAATTTCCGATGCGTAGTTTTAAAGATTTAAGCATACAAAGGGACGGACAGACAGCGACAGCGACTTTGCTTTATACTATGTAATGATGATACTTTACTGCACTAACATATAACTTACATTAACAAAGTTAAAACATAAAAAATAAAATAAATAAAAAATACGGTGTTATCGTTATTGCAATTTCTTTCAGACAAGCATTGCAATAAGTACTAGTATTAGTGGAAATATAAAATTATATACACTTATATAAATAAAGTAATATAAATAATAATTTAATCGAATTTTTCTTAACAATTTAAATTCCACAAGAGGACAAATCAAACAAGAGATACATATATAGAAAGAAAAGATAAAGAAAGAAAGAAAGATATATATCTTTACATAGTATAAATTGAAGACGCTTCCGCTGTCTATTCGCTTAGATTTTTAAGCTACGCAACGGTTTTTTGATACTGCTTTTAGGTATAGATAGAGTGATTCAAGAGGAAGGTTTATATGTGTAATAAATGTACACCCGTATGAAGCCGGGGCTGGTAGCTAGTAAAATATAAACATTAATTGAATTAATCTTAACAACGAAATTGTCTACGGGAGGCCACAACAAACAAGAGGTGTATAACAATAAACCAAAAATAATTAGTATACGCCCCGACGTATACCAGCCAATAAAGAGTTAACAATTAGTTTCAGGTAAATATAAACTGAAGTGTAATAACAATATACACTTTATTTACACAAGTGTAATACTCCACATATATAAGTATTAAAGGGGAGGACACAAATGATTCGTTTAGTGGAAAAACAGATCATAATCTGACCACTTCTTACTGCAATGAAACTATATGTGATCGCGGTGACGGCCCTCGTCAGCGTAAGTTTTAGATTGTGTTGTGAAATTGTAATTTGTTAAGTGTGTGTTATACTGGTAGGTATATATATTTCGTGAAGCATCCCGAGTATCACCAGTGGGATTTATGGGATGAACCTGTTATAGTATCATTAAGGTATATTTATTTCGTGAAGCATCCCGAGTATCACCATTGGGATTTATGGGATGAACCTGTAATAGTATCATTAAGCTATATTTATTTCGTGAAGCAACCCGAGTATCACCTGTGGGATTGATGGGATGAACCTGTAATAGTATCATTAAGGCATATTTCTTTCGTGAAGCATACTGAGTATCACTAGTGAGATTAATGGGATGAACCTGTAATAGTATCATTAAGGTATATTTCTTTCGTGAAGTATCCCGAGTATCACTAGTGAGATTAATGGGATGAACCTATAATAGTATCATTAAGGTATATTTCTTTCGTGAAGCAACCCGCGTATCACCGGTGATGGGATGTATTCGGATTAAAGGGACGAACCTGTACTAGTGTTTGTGTAATTTCGATAAGCAAATCAGTAATGTAATTTTATTTTATAACTTTTTGTAACCTTATAACTTTCTTTGTTAACCGTTTGGAATTATGCTTAATTCCAAACAGTTTTAAGTCAAGATTTTGTTTTAATCAATTTTAAGTGAAGATTGCCACAATCAGTAGTCAGAACCAAATTCAAATCGGCCATATTTGAAATTATTGCGACTAAACTCGTAAACATATATTCTGTAATTATACAAAAATTCAGATATTTTTGTATATTTTATATATCTGGTAACCCCAATAATAGTTTCTATTATATCTAAAATATAAGTAATCGCTATCTGTGGATGAAAGACATATCTTTCATCCACAGATAGCGATTACTATATGTAATTCAATTTATGAATCACAAGTTTATAGAACAAACTTCTAATTGTGCTTCTGTAATTCGATTTAGCAATCGATTTAGGTTTCGACTTAGTTCAGACTCAGACAATATTGCAAGTTTCCTTGTGAGCAGTAAATAAAGATTATTATTATTCCTAACTACCAAAAAAAATCACATCTTCCCTCTTAAGGAGAGGAGATGGCAACTTACCCCCGGCAGAAGCACAGTCGGCCGGGGTTCAGGGCCCCAGGGAGAGAAACCGGCGTACAATGCGGGCAGAATCTAAGAGCACCGCTTTCTGCATCTTTCCCGGGAGTGAGCCGCGTCGGAATCCCAACCGTTTGAGATGTTGCTCCAGACTGGTTGGGATAAGACCGTTCACCGATATAACGATTGGAATGATTTATTATTATTATTATAATCAGGAGAGTAATTATTAAAATATACCTCTCAATTCTTTATTTAAAACTTGTTAAAATAACACAAATTTAATAATACTTATTTATCTTTTTATGATACTGTTGAAGGTCGTTTATATATTTCTATCAGTTGTCTAGTTCCTATAACACACATCCGTCAGGCAGGAGTTGGCCTTCAGCCGCTCCATAAGTCCTTCCGCGGATTTGGAGTGCCATCTGCACTCTCCCCCTAACGTCCGGTGAAGCTGTAAAGGCCAGCTGCGGCCAACAGCATTAGAGTAGTCCGGAAAAAAAAACCTATAACACAAGCTCTGCTTAGTATGTGACTAGATGGCGCTGTGTTCACAGACCAGGGATATATTAAGGGATATTTATTTTATTTATTTATTTACTTAATACAGAAAACATGTGTACTAATTTACTGAAGAAACGATGATATTCACAGAAGTATATAACATTATATGTATACATTTCTGCGCAGGTGTATACGGCGCAGGCGGAGCCACAACCACACAGTAAGTATCTATATACATGTATACTTCGGAATGGCAATACATGAATAGCATCACGGGCTCATAATCCCCCTCCGATCGATCCCCCGTCCAATTCAAACGGGGATTGAAATTACGACGGCCTGAGCCGAGGTTTGAACCCCTAGCGGTGCCCTCAGACTAAAGTCGTATCCGTCAGACGGAAGTCGGTCTTCAGCCGCTCCATAAGTCCTTCGGGTTTGGAGTGCCATCTGCACTCGCTCCCTAACGTCCAGTGAATCAGTAAAGGCCAGCTGCGGCCAACAGCATTAGAGTAATCCGAAAAAAAGGGCATGATAACGTGATGTCCGTGATGCTGCTCATGTATAGAAATGGTTGCCACTTTCCATCATGTGGGCCTTTGTCATTAGATACATAAATTGACGGATTATCGCATAGATTTAAATGTTTTTTAGGGTCACCACATAAAGTGAATGTTGTACGACAATTCAAAAGCCCAGGTAAAAACAATACGCGAGTTGGTATCATCACTGCCCTCTTACCATTTGGGATCGTCCATACATGACGTCACAAGTTTCATTTATATTAAAATGACTATTCTAAAGTGTCTATGAGACAATAGGTGCCTTTACACGCACGCCTTTTCACGCGCGAAGTAATTCAACTAACTGTGGAGTTTCACTAAGAGTTATAATAAGTATAATTGTATGTAAACTTAATAATAACTAATGGTTCATTCATAATTTAAGAGTTACGCTCTCGAACGCTCGGAAAGTGGCAAGAGCTACACCGACAAGAGCGTAGATCTTGCCACTTTCCGCGATCTTCCATCGGTTATGATAGCTGCCTTTACACGTACGCACTTTCGCGCGCGAATCCTGTTTCACGCAACAAAGAATGTACATGTAAATGTAGAGAAAGAGAACGAGAGAGACAGCACACGCAAACAGTGAGCGCATCCCCGAGTACAACAATATCGATTATCGAGGGATTTAGCGGGTTTTTGTAACAAGTAATTATCATTTCAAAATGGCGGACATCTGACCATGAAGCAAATATAATTGTAGAGTTATTTATAATTTATAAATCTTAAACGTATTCATAGAAAAATAAAAATTCTTTAATAAATAAATTCGAATAATACAAGTAAGTGAAATGACTTGAAAGGAATCGCGCGCGAAAGAGTGAACACAAGCAATAGTAAAATTATTATAATATAATATAATCTCAGGACAATTCACACAGCGCCATCTAGACCCAAGTTAAGCTAGCTAAAGCTTGTGTTATGGGTATTAGATAACTGATACATATACATAGATTTTTTTTTGTAAATACATACATATTATACATAGAAAATACCCAGACCGATACAAACAATCATACTTGTGAATACAAATGTTTGTGCCGTGCGAGGAATCGAACCCGCGACCATCGTTCGGTCGTAAAGCGGAGTACTAGACCGCTAGACCACCGAAGTCGTCAATTATGTTATCTGTGGTATAATACAATTCCTCACGATTGCATGCGCTGTCTTTTCCGCGCTAAACGCGCGCGCTCCAGATCGCGCGTGAAAGGCACGTCGTGTAAAGGCAGCTGATCTGTGACATTAAGAAGGAAGTAAGCGGGGGGGTGGGGGTGTGGGGGGGTTGAGATTAAAATGCTTATAATTGATGTGCGTCATTTGTGGATGGCCCCTTGTCTGGGGTCGGCAGTATGTCAGCGCGCCTGCCGCGTCGCTTAAAACGAGTCTTATGTTTGAATAAAGATTGCACCATACTTGGAAAAGAGGTATAATACCAACTTATCATAATATTATTACGTGTAGCAAGAAAATCGTAACCCTTTTTGAGAAAATTACGCGGACGGAAGTGTATAAAAGTTCAAATTTAAAAATAAAATAGCCGAAAGCTAATAAGGCGCCGTTCAGTATATTCAATATTTAAAAGAAAGTTCTACAAGAATTTTTTTAATTATATAAAGCAGTGCTCTTAAGCATATTCAGTTTAGGAATCCTCAAAATGGCAAGCTCAATAAAAAAACACAAGAATAAATTTCGAACAATTGATTTTTATGCGGTACTCTACAAAAAAATGACTGAGCTAAGTTATTATAAACATCGAATCAAAATATCTTTATTCATGTAGGTCTATTACAGACTCTTATGATATGTCTAATCTACCGTCAGTTCGGAATGAATTCGAGATGAGAACTGACAAGAAACTCAGCTCGCATTCTTTTCAAATAAATATTGTACATGTTTACAATAATACAGATTCATTTTTTAATTCAAATTTGGAGAATAGTGTAACCATTAGCATGTGTAATTTACTATTGCAATTTTGTATCATACTATGAGACTTACTGGCGTTCATTTTGATATAACGCATTTCTACAACTCTACAATGTTCGTCTATATAAAAATAAAACTGTAGTGTCTGTTTGTAATTTAAAATTAACAGCTTTTAATTAAATGCATGGGAATACTTCAATAATTCATATTTAAAGAGCTCTTGTCGGTGGAGCTCTTGCCACTTTAAGTCCGCGTTATACAAATTGTCATATTAAATTACATTAAGATTTGTTCAGCCGTTTAATCATGAAAAGGTGACAAACATATAGACATACTTTCATAATTAAAATATTAGTATAAACGAGATACATAGTATAGTAAACTTTTTTAATCTGTAGATGGCAGACATGGAAATCCACATAACGGCGGTCCAGGCCTAAAACCGAAGGGACTCGGTGGTCCAGCATGGCTACCACCAGGCCCCCCCGGTCCACCTGGTCCACCCTCCCATCACGACTGGGGACTACCCCTCGGGGGTCTAGTGCCTCCACACCGACCAGGCTCAAGATCCGAACACGAAGAGCGAGGGTCTGAAGAACGTCACGAAAGTCATAGATCCTTTAAATCTGAACACGAATCTGAGAGCTCGAGTGAGAGAAGATCAGAGTCCAGCTCGAGTCACAGTGAGAGAGAAAGGTCTAGCTCAAGTCATAGCGAAAGGTCTAGCTCGAGTGAAAACGAAAGTGAAAGGTCTAGCTCGAGTCAGAACGAAAGTGAAAGGTCTAGCTCGAGTCAAAACGAAAGTGAAAGGTCTAGCTCGAGTCAAAACGAAAGTGAAAGGTCTAGCTCGAGTCAGAACGAAAGTGAAAGGTCTAGCTCGAGTCAAAACGAAAGTGAAAGGTCTAGCTCGAGTCAGAACGAAAGTGAAAGGTCTAGCTCGAGTCAAAACGAAAGTGAAAGGTCTAGCTCGAGTCAGAACGAAAGTGAAAGGTCTAGCTCGAGTCAGAGTGAAAGCGAAAGATCCAGCTCGAGGAGAACTGAAGTTGTAGAAGAATCTAGATCAAGTCAGAGTGAAACTGAAGAACAATCTAGTTCGACTCAATCTGAAAGCGAACAACAGAGCTCAAGTCAAACAAGCGAAAGTAACTCTAGTAACAGTAACAGCGAAAGTAGCTCAAATCAAAGCGAGACATGGAGTCAAAACGAATCTGAAAACACTAATGAATCGAATTCGAAACACAGACACATTATTAACAACGCCAAGAAAGTAACTAATGTAATAAAGGACGCAATACGAGATGAATTGAAGACTAACAGCAAAATTGTTAGTAAGTAAATTTTTTTAGTAAATTTAAACTAGCGACTCGTAGCCGCTTTACATAGAAGCAATTAGAATAAAATAGAATAGCAAAACCTTTCTTCAAAAAGTTAAATTTAAGCACTTTTGAAAAGTTTGTCGTTTTTTCTAATCTACCGCTCATTCGGAAAGCTGTCTCATCACAAGAAGTACAAGAAGTTCTTGTAGATACAAGAAGAATGAGCGAGAAACTTGTATGTAGCTCTTATAAATAGTTCTTGCACCTTTAGATTTTTATGTTGAAATGTGTGAATACAAACTACAATCTACAAAAGAAAGTATTGCAGTATCAGTTGTTTCTACTTTTCTTGGGGTCATACTGTGTGTGCTGTAGCATGGTGCGGGTGACAGTTACTAAACTTTACATTTAACGTTTTAAATTTATTATCTGGTACAGCTGAAATACTAAATCATAATTTCAGAGGCGGATCGTGAATTTGTGGGGCCCTGGGCTAAATCTACTTAGGGGTTTGCCTACCTAATTATATCACTCAACTAAAAAATACACCGACCAAAAACAAGGGACCAGAAATTCCACGGTCCTTTGATAGACGCGCACTTGCTTGGGTTGATTGATCTCAGGGTTGCCAACCTTATGATAGGTTTTTTAACAAACTAGATATTTTTTTATATTCTAAATATCGGACTGGGGGCTCTTGTTTCCTCGGGCCCTTGGGCTGCAGCCCAAAAAGCCCTTAGGTAGATCCGCCCCTGCATAATATGTATATCACGGCAACTTTTAAGAATGAAACGTAACATTCGTTTTATTAAGAAACTGTCACCCACACTATGCCACAGCGCACATGGTATAGATGGCGCTGTTATTGTTCTTATGATTTCAGTTATATTTAAAAATGTATTAACGTGATTTTATTTTTGTTTTTTTCCAGAAAAAGGCGTAGAAGTGGTGTCTGATATTATTAGAGATCTATTTGGACACAAAGGTAAATAGATCATAGACCATAAATCACTTGAAACTTAAAAAAAAGCATTATTAAGGAATAAAATATGAGCAGGAGTGGGGTTATCTCTTTATCTTTCAGAAGCGATCTCTTTCAGTCGTTCCAATGATGTAATAAATTAATCAGATCAGCGATAATGTGCAGGGCCCATAACCTGTTTAAATTTTGACTGAATTTTAAATCTTATTTGTATTAATTCCTCTTTTTATTCCGCGTACATGCTGATAATAAATAAGAAAATAAAAATACTCCTTTTTGCTTTAAAAAAAATATAATGATATAGAGTCTAGATTATTTTTTTATCACATTAAAATATTTTTTTTATTTTAGGACAAAAAGAGTCAGGCGACCTGTTGTATTCACTCACCGGATTCCGTGGTAAGTTATATAAATATTATAGTATATGTGGTAAAGACAAGAAAGCATTATGCCGTCTCTGTCACACACTGCTGGCGTCATGGGCATTAAGCTGTAAACGACGAATGAAGACAGTGGTGTGTGTTTCAATTGTAATACATGTGGAAAAGAGAAGACAGAATGTCGCCTCTATCGCACACTGCTGGCGTCATACGGGCGTTCAGCTGTGAACGATGAGTGAGAGCAGTGGTCTGCCTGAGAGTCGATAATTACTACTCTGCTACCAAAATGTTCAGTATCGTTCTGCGGATTTCTTGGGCTTCAGGGTCTCGAAGGTATCTTCGCTAGCTTTCACACACTTTCACAGTAGGGTTTCCAGTTCTAATTTATTTGAATTCACAACACAATGCGCGCGCGCGTCAAGGCCGCCGTACAGTCCGTTTGTTACTAGTTAGGGAGGAGAAGGGAACACGCGGGAACAGAAATCTAACGAACTCTAATATAATATAATATCTGTGCTTACGATGATACAGGGTAGATTTTGAACAAAAAGAAATCAGTACAACTGTGTAATAACTAATAAATAAATATCTGATGAATTTACAGCTCCCCTCTAGTTGGTTATAGCGTGATGTTTGGTCATAGCTCTCGATAAATAGGCTACACTAAAAGAAATTTCTTAATCGGATTCACGAGAATCCCCCAAACAACCAAACCCACAAACTTTACCATTTTATAAAATGAAAAGAAATATTTGAGAATATTAGTACAGTACTGCACGCGCTTAAATAAAAATGTACGATATTATAGAATTAGACTTTAATACTAAAACTGTAGAGTGGATTTTCCGAAGTTTTTCTAAACGCTTAAATAAAAATGTACGAAATTATAGAATTAGACTTTAATACTAAAACTGTAGAGTGGATTTTCCGAAGTTTTTATCTTAAAAATGTGTTTAAGTTAATACTAAAACTATATGTTTTTATATTAATAAAAATGTCATTATGATATTACATGAAATATTTTGATTTTCATCTTAAATAAAAAATAATTATAGAATTTTTTTCTATCCGAAATTTTTACTCTTATTAAGATTTTCTTTTTTTCTTTTTGTTGTTCCTTACCACTCAGTTATAATTATATCAAATTATACTGTGAACTATTTACATTATTTTTATTATACACACACCGCACAGACAATCCAATAATATTGACTTTAATACTAAAACTCTTTTTATTTTATATTTATTTTAATTATTGATATTCTGAAATATTATTGATCATCAATAATATTTTTTTTCTATGTTACTCAAATGGGTTGATTATATCTGAACATCAGTGTTTTGTATCCCTGAACAATGTTACACACACCGCTGACAATCACCAATAATATTGTTTTTATTTTATATTTATTTTAATTATTATATACAATATATATACAATATACATATATACATATACAATTTTATAAATCTTATGTTGTATTATGTATTTTATATTCTTATGTGTGATTAGTAACAAACATATAAACGATATATCTATCTATCTACCATATAGACATGAAAATTATATGAAAATGTTCAACTCATATATTCTTGGACACGTAAAAATACCAAGTAGTATATATAGTAGGTACAGAGATATATTTAAAAAAAATGTATTTAAAAAGATGAACTTCAGTTACAGTACGGGGTCCAATATATAAAATTAAAATCATTTATTGATGTAAAACATTTCAGCCGCTTATGAACGTAATTTTTTTTGGTATTATAATTTTTTCCAGTCCAGTTCAGTATACATGTTCAATTGAGAAGAACTGTCAAGACACTTAGCTGATATTATTTTTTTAACGATAGTTTATTTACATTGTGTACTCATGTAGGTGTCTGTCCATCATCAAATGAAAATCCCGTGCATGAACTACTATTGTCATATAATTAATTATCTTTACACATAATCTTTATATATAACAATTACGTGTCACGTTGTTTGTCCGCGATGGACTCCCAAACTACTTAACCGATTGCAAATTTGATTTGCACATTGTGTGCAATTTGATCCAACTTGAAAGATAGGATAGCTTACATCTCAATTTATAGTCGCAATATTATTTAACCTTAGCCACTGCAACACGTTGCCGGGTCTGTTATTATGTTATCTGTGGTAATATATATAATATATATATACTTATAAATATACATAATATACAAATAAAAAAGATATATACATATATTTATGACGTCGACACGCATTTAAAAATCATTAATTTTAATCTAAGAATTTTACTTTTAAAAACAGATGTCAGTGTTGCCACTTATTAAAATTTCAAACGTTATTTTCCTTCCGTTTGCCAAATTAAATAAACAATTTACGCATTTCTAAATTAGCTCTGACGTTTCATTATATAGAACACTAGCTACTCAACACGGCTTCGCCCGGGTGTACATGTATTATATATATAAACGTTCCTCTTGAATCACTCTATCTATTTAAAAAAATCGCTTCAAAATCCATTGCGTAGTTTTAAAGATTTAAGCATACATAGGGACAGACAGCGACAGCGACTTTGTTTTATTCAATGTAGTGATAGACTTATAAATACCCAGAATATACAAATAAAAAAAGATATATATATATATATATATATATATATATATATATATTTCGAAACCTTTCTCTAGAATCACTCTATCTATTAAAAACAACTGCTTCAAAATCTGTTGCGAAGTTTTAGAGTTTTAAAGTTGACGACGTCAACATGCAGGTGAAAATCATTCATGTCAACCAAAGAAATTTCCTTTTGAAAACAGATGTCAGTGTTGCCACTTATTAAAATTTCAAACGGTATATTCCTGCCATTTTCCAAATCAAACAAACAATTTACGCATTTCTAAATTAGCTCTGACGTTTAATTTTATAGAACACTAGCTATTCGCCCGGCTTCGCACGGGTGTATATGTATTATATAGAATAGAATAGAAAATCATTTATTCAAATAAACTTAATTTAAGCACTTTTGAATAGTCATAACAATTTGTTTTTTATCTACCACTCGTATATATATACCTTCCTCTAGAATCACTCTATCTATTACAAAAACCGCTTCAAAATCCGTTGCGTAGTTTTATAGTTTTAAAGTTAACGACGTCAACATGCAGTTGAAAATCACCAATTGCAGACGTCAGTGTTGCCACTTATTAAAATTTCAAACGTTATTTTCCTTCCGTTTGCCAAATCAAACAAACAATTTACGACCTCGGTGGTCTAGCGGTCTAGCACACCGCTATACGTCCGATGGTCGCGGGTTCGATTCCTCGCACGGCACAAACATTTGTATTCATGAGTATAATTGTTTGTATCGGTCTGGGTGTTTTCTATGTATAACATGTATGTATTTACGAAAAATAAATTATCTATGTATCTGTATCAGTTATCTAGTACCCATTACACAAGCTTAGCTAGCTTAACTTGGGACTAGATGGCGCTATGTGAATTGTCCTGAGATTATTATTATAATAATATTATTATAATTTACGCACTTCTAAATTAGCTCTGACGTTTCATTTTACAGAACATTAGTTGGCCACAACAAAGTAATATTACATTTTACTTTATTGAAATGTTTGTTTTATTTTATTTATACAATTGTTATTACAGACAATGTACGTACTAACCTTGTCGCCATTTGTATAAATAATCGATTTAAATTGAACAAAAAGTTAATAAATTAATGTCGGCTCCATATTTGCTGTCGTGTGAATAACAAACGTAATTTATGTTTTCTTAGAAGTTAATTAAACTGGGTAAAGTGGAGTTCGCAGTTAACTAGTAATTTGAACAAGTTTTGTTCTTTTCTTTGTCGGAACGTTTGTTTGTTTGTTTGAATTAATAAGCTAATCGCAATAATAGATTGAGGTTTGTATTGAAGGATTGTATTAGTATGTTATAGCCCACTAGTAGTGCCCGCGACTTCGCGTGGAATAGTGTCGAAATAATGAAAAAAAGATTTTGAAATAATATTGACCTTGACCAAATAAAAAAGATATATTTAAAAATCTAATCCAAAAAATTCAAAGAAAAAAGATTCATCGTTTTAGCTTCAAAAATTACGAAATACAAACTTATATCGTCCATTTTATTTTACCTTCTGAATAATAAGATTCAAGCTTTTAGCTTAAACGATACTTCTATACAACCTTTCATCTCCTCTTTCAACCCCCGTTACAACCCTTTTTCGCATTAAAAAGAAGCCTATGTCCTTTCTCAGGGACTATCTCTGTACCAAATTTCTTTTAAATCGGTTCAGTAGTTTTGGCGTGAAAGCGAGACAGACAGACTTATTTTCGCATTTATAATATTTGTAAGGCATTATTGAGGGTGCAGGTTATATAACATCTCGCTATATCCAATGGGAGCGGACGATCGAATGAGAAATGTAAGAACGGAGAAGAATTTCCTTGTAAGAGAAGAGATTTGTGGATAAATCAAAACATAGCGGAGTTACTTTCTCTTCTTCTTTTCATTTGAACGGCTTCCACCAAATAAGGTCAATGATTTTGCCAACGCCGTTGTTTTGCCTTAAAATAAAAAAAAAATCTAGGGGTGGACTACCCCTAACATTTAGGAGGATGAAAAATAGATGTTGGCCGATTCTCAGACCTACTTAATACGCTCACAAAATTTCATGAGAATCGGTCAAGCCGTTTCGGAGAAGTATGGCAGGTAACACTGTGATACGAAAGTTTTATATATAGTTTTTTTATGGATGATAATGGAATGGTGCACCCGCACTTGCGGGGCACCCGTGGAGGATAATAAGATGAGCATGAGGTCAGGTCAGTTACCAGGAACTTAATGTGATGGTTTCAAGGGGTACCGCGTGGAGGTCAACCTGTACATGCCACACATTGCTAGCAATGGTGTTATTAGTCCAGATTACTAATAATGTCTAATTTTATGTGTTGCTAGCTTGCTAGCTGACCCGCAAACGTTGTTTTGCCATATAAATTAATATCGATATTAAAAATGTTGATGGGGTGAAATTTTAGTGTTGTATGTATTTTTTAATGCCAATTTATAAAAAAAATTGTCTAAAAAATTTCAAAAAAATGCTAGGGGTACAACCCTTATCACTTAGGGTTATGAAAAATAAATAGTAGCTGATTCTCAGACCTACTAAACGCATATAAAATTTCATAAACTCGGTTAAGCCGTTTCGGAGGAGTAATGGTAACTAACATTGTGACACGAGAATTATATATATATGATACATGTTACATAAGCTGCCTTTTAAATCGTATCGTTTGCCAAGTTCTCGCGATTATTAAAAAAAAAACATATATGTCATTTTCATATTATTTAATTTAGATCAGAAGAGAGGTAAATCAATATTTATTTAAAAGGGCAACACACAAGTTTCTTGCTTATTCTTCTTGTGATGAGTCTGCATTCCGAATAAGCGGTAGAATAAAAAAACTTGACTATTCAAAAGTGCTTATATTAAGTTTATTTGAATAAAGATTATTTCTATTCCTATTTCTTAGAATTCTAAAACAAAAGAAAGCTTTTAGATTTTCAAATAGTTTTATTGCATCGTGTATTCAAAGGTGACAAAATGATTAATTTTGTTTTCTCTTTCAGAGGAGCACGCCGCTATCAATTACGTGAAATCCGTAACAGGACTGCAAGGTAAACACACAGGAATAAAGTTCCTATTTAATTGTAAAAAAAAATATATATAAAACTTTTTTTTCGAACTATTCTAATGCTGTTGGCCGCAGCTGGCCTTTACAGCTTCACCTCACGATAAGGGGCCGTTCAAGTATTACGTAAGCACTATAGGGGGGCGGGGGGTCTTTTCTTTGCTTATTTTGGATGACATGGGGGTGGGGGAGTCTGTATGATGATTACGTCATCGGTCGTAATTTAATTTTTTACACGAATGGCAACCCTCACATTGTCACACAGTGCTAAAAAAACAATACATTAATTGAGAAATGTTTACGTAAGCATGGGGGGAGGGGGTAAGAGCTTTGCTTACTTTTGCTGACAAGGGGGATGGGGGGTAAATAATTGTGATAAATCTGCTTACGTAATACTTGAACAGCCCCTAAGGTGTGAGTGCACATGGCTCTCCAAACTAAAGGAAGGACTTATGGAGCGGCTGAAGGACAACTCCCGCCTGACGGATATGACTTTAGTCTGAGGGCACCACTAGGGGTTCGAACCTTGGCTCAGGCCGTCGTAATTTCGATCCCCGTTTGAATTGGACGAGAATTTGATCGGAGGGGGGAAAGTAGTGGTATATTGGAACTGTTAGCCTATGTACATGAACAATATATTCTTGCCACTCTAGAGAACTAAGATGTACTTCGGTACCCTGAAGAGTACGACAGGGTACCAAGGTATAATGATCCTAAAGGTACCCCTAATTATTTCACTGTTATATCTCGCTTTATATACATAATATTTTTATTTGACGACCTCAGTAGTCTAGCTGTCTAGCACACCGCTTTTCGTCCGATGGTCGCGGGTTCGATTCCTCGCACGGCACAAACATTTGTATTCATGAGTATGATTGTTTGTGTCGGTCTGGGTGTTTTCTGTGTATAATATGTATGTATTTACAAAAAAAAATCTGTGTATTTGTATCAGTTGTCTAGTACCCATAACACAAGCTTTAGCTAGCTTAACTTGGGTCTAGATGGCGCTGTGTGAATTGTCCTGAGATTATTATTACCTATTATTATTCAAATCAAAATATCTTTATTCATGTAGATCTTGTGATATCTTATGATTTGTCAAATCTACCGTCAGTTCGAAGTGCTTACGCGCTGAGAACTGACAATAAACTCAGCTCTTATTCTTTTCAAATGAGTTTGTACATAATTACATAAATACAGACTTTACTTTATTTATTTCCAAAAAAAAAATATCTATGTACTTGTATCAGGTATCTAGTACCCTTAAAACAGGCTTTAGATAGCTTAACTTAGGACTAGATGGCGCTGTGTGAATTGTCCTAAGTTTATTATACTTATTATTGTTATTGATATACATAGAAAACAAACAAACCGATACAATGCAAATGCATGTAGTAAAAAACGGTTATTTCAATATTACAAACAGACCTATTTTATTTATATGTACAGATATGTTTTCCCTACCGTACAGTTCAATATACAGATTCAATTGAGAGGAATTTGCAAGAAAATCAACTGACTTATTTATATATTTACAGATACCAAGGACGTATATGAATTTATAAAACGAGTACGAGGCTCCAGGGAGTGGCACTTCATCATCAACTTCTTGATACAACTGGAGGGGACATCAAGTATGTACTCATTTTTATACTAAGATGGGAAATCATACGGCCCATCTGATGGTAAATGGATACCGTAGACTATGGACACCTGAAACACCAGGGGTGTCACCCGACCCTTAAGAAACCTTAATATACCCTTCTTGAAAACACCATGCTGTAGTTTCGTTAGATTCAGACACCAGAGTTTTCATACGCGTTGCCTTAAGAAACCCTTAAGAACCCTAGTTGACCCTTAAGAAACCTTAATATACCTTTCTGTTTCGTGAGATTCAGACACCAGAGTTTTCATACGCGTTGCCTTAAGAAACCCTTAAGAACCCTAGTTGACCCTTAAGAAACCTTAATATACCTTTCTGTTTCGTGAGATTCAGACACCAGAGTTTTCATACGCGTTGCCTTAAGAAACCCTTAAGAACCCTAGTTGACCCTTAAGAAACCTTAATATACCTTTCTTGAAAACTTCATGCTGTAGTTTCGTGAGATTCAGACACCAGAGTTTTCATACGCGTTGCCGATCCTTAAGAAATCTTAATATACCCTTCTTGAAAAACCCCATGCTGTAGTCTCATGAGAATGAGACACCAGCAGTTCATGCGCGTTGCTGACCCTTAAGAAACCTCAATATATCCTTCTTGAAAACTCTATGCTGTAGTCTCGTGAGAATGAGACACCAGGAGTTCATGCACTTTGCTGACCCTTAAGAAACCTCAATATATCCTTCTTGAAAACTCCATGCTGTAGTCTCGTGAGATTGAGACACCAGGAGTTCATGCACTTTGCTGACCCTTAAGAAACCTCAATATATCCTTCTTGAAAACTCCATGCTGTAGTCTCGTGAGATTGAGACACCAGGAGTTCATATCCAGCTTTGCAGCAGCACCGATTCTGCTGTTGATCTCTGCATCATGATCACACTGACCCTCCACGTCTTTTTGACACTGATTTTTAAGCCAAATTTTTGGCAAGAAACCTCAATATATCCTTCTTGAAACACTCCATGCTGTGCGAAAGTACGACTCGTGAGATTGAGCACACTAAGAAACCTCAATATATCCTTCTTGAAAACTCCATGCTGTAGTCTCGTGAGATTGAGACACCAGGAGTTCATGCACTTTGCTGACCCTTAAGAAACCTTAATATACCCTTCTTGAAAAACCCCATGCTGTAGTCTCGTGAGATTGAGACAGCAGAGTTTTCATGCGCGTTGCCGACCCTTAAGAAACCTTAATATACCCTTCTTGAAAAACCCCACGCTGTAGTCTCGTGAGAATGAGACATCAGGGGTGTAAACGCGTTGCCGACCCTTAAGTCCCTTCTTGAAAAACCCCATACTATAATCTCAAAACCCTTGGCAGGTAGTTCATTCCACAATGTAAGTGTACGCCAGAGGAAGCTCCTCTGAAACCGCACTGTCCGAGACCACTTAGATTCCAGCGTGTGGGGATGAATTTCCTGTCAAAATTTTATTCCTTCTAAAACTTTCTTAAACAAATGCAAATCCTACACCGATAGCCCAACCGCTGTATTGAAAGGAGATCCAATATATAAACACATAAATAAAATAAAAAAAAATATCTGTGGCCTTCCTTCGTTCATTTACTACCTACTTAATAAGATTTTTGCAATTGAATTATAAAAACTAGCTGATTCTGCATCACACTTACTCGATTTATATAATATATTTTTTAAAGATTTAAGCATACGTAGGGACGGACAGACAGCGACTGCGACTTTGTTTTATACTATGTGACTAGCTACTCGCCCCGGCTTCGCGCGGGTGTACATGTATTATATGTATAAACATTCCTCTTGAATCACTTTATCTATTAAAAAAAACCGCTTCAAAATCCGTTGCGTAGTTTTAAAGATTTAAGCATACATAGGGACGGACAGACAGCGACAGCGACATTGTTTTACTATGTGACTAGCTACTCGCCTCGGCTTCGCCCGGGTGTACATGTATTATATGTATAAACCTTCCTCTTGAATCACTTTATCTTAGCTTAATATTTAAAGTCTTATCAAAATTTGTTATGCAACAGTAACAAACACCCTACTCACAAAATTTCGCGTTTATAATATTACTAACTTATAACCGCGGCTTCGCTCGCATGTTTTTAAAATAAAAAGTATCCGATGTTCATTCTAAAACATCTAAGAACATGTGTACAATTTTTTTTATTTATGTACAATTCTGTAACAACCATGCCTAATTAGTAAAAATCACGGGATCTTACCACGTTATATATTTATTTGGTGTTATATTTAAACGTGGTAAGGTCCCGTGATCTTTACTAATTTTACGTATAAATAACGACCGTGTCAAGTTTAAAACATGCCAACTTTCACACACTACATTTACTTTCTTACACATTTATAATACTTCTTAAGTAAGATGTGTTAGATCATTATAGTTTTTGTCCAGCCTCAAAAAAATAAGATCCGGTACTGGTTACACATGCACTACACTAATATTGTTTTTTATTATTATTTTTCCATCTTATTTCAGATATCAAAGTGGTGGTGGAGCTGCTAAGGGAATTGACAAATGAATTCAGTAAGTTATGATTTGTTTCTTTTGTTTTTATACTACGATTCTTGTTCTATACAGAATTTTATAAAGATTATCTCTGTTGAAGTAGATTATATTTTTTTATTTATTTATTTAAACTTTATTGCACAAATACAATGTATAAATGTACATATGGCGAACTTAACATTTAAGGGCGTTCTCTACCAGTTAACCATAAGGCAAACAGAAAAGTTAGTAAGCGACGCATTATAGTTTATAAACATTTACGTAGTAACTTTAAAATAATACATATTATTAGACATACATATTTACATGCGACACATAAATAAATATATACACATATACATACTTGGATTAAATATTTAGATACAGGAAAATTACCCATGTATGAGGCAGATAATAAGTTCAATAGAGCGGAAAAGAAAAAGATAAATAAGGAGAATCAGAAATTTAATTATGATTGCACATTGCGTAGAAAATTATTATATGTGTATAGGCGAAAGGAAAAATATAGATAAAGTCTTGAAATACGGAGATGTATATAATGAAACTATAGACAAGACAGAATTTGAAGTATAGGTATATAAGAGGAGGGAAGCCAGAGCAAACAAAAAATAAATGTTTTGTCTATCTATTTAGAAATGCTTGTTCTTTTTGTGATGAGACAGCTTTCCGAATGAGTGGTAGATAAAAAACAAATTGTTATGACTATTCAAAAGTGCTTAAATTAAGTTTATTTGAATAAATGATTTTCTATTCTATTCATTTCTATTCTATTCTAAATAGAAATATAAATAATATTATATTATGAAACTATAGACAAGACAGAATTTGAAGTATAGGTATATAAGAAGAGGGAAGCCAAGGCAAACAAAATATAAATGTTTTGTCTATCTATTTAGAAATAGAAATATAAATAATCTTTATTCAAATAAACTTAATATAAGCACTTTTGAGTAGTCAAGTTTTTTGATTCTACCGGTCATTCGGAATGCAGACTCATCACAAGAAGAATAAGCAAGAAACTTGCGTATTGCTCTTTTGAAGAAATATTGTTTAAAAAAAATACACAGTAACAAGTAGAAGGCATGCGATAATGAACATAGAAACAGCTACGCAATCATTCTTTGTACAATTAGATAATATTGTCAGCGCTACGAAATTTGTTCGACAAAAACACTATTATCATATATTATTAAATAAACTTATTGCCAGTTGAGAAAATTCTTTTCAATTAATGTTATTTATATGTTAAAGAGAGGATAATGTCCAGCTTTTTAAAACGATTAAAATTGGTTTTTTTTTTCAGATGTATTCAAAGCATACGAGGTGCTTCAACGGCTGACAGGGCACGCCGACTTCGATGCTGTCTACGAGATACTGCAGAAAATATCAGGAGAAAAGAGTAAGAGTCATTCATTACATTTTTATTGAGATATTCAGTGGATAATAGAGAAAAACATTTTTTCTGTGTTCATTCTCACCGAAAATATTAGGCACATTGATTTAACGAAACGAATTTTTGAACGAAAGTAAATTATATTTACTGCTATATATACATATATAGCAGTAAATATAATTTACTTTCGTTCCGATCACAGTTGCACGTTACATACAAACTTACTTAACAACAATAAACTACAATAAACTTACTTAACATAATAACTTAAAACGTTACTTAGCAACAATACTTATTTTAAATGTGATGGATTATACTTTTTCTTTTTAAATCAATGTGCCTAATAAATTTTCGGTGAGAATGAACACAGAAAAAATGTTTTTCTCTATTTTTTCGTTTTTTTTATTGTAATTGCAGTGAGAAAAATAACAGAAAATAGGTTTTACTATTACATTTTTCGTTATTTACTATTTAATTGTAGTAAAAACATAACAGAAAATAAGATTTACTGTTTTTTTTTTCGTTTTTCCATTATATAATTGGTAACACAGATAGACCACAGACAAAAAAGGAACAGATATTTTCTTAATTTTTTTTATATTTGTTGGTATTTCTTTGATACGATACAGATTATGTCATAAAAAATATAGGAATAGAATAGAAAATCATTTATTCAAATAAACTTACATTGAAGCACTTTTAAAAATTCACATAATGCTAACAATCACCATGCATTTTCTGTTACAGATTCACATGAAATCGCCGACTTTTTCAGACACGTCGCCCACACGAAAGGTATTGTTTCTTTATCTTAAATTTCCTTTTATTTTTTCCTTTTATTTCTTTGCTTCCATTTTTGATATAAACATAGTTGATAGTATTAAATTTAATTTATAAGTGGGTTAAATTAAATCAGCACATAATAATAATAAAGTATTACCCCTGTAAAAAGGGAGATATATAAAATAATAATAATAATAATTTCTCTCCCTGGGGCCCTGAACCCCGGCCGACTGTGCTTCTGCCGGGGGTAAGTTGCCATCTCCTCTCCTTAAGAGGGGAGATGAGAATTTGTTTTAAGTAAAAATAATAATAATAAAACAACTTATTTTGCCATAAAATAAAACAAATAATTATAGCAAATATTAGGCGGCTTTGTTGCTTCAAACAATTTCTTATAGAAAAATTAACATAATATAAAAAATTAAGAAATAAAACAAGTAGTTTCAATGTAATGAGTATATATATATAATAGTATGATATTTATTCAATATTTTATTAATAAAATAAATATATTGCAGTTGGAAACGGTAAGGTATATTTTAATTATATTTTTTTCTTTTCAAACGTTGGTAATTTTATATATTACTAGCTGTTCCCGCGACTTCGTCCGCGTGGAATTTAACTTTATTTTTCTAAAATAAAAGTAACCTAAGTTACTCCTTATTACAACGGCTACCTCTCAAAAAGTTTACATTTTTAAGTCGAAACGTGTGAATACAAACTACCAACTAACACTAATTTATTAGAGTCATATATAAATACACAATAAGATTAAATTAGTCATAGTGATTGGAGCAGACCAGTCCGTACAAGCAGCAGTCGTTCACGAGTATGACGTATGTGATATGATATTTACCTAATTATTCTTTACGAATGAAGAACTGAAAGATAAGAAATAAAACTCACTATATCAAACAATATACTGATGATTCTTTTTTTAGGCGTGGAAGGCGTTAGGCTGTTTGTCCTCAAGCTGACTGGAGGTATTGGACCGTCCGAATTCCCGAAAGTGTTCGAGAACTTACTACCGGAAGTTGGTAAGTTACATATATTTGTGTTAGTATGTCTGTATGTGTTCTGAACTAATTTGTAACAATTTTTGTAAAGAAATTGGTTTTGAAGTGAAACTTGTGTATAGATTTATGTAATAGGATTTTTCGGTCACGAAAAAGCGAAAAGAAAAAAAAAAGAAAAGTCCCATCAAAATCGGTCCAGCCATTTCAGAGATTAGCCGGAACAGACAGACAGACATAATTGTAAAAAATGTTATTTTGGTGTATGTACCGTATTTATATTCATATGCATGTATGTACAGTAAAAAACGGTTATTTCAATGTTACAAACAGACACTACAATTTTATTTATATGTATAGATATATTCTAAACGGATTATTATTTTATAAGATTATTTTATTTTTGGAGAGAATTAATATTATAAAGAAGAAATAATAGATTTTTTATTTAATTATATTTATCACAATTTACATAATACATTTTTAAATTACAGCCTGTGTGTTATTCTGATATATAAGCTATATTACTGTAAAGTTTCATCGAAATATATTTCGTAGTTTTTGCGTGAAAGAGTAACAAACTTCTACACTAACTTTCGTAAGATTGGTACTATAATAAACAATTTTTTTTCAGATATGAAGGGAGCGTTCGATTTTCTCATCTCAGTTACTAGAAGCCAAGGTATGTTATTATATGATTTACTAGTTGTGCCCGCGACTTCGTCCGTTTTAGAATAACCTTGACCAAATAAAGAAATTTTTATTTTCATTGTGCAGTAGAAGATAAGATTAGTACTAAGATACGATGGGACTGGCATTATCATATTATGATAAAAGTCCCTAAATAAATGTAAGAATAAAAAAAAAAAAATAAAGAAAAAATATCTATAATAAACCAGACAATAAAAAAAGTTTCATGGTTGTAACTTTAAAAATGATGATTTAATAATTAATTAAAGTAATTTTGACGATAAAAATAGTTAAGTGTAATTCATAATATTCCTAACCTTCCCTCTTACAACTGAAAGTCAGCTCCTGTCTGTTGGCCTTCAATCGGTTCATAAATCCTTCATTTGGATGGTAGCAGGTATGTTAAGGAGATCCGTAACCGTACCCGAAACTATCGGATATCCGACATAAAAAAATATCCGTAACCGAATCAGAAATAAAAGTTTCGGACAATATCGGACAGAGACAGAGCCTAATTGAGACACGTTACGAAACCATTTCATAAGCTGTTTGTATTTTACTATTGAAATTCCTTAAAAAATGTTATCCGTAACTGAAATTATCCGAAACTAACGGATAATCCGAAATAATTTCATATCCGCATCCGTATCCGTATTCGATGTAGTAATCATTAGTATATCCGAAACCTATCCGAAACATACCTGGTTTGGAGTGCCATCTGCACTCGCCCCCTATTGTCAGGTGAAGCTGCAAAGTCAGTTATTTTGGAGTGCCATCTGCACTCGCCCCCTATTGTCAGGTGAACCTCCGAAGTCAGTTTGTTTGGAGTGCCATCTGCACTCGCCCCCTATTGTCAGGTGAACCTCCGAAGTCAGTTTGTTTGGAGTGCCATCTGCACTCGCCCCCTATTGTTCACGTTGCCTTTGGTGGCGCAAAGGAATGGTCACATTATTCTTACTGCGTCACTATTTTTCGGTTACAGAAATCGGTGAAGCTATTCTCAACTTCATTCATATTTTGAATGTTAAATCCTTCTCCGAGGGTATCCTGTTGATCAAGAAAGCAACTGGACAGAGTCGTAAGTATTATATTTTACCCATATTTCAAGATTAGAATAGAATAAATTCAAAATTAAAATATCTGTATTCATGTAGGTCTATTACAGACTCTTATGACATGTCAAATCTACCGTCAGTTCGGAAAGATTTCGAGATGAGAACTGATAAGAAACTCAGCTCGTATTCTTTACAAATAAATATTGTACATGTTTACAATAATACAGATTCATTTTTAAATTCAAATTTAGGAAAATAGAGTGACCACCAGCATATGATTTTGCAATTTTATGAAAAGAAGATAGTCTAAACTAAAATAAAAATAATTTCAGATAAATTTAATAAGCAAGTTTTGAATAGTTATATTTTTTTATTTATATTGCTTTTAGATAATGATGTTCAGAATAAAAATTTTAAGAATTTTGTGTGAATAGAACTGAACAAAACTCAGAACAACACAGAATAGAATGACACCGAAATCCTAAAATAAAATCCATAATCACATTTTATCCATTATAGTCCGCGAGCCAGGATCAAATCAAGATGATTAGTTTCCTCCTGGTCCAAATATTACTTTCATTTCCAAATCTTCTAAGAGTTCAGTTCTACAGTGATGAATTTATACATATAAATTTAATCTTAATCTTTGATGATGAATTTTGCTACGTAATAACTAAATATTCTCTTCTTTATTACAGAATTGAAATATGCGTTGGAAGAACTTACCCAAGAAACAAAAAGAACGAGTAAGTTAAATAAAAATAATATTTGTAGCCACTGTCCCTTAAACGAACATCTGTACACAATAGGTGATACAGACAGTTCTCTCTGTCGGGGCTGCTCTGAAGCCGAAGAACGGCTCACGTAATCCTGGAGTGCTACAGTGGCCACACATCGAACACAAATCCTCGGAACGATGAGGTGGCTCCGTGAAGCTTGTGAATACCAGAAGGTTTCGCTTTTGGGAGGAGCTTGGCTGACTACTTTAGTAGTCTCGGCTCTGTCCAGAATGGTCCAGATGAGAGGCTATTTGCGGATCCATTTACATTATATTATTACAGGACAATTCACACAGCGCCATCTAGTTGGGACTAGATGGCGTTTTAGCTAGCTTAACTTGGGAGTTAAGCTAGCTAAAGCTTGTGTCATGGGTACTAGATAACTGATAATAATAATAATCTCAGGACAATTCACACAGCGCCATCTAGACCCAAGTTAAGCTAGCTAAAGCTTGTGTTACGGGTACTAGATAACTGATAATAATAATAATCCCAGGACAATTCACACAGCGCCATCTAGATCCAAGTTAAACTAGCTAAAGCTTGTGTTATGGGTACTAGATAACAGAACGTATACATAGAAAACACCCAGAATAGAAACCACTCATGAATACAAATGTTTGTGCCGTGCGAGGAATCGAACCCGACCATTGGTCGTAAAGCGGTGTGCTAGACCACTAGACCATAGAGGTCTAGTTTATAAGAAACTAATAAAATGTGCTTGCAGGCCTGCGAGTGATCGTTGAGGACTTGTACAAGATTTCCGGACGCGTCAGTTTAGAGGAGGTGTACAATGTATTCAAAGAAGTATTCAAAACTGACAGTAAGTGGCCGATTAGTATTTGTATATTATAGCTTTTAACCGCGGCTTCGCTTGCATTGAATCCATTTTTTTTTAATAAAAATTCAAAACTAACAGTAAGTGGCCGATTAGCATTTGTATATTATAGCTTTTAACCGCGGATTCGCTTGCATTGAATCCATTTAATTTTTTTTAATAAAAAGTATCGTATGTTCATTCTAATATGTCCAAGAAGAGATGTACAAAATGTCATGATGATCGGTTCAGTAGTTTTTGCGTGAAAACGTAGCAAACATCAGAGCAGACCAGAGACCAGTCCCTACAAGCACTCGTTCACGAGTATGACGTATGAGCCAGCCATCACTGCGCTCGACCATGTTTTAGCTTTTAAATTTTTCTATATTTTTACTCTGTATTATGCTATTTTGAATGATTATTATTATTATTAACTAGCTGTATCCGCGACTTCGTCCGCGTGGAATTTAACTTTATTTTACTAAAATAAAAGTAGCCTATGTTACTCCTTATTACATCAGCTACTTACTAATAGAAGTCCCGTCAAAATCGGTCCAGCAATTTCAGAGATTAGCCGGAACAAACAGACAGATAGACAAAAATTGTAAAAAATATTATTTTGGGTGTATGCGCCGTGTTTATATTCATATATGCATATAGTAAAAAACGGTTATTTCAATATTACAAACAGACACTCCAATTTTATTTATATGTATAGAATAGAATAGAAATAGAATAGAAAATCATTTATTCAAATAAACTTAATTTAAGCACTTTTGAATAGTCAACATTTTTTTTAAATCTACCGCTCATTCGGAAATCTGTCTCATCACAAGAAGAATAAGCAAGAAACTTGTGTGTTGCTCTTTTAAACAATCCTTGTAAGTTCACATTTTACAAGTCGAAACGTGTGAATACAAACTACCAACCAGCACTAATTTATTTAGGCTCAAACATAAAAACACGATAGATGTATAGATTGACCTAATTTTTATCTTTTTCGTAGATATCGTGGCCACTATATCGAAAATTAATAAGGTAACGAAAAGGAGGGACGCCATCTTCTTCCTGACGAGCCTTCTAGATATTACTAAAACGAGAGTGATTCAAGACACGAATACGGTCATCAAAGGTCTTACTACGAGAGGTATGACTATATATTTATGTAAATATAATAAATAATCTCAGGACAATTCACATAGCGCCATCTAGACCCAAGTTAAGCTAGCTAAAACTTGTGTTATGGGTACTAGATAACTGATAATAATAATAATCTAAGGACAATTCACACAGCGCCATCTAGACCCAAGTTAAGCTAGCTAAAGCTTGTGTTATGGGTACTAGATAACTGATAATAATAATAATCTCAGGACAATTCACACAGCGCCATCTAGACCCAAGTTAAGCTAGCTAAAGCTTGTGTTATGGGTACCAGACAACTGATACAAATACATAGATTTTTTTTTTCGTAAATACCTACATATTATACATAGAAAACACCCAGACCGACACAAACAATCATACTCATGAATACATATGTTTGTGCCGAGCGAGGAATCGAACCCGCGACGGAATAGAACACCGTCTTTCTTTCGCGGAAGAAAGACGGTGCTACAGCAATAGACCACCGTCAAAGAATATAAGTAAGAATAATAAATAAATAAAGATGTTTTTTTAGATATAAATTCTACCGTGCGAGAAATTGAACCCGCGACCATCGGAAGTAGAACGGTGGGCTATACCGCTAGACCAGCGAGGTCGTTAAATTAATAAATTGAGTATTTTATAATATACAGTAATACTATCAGATCGCGCAGCGCGTTGCTATGGCTGAGGTTCTTGAATAAAATAATATTGCGACTATAAATTGAGATGTAAGCTATCCTATCTTTCAAGTTGCATCAAATTGCACACAATGTGCAAATCAAATTTGCAATCGGTTCAATAGTTTAGGAGTCCATCGCGGACAAACAACGTGACACGTAATTTTTATATATAAAGATTAAAAAAGATAGTAATTAAATTTTTATGTTTTAGATTCCAACATATTGGAAATATTGGAGCAGATTCGCATCAAATCCGGTCATGATGACATTATTGATTTCTTCAAGAAGCTATTAACATACACTGGAACCAAATGTAAGTACCGATATATTATGATTTATGTTAAAAAAAAACATACAAAATTTAAGGAGATACTGTTTTAGTTTTATTTTACACTAGCTGGACTACGTCCGCATGGAATTTAACTTTATTTTTTTTTAAATAAAAGTAGCCTAAATTACTCCTTATTACATCAGCTACCTGCCAAAAAAAATCCCATCAAAATCGGTCCAGCCATTTCTGAGATTAGCCTGAACAAGCAGACAGACAGACAAAAATTGTAAAAAATGTTATTTTGGTGTATGTACCGTATTTATATTCATATGCATATAGTAAAAAACGGTTATTTCAATATTACAAACAGACACTACAGTTTTATTTATATGTATAGATGTGTATAGGTCAAAGAAAATTATAGGCAAAGACTTGGCATATGGAGATATATATTGGGAAAACTATTGACAAGACAGAACTCTATAAACAAGAATGTACAATAAAAAAAGGAATATAAATTTAAATACATAGTTAGAACAAAAATACATGTTCGAATAAATACAGATAAAAACCATCGCTCCTAAGAATATCCTTCAGTTCTTGTCCCTGACGGGTCTACGTAGCGAGCTCTGAAAAAGGGCGTGCACAATAGATCTACGTAGGTCGCAGTGCTACAGGTGCTACAGGCACCTGACAGTAGCCCAAACAACCCAATAAATAAAAAAAAAACACAATAATAGGGGTTTTCAAGAAGGGTATATTAAAGTTTCTATGTTCATTTAAGTTTGAGACAAAGTTAAACAAAAAGTACGCTCTATCCTGAGGAGATAAAAACCATCGCTCCTAAGAATATCCTTCAGTTCTTGTCCCTGACGGGTCTAGGCAACGAGCTCTGAAAAAGGGCGAGCACAATAGATCTACGTAGGTCGCAGTGCCACTCTCACTTAAGTTTGAGACAAAGTTAAACCAAAAGTACGCTCTTTCCCGAGGAGATAAAAAAACCATCGCTCCTAAGAATATCCTTCAGTTCTTGTCCCTGACGGGTCTAGGCAACGTACTCTGAAAAAGGGCGAGCAACGTAAGTCGCAGTGTTACACAGGTCTACACACCTGAGAATTGCCCAAAACCATACTTTAAAACATTTTTGAATAGACATCACTTTTTTAAAACTACCACTTAACAATATTTATTTTTAATAATACATTAATTTTTAATATAATTTTTCCAGCTGTACAGAGAGCCTGGCAGGAGATTATCATCATCACGGAAATCACAGGTGAGCAAACCCTGAAAGCTGAACTAAAGTTATTCAGATATATTAAAAACAAAAGATGTGAAGCGTTGTCAAGCTAAAAAGGACTCATCGTTATATTAATATTTTAAAGGATTTTAATGTAATGGTGCACCCGCCTGCGCTAACGGTATACGCTGGCGGAGCACCAGTGGAGGATAAGATGAGCATGAGGTCAGGTCAGTTAGCACATCGTGACAAATTCACCAGGAATTTATTATGATTGTTTCCAGGGTATACCGCGTGGAGGTCACATGACATGGTACATTGCTAGCAATAGGATCAACAGTCCACATTACTAACAATACCCTGCCCCGTCTTTATATTATTTATGCATATTATATAAAAATCATTTATATTAAATACTACCTGTTCCCTCGAAAGTAGCCTAGGTTACTTCTTATTACATCAGCTACCTGTCAAAAAAAGTCCGGTCAAAATCGATCCAGCCATTTCAGAGATTAGCCGGAACAAACAGACAGACAGACAAAAATAGTAAAAAAAATTATTGTACCGTATTTATATTTATATGCGTGTAGTAAAAAACGGTTGTTTCAATATTACAAACAGACACTCCAATATTATTTATATGTATAGATTAGTTGGTCCATGCCACTTCGTCTGCATCACACTTACTTGGAACGTCCAATTTTAAACACTAACGAAGTATCATCCGCAAACAGCACTATATCTGCAATTTTCTCTACCATAAAGGGAAGGTCATTTATGTAGATTAAAAAGAGAAAGGGGCCTAAGATTGACCCTTGTGGAACGCCCATCTTAATATTAGCTCCTTTAGATTTTACACCGTCAATATCTACAGTGTGGGCCCTGTCCTCTAAATAAGTTCTCATTAATTTTAGATCATTATCTCTTATACCATAATGCTCGAGCTTGTACAAAAGCGTTTTATGATCCACGCAATCAAATGCCTTTGATAGGTCACAAAAAACTCCGAGTGCATCCTGTGACTTCTCCCTTATATTATTATTACTTATTACTATATTTCTACCAATACACTATTATTCATTAATATCTCTTTAATTTATAGTCTATGTGTCATTCTAATATATAAGCTATATTACTGTAAAGTCTCATTAAAATCTGTTCTGTAGTTTTTGCGTGAAAGAGTAACAAACAGTAAGATTACACTATTAATATTACCAGTGGTCGCCACGTGGTCGAAATTCGACCATAACTAATTTAAATGATAAATTTGAACGTTACTTATCACAGACTATACTTCTTTAATCACAGAGGTTATATTTAACATTCAGTAAGACTATAGACAACTAATATTAAGGACAAACAATATTAATCTATTCTCAATTTGATCACATACTTTAACAATAAACAAAAGAGTATATTTATTATATTGATTTAATTATTTTTTTTCACAATTCAGACAACTCCATCTAGACCCAAGTTAAGCTAGCTAAAGCTTCTGTTATGGGTACTAGACAACTGACACAAATACATAGATATTTTTCTTCGTAAATACATACATATTATACATAGAAAATACCCAGACCGACACAAACAATCATACAAATGTTTGTGTTGTGCGAGAAATTGAACCCGCGACCATCGGAAGTAAGGCCATGTGCTAAACCGCTAGACTACCGAGGCCGTCAAATTAATATTTTTTATACGTAATTAAAAAAATAATATTAGTCTGCACTCGCTCTCTATATAAACTATAAGAGTGCGAAATTTCACACTCATCCGTTCGTATAATTTTCGTAATAAGTGTTACAAAGTTATTGCTTCACGTATTAATATAATATGTACTATTATTCGACAGATATTTTCATATTCTTCGAGACTGTATACAAGTACACCCGGGTGGAGGTGTTAGTCTTCATTGAGACTATACTCCGCATCACGAACTCTACCAATCTCAGCGCAGCCACATCCAAATTCACGAAGATCACGAGTCAGAATAGTAAGTGTTATTTTTTCTACCGATTTAAAAAAAGGATTACTTTTTTGTGTCATCATCATCATCATCATCACTTCAGCTCGGAAGACGTCTACTACTGGACAAAGGCCTCCCCCAAAAATCTCCACGACGATCGGTCTTGCCTTGCTCGCAACCAACGCTTTCCAGCGATCTTGACCAGATCGTCGGTCCACCTTGCTGGAGGCCTTCCCACGCTGCGTCTTCCGGGCCGCGGTCGCCACTTGAGGACTTTACTGCCCCAACAGCCATCTGTCCTACGAGCTATGTGCCCTGCCCATTGCCACTTCAGTTTCGCAATTCTTCGGGCTATGTCGGTCACTTTGGTTCTTCTGCGGATCTCCTCATTTCTGATTCTATCACGCAGAGAAACTCCGAACATAGCCCTCTCCATTCCTCTCTGAGTGACTCTGAGCTTATTCATGAGGCCCATAGTTAGCGACCACGTATTATCACTGGCAACACATTGGTTTTGTATGTAAATGTAATAATAATATTAATATCTCTGGACAGTTTACACACTATCCTAGTCCTTTGTATACCATTTTAGGTCTGATTAATTCTCTATTCTCCAATGCGGGATTTTTATAACTAGTGACCTCAGGTATTTTTTATATGGAACTTTTGTTTATGCAGACTAAACTTAAAGTTTGGCATTAGAACATATATTTTTTGATTCCCCGGCCTTCAATTTAAACAGAATTTTGCTCATTGCTAAGCTTCAAGAACTATATCAGATTATTCCGCCATCGCTTCAAGAACTATTCAAATGCACTGCAACTTTTAAACCAATTAATGACTTCATCATAGCAACTATCGGAGAATTATAAACATTTCAATTGTGGACACATACATGGACTTAACACAAACTTATAATTAATGAAAAGATTTGGCGATATCGCCTTGAAGAATGTTTGAATCTCATGGAAATACTACTGAAGATTAGGCTGTATGGTCTCGTACCTTTGCCTATCCACTTGTGGATAAAATATACCACTTTATTACTACTACTTAAAGTTTGGGTTGGTCTGTGGCATGTTGTATTCAAATATACCAACAACCCAAATCTGGACATGTCAAGTGTTGCGTTGACCACCGCGTTCCATAGACAATGACTGCCCATCCCATCCGTGATAACATTCGTGAATGTAACATATATTTATTTTATTCTTTTTCTAAATATACATTATTTAAATTTCAGCATTCTTCGAAAGTATTCGCGTGATTTACGAAATCATTCTTTATGGTAAGTTATTTATTTTTTTATTTATACAATCAATAGAGAATGTAACAAATTCTGTTGGTTATAGACGTATTTCCAACTAACAAGCTGGATTGGATGATGCATGATTATTGGTTAACCGTCGCCTATATGTATTGACATCATTTTCTTTGTACTACTCATACGTTGCCATTCATGTTAATTGTACTGTTTTTTTTTAAATCGTAATGGCAAACCAACATTATTTCTGAATTGCCATACAGAAGAATGCTATTACAAGCATCCTGGTAGATCGTTGGCAAGTTCTCACAATTGAGAAATCATCATACATAGCACTTTTATGTGATGTGATGATGATTCTGATATCATATGATGATATATCTGGTAAATTGCTGACCAGTCCTTACGATCGTAAATAGTATATGAAGATGTCTAAGAAATTCAACACTTTGTTTCTTGACATTACACTGTTTAATATATCCTTAAATCTCCAAAAACTTCATTAGCGAGTTTTAGGGCATTAGTTGTATTTTTGGAGACAGCAAGCTGCTAGCGTTAGTATTAGTTTGACAATAGTTGAAACTGTATACGCAGCAAGCGGATGCCTTACATAATGATGATCATGATGTGATAACATTGCCAATTCCTGAGAAGTGGAAGAACATTCTGCTGTCACGAGCATCCTGGTAGATTATTGATCAGTCAATGCAATTGAAAAATCTTTTTGAATAATATACAAAGATGTCTAAGAAATTCAACACTTTGTTTTCACTACACATTAATATATCCTTAACTCACCAAAAAACTTATTAGCGAGTTTTAGGACATTAGTTACATTCTTGGAAACATCAAGCTTATAGTCATAATTGGCAAATACACAGCAAATGGACACCTATATCGATAATGATGATCTATGTAATATATTTGAAGCTATATCTAGTGCTGAATTTAAAATAAACATTTTAATTTCAGATATCGTGAAATTCTTTGAGAGTCTCATCACAATAAGCAAGAGATTCTGTAAGTATTTATATATTAGGGTTGTATGTATTTTTTAATCTCAATTGAAAAGTAAGTGTCCAAAAAATAAAAATATAATGTTAGGGGTGGACAACCCTTATCACTTAGGGGTATAAAAATAGATAGCCGATTCTCATACCTACTGAATATGCATATAAAATTTCATAAAAATCTGTCAAGACGTTTCAGAAGAGTATGGTCACTAACATTGTGACACAAGAATTTTATATATAAGATATATATATTAATATGATAAATATCCTTTCTTTTATTTCTTTTGTCATTTGAATGGAATCTTATATGATGTGAAACGGTATTTATTTTTTATAGACTTACATACTGTTAAATACACTTATTACTCGAGTGGGCAGGGAAGTGAGCAGCGCGAGAGTGTAAACACGAGTGGAAACACTTCCCATGCCATTGGCGCTGCCACTCGCGCTGCCCGGCGCTCCCTCGATTATCGGTTTTTCGTGCGCGAGTCAAAGGACTGGCAGCGTGTTTTTACATTCAGCCCTCTCGCTCAGTTGTCGCCCGGCAATATTTTCGGCAGCGCGAGTGGCAGGGGAAGCGGCCGAATGTAAACGTAGCATTACAAGATGAACGAGCATAAAACTTGCGCGCTGTATTTATAGTTAAGACTAGCTGTTCCCGCGACTTCGTCCGCGTGGAATTTAACTTTATTTTTTCTAAAGTAAAAGTAGCCTAAGTTACTCCTTATTACATCAGTTACCTGCCAAAAAAAGTCTCGTTAAAATCGGTCCTGCCATTTCAGAGATTAGCCGGAACAAACAGACCGACAGACAGACAGACAAAAATTGTAAAAAGTGTTTTTTTGGTGTATGTACCGTATTTATATTCATATGCATGTAATAAAAAATGGTTATTTCAATATTACAAACAGACACTCCTATTTTATTTATATGTATGGATATATAATTAATGATCAATATCATATTTTTAAGATATTATGTGAATATTAGGTGTGTAAATACTATACCATAATTGTGCAATACAACTTAAATAAATAAAAAAACACATTTAGATTATTTATTCAGAACTGTCGGTGATTGATTTTTATTGTTTCCAGATTTCGAGGAAGTCATCACCATTATAGAAGAATACACTGAAACAACAGGTAAGAATCAATTATCTTAGGGTACAAACGAGCTTACGGCTCACCCTTTTTTTTTATACTACGATGGTGACAATTAAGCATACGGGCCATCTGATGGTAAATGGTTACCGTAGCCTATGAACGCCTGAAACACCAGGGGTATCGTGCACGTTGCCGACCCTTAAGAAACCTTAATATACCCTTCTTGGAAAACCCCACGCTATAGTCTCGTTGGAAAACCCCGGCAGGTAGTTCATTCCAAAATCTAAGTGTACGCGGGAGGAAGCTCCTCTGAAACCGCACTGTTCGGGACCACTTAGGTTCCAGCGTGTGGGGTTGAATTCCCTGTCGATGACGAGCGGTGGTAAAAGGTGGCCGTCGGCATCATGTCGAACAATTTCTCAGAACACAGTCCGTCCGTCACCTGATGGTAAGTGATTACAATCGCCCATGAGCACCCGCAACACCAGGGGAATTGTAAGTTGACGGCCTTTTAAGAAGGAATAAGCTCTTTTCTTTAAGGTTTCAATATCGTATCGGTTCGGAAATACCATTGCTGGAAGGTGATTCCACAATATGGTTGTGCGTGGCAAAAAGTTTCTAAAAAACCGCACTGTGAACGACCACCCTTCATCCAGATGATCAGGATGGTATATATTGAAGATCGCGCGTGAAAGGTGAAAGAATTAGAAGTATTTCCGCGTGAAAGAGCGTATGTGTAAAGGCAGCTATTGGAAGACTGTGACAAATGGTTTCCTCCACACACGTCGCAGACTAAAGTCGCATCCGTTAGGAGGGAGTTGGTCCTCAGGCGCAGTTCTTCCAAAGTTTTAGAACGCCCTCTGCATTCCTCCGGTGAAGTCGTAAAGACATGTTAGGGCAATCGGTATTAGAATGAAAAAAAAAATTACACTACTCAAAATTTGAAAATGTTTTCTATTCTTTGCTTGTTTCAGACTTCATTGATGCTTTGAAGACTCTACGAGAAGCCACTGGAGAAGACGGTATGTATATATTTGTAATAATTATTCAAATAATCATTAAATACTAAAGTTACTTTTATCCATGATCCCCCGCCCAATTCAAACGGGGATCAAAATTACGACGGCCTGAGCCGAGGTTCGAATCCCTAGTGGTGCCCTCAGAGTAAAGTCGTATCCGTGAAGAGGGAGCTGGTCTTCAGCCGCTTCTTCCATTGATTTGGAGTGCCATCTGCACTCGCCTCCTACCATCCGGTGAAGCTGTAAAGGCCAGCTGCGGCTAACACCATTAGAGTAGTCCGAAAAAAGTGATTAATGTTGTCAAACGGATTTTTACACGAATAATCTTATGGTAAATAAGACTCTGACTTATTCAGCTAGCGATCACTGCTAGTGCGCTACAAAAGAGTTAACTACCCTTACTTACCATTGCATTTATCGTTTAAATTGAATATCTTTTGTAGCATTTAAATAATTTCTATGCCATTTAGGTTATACATGTCGGACGAATTCGTTCTGTATGTTCACCGATTTTTACTGTTAAAGAATCTTGAATTTTACCTCATTTCAATTAGTGTTAAAACTAATTTAACTATATTAGTAAACTAAAAGCGAAAGTCTAAGGATAATATTTTTATTCAACTTAGTGTAAGTGCCATTCATCATATACACGAATAGCTCAACGACCAACACGTTGTCATTACGTTAAGGGTACCCATAAAGCGTTGCCATTCAGGAGAACTAAGAGTCAGTCATATAACATATCCTGTAATTTCACAGCTCTATTTTAATGATGAAACATACATTAAAAACAAGGTTTTTGTTTGGCGCCTGAAATATGTGAGACTGAGGTACCTTTACAAACTCTACCTTCTACGTTGAGAGTCCTGATTATAAGGGACTTGCAATGAAGACTTCGACTGTCCCAAGAAAATATCGACTATTTTAACCGAAGCACACCTTACAAACCTTGATTTGGCGCATGAAATATGTGAGCTGAGGTACCTTTAATACTTCTAAGTTGATTATTTAAAGCCATGATTGAATATGATTATTTTCTTTCTAGATATCATCAAGGCAATTGAGCATATTAAAAAGAATTTGCCTAAAAAGTTAACGACCACAACTACCACCACTACTCCAGCACCAACGACAACTACAACACCAGCTCCAACGACAACTACAACCCCAGCACCAACCACAACTACAACCCCAGCACCAACCACAACTACAATCCCAGCTCCAACAACAACCACAACGGAAGCCCCAATAACTACCACACAGGCTTCAGAATCGGAAAGTAACTCACAAAGCCAATCTGAATCAACATCATCAAGTCAATCAGGAGAATCTAGTTCACAGAGTCAATCTAACTCTCAGTCGTCTGCATCGTCGTCAGAGAATGCGCAGTCAGCAGAATCTAGTTCACAGAGTCAATCTGCTTCTCAATCTTCTGCATCGTCATCAGAGAATACGCAGTCAGCTGAATCTAGTTCACAGAGTCAATCTGCTTCTCAATCTTCTGCATCGTCATCAGAGAATGCGCAGTCAGCTGAATCTAGTTCACAGAGCCAATCTAATTCACAGTCTTCTGCGTCATCATCAGAGAATGCGCAGTCAGCTGAATCTAGTTCACAAAGCCAATCTAATTCTCAGTCTTCTGCGTCATCATCAGAGAATGCGCAGTCAGCTGAATCTAGTTCACAGAGCCAATCTGCATCTCAGTCTTCGGCATCATCATCACAAAATGAACAATCACAACAGTCTAGTTCGCAGGGCCAATCTGCTTCACAGTCGTCTTCGTCGTCATCACAAAATAACCAATCAGAACAGTCTAATTCGCAGAGTCAATCTGCTTCCCAGTCCTCTGCATCCTCGTCACAAAATGAAGAATCACAACAGTCTAGTTCGCAGAGCCAATCTGCATCTCAGTCGTCTTCATCGTCATCACAAAATGACCAATCAGTACAGTCTAGTTCACAAAGTCAATCTTCTTCTCAATCCGCCATTTCGGCATCAGAAACACAATCAACATCAACAGAAACAGAAAATTCCGAACAAGAAACTCAGAATGAGTCCCAAACATCGCGTACTGAGAAAGTAATAGAAAGGAAGCAAATAGAGAAAAAACAAATAGAAAGAAAAGAAATAGAGGAAGTAGTTTCACAAAATCAATCTGTGTCCCAGGCGGAGAAATCTGAACAAGTTACTTCAGAGAGTCAATCGACTTCTCAATCAGAGACATCACAACAAGAGCAATCCGAACAAAATGCTTCTCAAACTCAATCTGCATCCCAATCATCTGCGACAACATCAAATAATGAGCAAACAGAACAATCAAGTTCACAAAGCCAATCCGCATCTGAGTCATCTTCATCGTCATCAGAAAATGCACAGTCAGCTGAATCCAGTTCAGAGAGCTACTCTGCTTCCCAGTCTTCTGCGTCATCTTCAGAGAACGCTCAATCAGGAGAATCCAGTTCACAGAGCCAATCTAATTCTCAATCTTCTGCTTCATCATCAGAGAATACGCAATCAGGAGAGTCTAGTTCACAGAGCCAATCTAATTCTCAGTCTTCTGTATCAGCATCACAGAATGCGCAATCAGGAGAGTCTAGTTCACAGAGTCAATCTAACTCTCAATCTTCTGCATCGTCATCAGAGAATGCGCAAGCAGGAGAGTCTAGTTCACAGAGCCAATCTAATTCTCAGTCTTCTGCGTCATCATCAGAGAATGCGCAATCAGGAGAGTCTAGTTCACAGAGCCAATCTAATTCTCAGTCTTCTGCGTCATCATCAGAGAATGCGCAATCAGGAGAGTCTAGTTCACAGAGCCAATCTGCATCTCAGTCTTCTACTTCATCATCAGAGAATGCACAGTCAGAAGAATCTAGTTCACAGAATCAAGCTGCTGCTCAATCTTCTGCATTGTCATCAGAGAATGCCCAATCAGGAGAGTCTAGTTCACAGAGCCAATCTAACTCTCAATCTTCTGCATCGTCATCAGAGAATGCGCAATCAGGAGAATCCAGTTCACAGAGCCAATCTAACTCTCAATCTTCTGGATCGTCATCAGAGAATGCGCAATCAGGAGAATCCAGTTCACAGAGCCAATCTAATTCTCAGTCTTCTGCGTCATCATCAGAGAATGCGCAATCAGGAGAGTCTAGTTCACAGAGCCAAACTAACTCTCAATCTTCTGCATCGTCATCAGAGAATGTGCAATCAGGACAATCCAGTTCACAGAGCCAATCTAATTCTCAGTCTTCTGCGTCATCATCAGAGAATGCGCAATCAGGAGAGTCTAGTTCACAGAGCCAATCTAATTCTCAGTCTTCTGCGTCATCATCAGAGAATGCGCAATCAGGAGAGTCTAGTTCACAGAGCCAATCTGCATCTCAGTCTTCTACTTCATCATCAGAGAATGGACAGTCTGCAGAATCCAGCTCACAAAGTCAAACTGCATCTCAGTCATCAGAGAAAGCACAGTCAGAAGAATCCAGTTCACAGAACCAAGCCGCTGCTCAATCTTCTGCATCGTCATCAGAGAATGCGCAGTCAGCTGAATCTAGTTCCCAAAGCCAATCTGCATCTCAGTCTTCTACTTCATCATCAGAGAATGGACAGTCCGCAGAATCCAACTCACAAAGTCAGTCTGCATCTCAGTCTTCTTCATCGTCATCAGATAACGCTCAATCTGGAGAATCTAGTTCACAAAGCCAATCTTCTTCTCAATCTGCATCGTCATCAGAGAATGCGCAATCAGGAGAGTCTAGTTCACAGAGCCAATCTGCATCTCAGTCTTCTACTTCATCCTCAGAGAATGGACAGTCTGCAGAATCCAGCTCACAAAGTCAAACTGCATCTCAGTCATCAGAAAATGCACAGTCAGATGAATCTAGTGCACAAAGCCAATCTGCTTCTCAATCTTCTGCATCGTCGTCAGAGAATGCGCAGTCAGCTGAATCTAGTTCACAGAGCCAATCTGCTTCTCAAACTTCTGCATCGTCATTAGAGAATGGTCAATCAGCAGAATCTAGTTCACAGAGCCAATCTGCTTCTCAATCTGCATCGTCATCAGAGAATGCACAGTCAGCAGAGTCTAGTTCACAGAGCCAATCGGCTTCTCAATCTTCTGCTTCGTCTTCAGAGAATGCGCAGTCAGCAGAACCTAGTTCACAAAGCCAATCTTCTTCTCAATCTGCATCGTCATCAGAGAATGCACAGTCAGCAGAATCTAGTGCTCAGAGCCAATCTGCTTCTCAGTCATCAGAGAATGCGCAGTCAGCAGAATCTAGTTCACAGAGCCAATCTGCTTCTCAATCTGCATCGTCATCAGAGAATGCGCAGTCAGCAGAATCTAGTTCACAGAGCCAATCTGCTTCTCAATCTTCTGCTTCGGCTTCAGAGAATGCGCAGTCAGCAGAATCTAGTTCACAAAGCCAATCTTCTTCTCAATCTGTATCGTCATCAGAAAATGCACAGTCAGCAGAATCTAGTGCTCAGAGCCAATCTGCTTCTCAGTCATCAGAAAATGCGCAGTCAGCAGAATCTAGTTCACAGAGCCAATCTGCTTCTCAATCTGCATCATCATCAGAGAATGAGCAGTCAGCAGAATCTAGTTCACAGAGCCAATCTGCTTCTCAATCTTCTGCTTCGTCTTCAGAGAATGCGCAGTCAGCTGAATCTAGTTCACAGAGCCAATCTGCTTCTCAGTCTTCTGCATCGTCATCAGAGAATGCGCAGTCAGCAGAATCTAGTTCACAGAGCCAATCTGCTTCTCAATCTGCATCGTCATCAGAGAATGCGCAGTCAGCAGAATCTAGTTCACAGAGCCAATCTACTTCTCAAGCTGCATCGTCATCAGAGAATGCACAGTCAGCAGAATCTAGTTCACAGAACCAATCTGCTTCTCAATCTTCTGCATCGTCATCAGAGAATGCGCAGTCAGCAGAATCTAGTTCACAGAGCCAATCTGCTTCTCAAGCTGCATCGTCATCAGAGAATGCGCAGTCAGCAGAATCTAGTTCACAGAGCCAATCTGCTTCTCAATCTGCATCGTCATCAGAGAATGCGCAGTCAGCTGAATCTAGTTCACAGAGCCAATCTGCTTCTCAATCTTCTACATCTTCATCAGAGAATGCGCAGTCAGCAGAATCTAGTTCACAGAGCCAATCTGCTTCTCAGTCTTCTGCATCGTCATCAGAGAATGCGCAGTCAGCAGAATCTAGTTCACAGAGCCAATCTACTTCTCAATCTTCTGTAGCGTCATCGGAGAATGCGCAGTCAGCAGAATCTAGTTCACAAAGCCAAACTGCTACTCAGTCTTCTGCATCGTCATCAGAGAATGGTCAATCAGCAGAATCTAGTTCCCAAAGCCAATCTGCTTCTCAATCTTCTGCAGCGTCATCAGAGAATGCGCAGTCAGCAGAATCTAGTTCACAGAGCCAATCTGCTTCTCAATCTTCTGCAGCGTCATCAGAGAATGCGCAGTCAGCAGAATCTAGTTCACAGAGCCAATCTGCTTCTCAATCTGCATCGTCAACAGAGAATGCGCAGTCAGCAGAATCTAGTTCACAGAGCCAATCTGCTTCTCAATCTTCTGCAGCGTCATCAGAGAATGCGCAGTCAACAGAATCTAGTTCACAGAGCCAATCTGCTTCTCAATCTTCATCGTCATCAGAGAATGCGCAGTCAGCAGAATCTAGTTCACAGAGCCAATCTGCTTCTCAATCTTCTGTTGCGTCATCGGAGAATGCGCAGTCAGCAGAATCTAGTTCACAAAGCCAATCTGCTTCTCAGTCTTCTGCATCGTCATCAGAGAATGGTCAAGCAGCAGAATCTAGTTCACAAAACCGATCTGCTTCTCAATCTTCAGCATCTTCATCAGAGAATGCGCAGTCAGCAGAATCTAGTTCACAGAGCCAATCTGCTTCTCAGTCTTCTGCATCGTCATCAGAGAATGCGCAGTCAGCAGAATCTAGTTCACAGAGCCAATCTGCTTCTCAATCTTCTGTAGCGTCATCGGAGAATGCGCAGTCAGCAGAATCTAGTTCACAAAGCCAATCTGCTACTCAGTCTTCTGCAGCGTCATCAGAGAATGCACAGTCAGCTGAATCTAGTTCACAGAGCCAGTCTGCTTCTCAATCTTCTGCAGCGTCATCAGAGAATGCGCAGTCAGCTGAATCTAGTTCACAGAGCCAATCTGCTTCTCAATCTTCTGCATCTTCATCAGAGAATGCGCAGTCAGCAGAATCTAGTTCACAGAGCCAATCTGCTTCTCAAGCTGCATCGTCATCAGAGAATGCACAGTCAGCTGAATCTAGTTCACAGAGCCAATCTACTTCTCAATCTTCTGTAGCGTCATCGGAGAATGCGCAGTCAGCAGAATCTAGTTCACAAAGCCAATCTGCTACTCAATCTTCTGCATCGTCATCAGAGAATGGTCAATCAGCAGAATCTAGTTCCCAAAGCCAATCTGCTTCTCAATCTTCTGCAGCGTCGTCAGAGAATGCGCAGTCAGCAGAATCTAGTTCACAGAGCCAATCTGCTTCTCAATCTGCATCGTCATCAGAGAATGCACAGTCATCAGAATCTAGTTCACAGAGCCAATCTGCTTCTCAATCTTCTGCAGCGTCATCAGAGAATGCGCAGTCAGCAGAATCTAGTTCACAGAGCCAATCTGCTTCTCAATCTTCTGCAGCGTCATCAGAGAATGCGCAGTCAGCAGAATCTAGTTCACAGAGCCAATCTGCTTCTGAAGCTGCATCGTCATCAGAGAATGCACAGTCAGCAGAATCTAGTTCACAGAGCCAATCTGCTTCTCAATCGTCTGCATCGTCGTCAGAGAATGCGCAGTCGGCGGAATCTAGTTCACAGAGCCAATCTGCTTCTCAATCTTCTGCAGCATCATCAGAGAATGCGCAGTCAGCTGAATCTAGTTCACAGAGCCAATCTGCTTCTCAATCTTCTTCAGCGTCATCAGAGAATGCGCAGTCAGCAGAATCTAGTTCACAGAGTCAATCTGCTTCTCAATCTGCATCGTCATCAGAGAATGCCCAGTCAGCAGAATCTAGTTCACAGAGCCAATCTGCTTCTCAATCTTCTGCATCGTCATCAGAGAATGCGGAGTCAGCTGAATCTAGTTCACAGAGCCAATCTGCTTCTCAATCTTCTGCATCGTCGTCAGAGAATGCGCAGTCGGCTGAATCTAATTCGCAGAGCCAATCTGCATCTCAGTCTTCTGCTTCGTCTGCAGAGAATGCGCAGTCCGCAGAATCTAGTTCACAGAGTCAATCTGCTTCTCAATCTTCTGCATCGTCATCAGAGAATGCGGAGTCAGCTGAATCTAGTTCACAGAGCCAATCTTCTGCATCGTCGTCAGAGAATGCGCAGTCAGCTGAACCTAGTTCGCAGAGCCAATCTGCATCTCAGTCTTCTGCTTCGTCTTCAGAGAATGCGCAGTCAGCTGAATCAAATTCACGGAGCCAATCTGCTTCTCAATCTTCTGCATCTTCATCAGAGAATGCGCAGTCAGCAGAATCTAGTTCACAGAGCCAATCTGCTTCTCAAGCTGCATCGTCATCAGAGAATGCACAGTCAGCCGAATCTAGTTCACAGAGCCAATCTGCATCTCAATCTTCTGCAGCATCATCAGAAAATGCGCAATCAGCAGAATCTAGTTCACAGAGGCAATCTGCTTCTCAATCTTCTGCAGCATCATCAAAGAATGCGCAGTCAGCAGAATCTAGTTCACAGAGCCAATCTGCTTCTCAATCTTCTGCTTCGACTTCAGAGAATGCGCAGTCAGCTGAATCTAGTTCACAGAGCCAATCTGCTTCTCAATCTTCTGCTTCGTCTTCAGAGAATGCGCAGTCAGCAGAATCTAGTTCACAGAGCCAATCTGCTTCTCAGTCATCAGAAAATGCGCAGTTAGCAGAATCTAGTTCACAGAGCCAATCTGCATCGTCATCAGAGAATGCGCAGTCAGCAGAATCTAGTTCACAGAGCCAATCTGCTTCTCAGTCTTCTGCATCGTCATCAGAGAATGCGCAGTCAGCAGAATCTAGTTCACAAAGCCAATCTGCTACTCAGTCTTCTGCAGCGTCATCAGAGAATGCGCAGTCAGCAGAATCTAGTTCACAGAGCCAATCTGCTTCTCAATCTTCTGCAGCGTCATCAGAGAATGCGCAGTCAGCTGAATCTAGTTCACAGAGCCAATCTGCTTCTCAAGCTGCATCGTCATCAGAGAATGCACAGTCAGTAGAATCTAGTTCACAGAGCCAATCTGCTTCGCAATCGTCTGCATCGTCGTCAGAGAATGCGCAGTCAGCTGAATCTAGTTCACAGAGCCAATCTACTTCTCAATCTTCTTCAGCGTCATCAGAGAATGCGCAGTCAGCAGAATCTAGTTCACAGAGTCAATCTGCTTCTCAATCTGCATCGTCATCAGAGAATGCCCAGTCAGCAGAATCTAGTTCACAGAGCCAATCTGCTTCTCAATCTTCTGCATCGTCATCAGAGAATGCGGAGTCAGCTGAATCTAGTTCACAGGGCCAATCTGCTTCTCAATCTTCTGCAGCGTCATCAGAGAATGCGCAGTCAGCTGATTCTAGTTCACAGAGTCAATCTGCTTCTCAATCTTCTGCATCGTCGTCAGAGTATGCGCAGTCAGCTGAATCTAGTTCACAGAGCCAATCTGCTTCTCAATCTTCTGCAGCATCATCAGAGAATGCGCAGTCAGCAGAATCTAGTTCACAGAGCCAGTCTGCTTCGCAATCTTCTACAGCGTCATCAGAGAATGCGCAGTCAGCTGAATCTAATTCACAGAGCCAATCTGCTTCTCAATCTTCTTCAGCGTCATCAGAGAATGCGCAGTCAGTAGAATCTAGTTCACAGAACCAATCTTCTTCGCAATCTTCTGTAGCGTCATCAGAGAATGCGCAGTCAGCAGAATCTAGTTCACAGAGCCAATCTGCTTCTCAGTCTTCTGCAGCGTCATCAGAGAATGTGCAGTCTGCTGATTCTAGTTCACAGAGTCAATCTGCTTCTCAGTCTTCTGCATCGTCATCAGAGAATGCGCAGTCAGCAGAATCTAGTTCACAGAGCCAATCTGCTTCTCAATCTTCTGCATCGTCATCAGAGAATGCGCAGTCAGCTGAATCTAGTTCACAGACCCAATCTGCTTCTCAATCTTCTGAATCGTCGTCAGAGAATGCGCAGTCAGCAGAATCTAGTTCACAGAGCCAATCTGCTTCTCAATCTTCTGCAGCGTCATCAGAGAATGCGCAGTCAGCAGAATCTAGTTCACAGAGCCAATCTGCTTCGCAATCTTCTGCAGCGTCATCAGAGAATGCGCAGTCAGCAGAATCTAGTTCACAGAGCCAATCTGCTTCTCAATCTTCTGCAGCGTCATCAGAGAATGCGCAGTCAGCAGAATCTAGTTCACAGAGCCAATCTGCTTCGCAATCTTCTGCAGCGTCATCAGAGAATGCGCAGTCAGCAGAATCTAGTTCACAGAGCCAATCTGCTTCGCAATCTTCTGCAGCGTCATCAGAGAATGCGCAGTCAGCAGAATCTAGTTCACAGAGCCAATCTGCTTCGCAATCTTCTGCAGCGTCATCAGAGAATGCGCAGTCAGCAGAATCTAGTTCACAGAGCCAATCTGCTTCTCAGTCTTCTGCAGCATCATCAGAGAATGCGCAGTCAGCAGAATCTAGTTCACAGAGCCAATCTGCTTCGCAGTCTTCTACAGCGTCATCAGAGAATGCGCAGTCAGCAGAATCTAGTTCACAGAGCCAATCTGCTTCGCAATCTTCTGCAGCGTCATCAGAGAATGCGCAGTCAGCAGAATCTAGTTCACAGAGCCAATCTGCTTCTCAATCCGTATCGTCATCAGAGAATGCGCAGTCAGCAGAATCTAGTTCACAGAGTCAATCTGCGTCTCAATCCTCTGCAGCGTCATCAGAGAATGCGCAGTCAGCAGAATCTAGTTCACAAAGTCAGTCGCAGTCACAATCTTCGGCGTCTGAGAATTCATCAGAAAGTGCACAGTCACAACAAGCTAGTTCCCAGAGTCAGTCAGAATCAGCACAAAGTTCAGGTATGTACAATATCTTAGTAAATAGTTACTTAACACTGCGTATTATTATTACAGTTCGCCCGCTCAGAGTTTGCGTTTCGAACAGGTCGGGATAGAATAGGCGATGTAACTTTGAATTAACGTACGTACATAGTTTTTAGAAGTTAAACCACATCGAACTGCGCTGTTTCAAGGTTACAGAAACGCGTACTCTGAGCGGCCGGACCTTAAACTTCTTACCTGTCTACATTTATAGGTTATATCGATTAGCTACCTGAACAGGAAATGTTCTTTCGTTCTTTTTGATTCGTTTTATCGCGGTAAAAGCTACACACGCAATCGTGAGGGATTACATTTAACTATTTGGTTTTTTTTGCACTCTTTCGCGCGTAAGCTTCATTTCTCTTTCTTTAAATTTTTTTATTTTTATTTTCCATAGATAAATATACTTATAAATTGTCTATAGCTCTATAATTGTTATTGCTTCATTGTCCGTTATTTTTAAATGATAATTAGTAAATGATATCGGTATTGTTGTACTCGGGGATGCGCTCACTGTTTGCGTGTGCTGTCTCTCTCGTTCTCTGTCTACATTTACATGCACACTCTTTGTTGCGTGAAACGTGATTCGGGCGCGAAAGACTCGCCTTCACTACTTGCAGCCTCCTCCAGGCCCAACTAAATCTGGAATAAACCCGTCTTTGTAGCGATTATACCCCGAAAGAAAATTATTCAACTACCGACTTCCGTATTTATAGACCGAAGTCAGTGTAGTAGGGAGAGCGGGGGTAACGGTTATCTTATGACAAACATCTTAGTTCGGTCCATAAATACTAGATGGCGCTATTTATAATTTTTGTAAACACAAACTACCTTCTTTTAATATTTTTAAAATATTCGATTGTTCTACAATATTGATGTGAAATCTATCCCATCAAAAACATAAATGTGAAATGATAGCCGAGTTCAATATTATGATATATGCCTTGATTGTTTACTTCTACGACAAAAGAGGTGAGATCTAAATGGGTGCCAAGTTCAATGGTCTGTCCTGAAATGTATTTATAATCATATAAAAATCATTTCTTCTTATAACTTAGCATAATATACTGTAGCCTAAGGTCTGACTTGGCTAGTTCTCATATACCAATTATTACTTTCGATGGCTAGTTACTACTAATAACAAAATAGGAACCGACAAGTAAGAGGTTTAGAACTTGCGAAGGCTACAGTATATTTCGGTCAAAAGTGGCTCCAAATGGTTCGTGTAAAACTACACACGGTGCTGCTCGCCAGTTCTCTGACTTGAACTCGGCTTTGACACGCTCCCGCGTGTCTAGATAACACTTGTGTATGGGTGCTGCTCACAAGCAATTTCTGTTCAAGCAACAAAGGGAATTTCTGTTCAGGTTACGAACACTGCTAGACGATTTGCTTTTGCAATAGCAATAGCATATGCTGGTGGTCACTCTATTCTCCCAAATTTGAATTTAAAAATGAATCTGTATTATTGTAAACATGTACAATATTTATTTGAAAAGAATACGAGCTGAGTTTCTTGCCAGTTCTTCTCATCTCGAAATCATTCCGAACTGACGGTAGATTTGACATATCATAAGAGTCTGTAATAGACCTACATGAATGAAGATATTTTGAATGTTTGAATTTGAATTTCAGCTCAACAGCAGTCAGAAGAGTCACAAGCAAGTAGTTCATCGAACTCAGAGTCAGCATCAGAACAGAGTAGCCAATCTGAGTCTCAGTCAGAAGCAAATGAAACCGCGTCGAATCAAGATGAAATTGTGCAATCTAGTCCTAGTCCTGTGGGACCCCCGGTTAGGCCTGGTGTTGGTGGCAAGTTGGCTATACAGCAAGGAAAGAGAGGTAGGTTAACAGACATTTTTACGAACTACTCTAGTGCGTTCGCAGCTGGCCTTTACAGCTTCACGGAACGATAGGGAGCGAGTGTAGATGGTCACTCGAAACCAAAGGAAGGACTTATGGAGCGGCTTAAGGATCATTTCTGCTTGGCAGGTACAACTTTAGTCTGAGCTCCGCTTCGATCTCTGATTAAATTGGACGGGAGATCAATAGGAGGGTGACTTAGGAAGGTAGAAAGGTCAATCAGATATATTTATGTATATTAGTTTGGACTGGTTGACATCATCATCATCAAAGTCGTGATGTCTGGGGATGACTTTTACATGAAGTACTAAATTTAACGCGTTAAATTTCAGTACATAAATAGCTTATTGTTTATTATTTTGATGTATAAGCTATATTACTGTAAGTTTCAACAAAATTCGTTCAGTAGTTTTTGCGTGAAAGAGTAATAAACAGCTATACTTACAAACTTTGGTGTTTACGATATTATTAAGATATGACTGTTCAAACCTCCAATTATGGATGACCCTTATGATGTTCGTATAGACTACAGAGTAATAAAAATAATGGAATGTTCCAGAAATTTCCCACGCTTTGGAAACGAGTATGAACTTGAAGATATTAATCTTACCCAACGGGCCAAAACAGAAAAATTGCTATTGTACCTGCGAGAGTGATGCCAGCCCGAAATTGATCCCTGTCAAGGATCTACCAGCAGAAATCACGGCGCTAGGAAACTAATTAAGACATTTTATTTTATTTTTTATTATTGGCAAGATGGCTGTATACCGAGTTGCCATTAAAAAAAACAAGTGTTGCCATTATAAAAAATATATCTATACTATAAAATGTTTTAATAACGTTTTTTATATTATTAAATAATAAAAGAATAGATTATTTTATATTTATATTGGTAGGTAATTATTTTTATTAATCTGTACCTAATAAACGAAAGAAGTTGTCAATTGCAAAATAAAATTAAACAATTGGAAAATATAAAATTCTTAAAAAAAATATAATATAATACAAATATAGTACAGATAAAATAATATTATACTTAAGTGCATTAATTATAATACTATGTTGTTAATCATACTATATGTTCATCATACATATATTTGTAATTGCTTGAAATTGTTAATATATTTAAGTACCCATACCTGCTTATATATTTTCGAGCAAATAAAACCTTTATATCATTCTTTTTTTATATGATTTGAATGGCAAATAAGCTGACCCACCAGGTAAGTAGCATTCATATATGATCATCCTGTGGTAATTTTTTTTATTTGGGGAGTTTGGGTGACTGTCATTTCTTTTTATGGATGATAATGGAATGGTGCACCCGGCTGTGCTAACGGTTTGCGCTGGCGGAGCACCAGTGGAGGATGAGCCCATGTGACAAATTGACCAATGACAAAAAAAGACCCAGCCCACGTAACATAACAAAAAATTCTTGGAGAATTTGTCACGATAGTTTCCAGGGGGAACCGCGTGGAGGTCAATCTGACATGGTATATTGCTAGCAATGAGATCATCAGTCCACATTACTAATAATCCTCTTTCCCCCCGGGCGACTGTCAGTTTTTTTTTATGATAATGGAATGGTGTACCCGCCTGCGCTAACGGTTTACGCTGGCGGGACACCAGTGGAGGATGATAAGATGAGCATGAGGTCAGGTCAGTTAGCACATCGTGACAAATTCACCAAGAATTTATCATGATGGTTTCCAGGGGAACCGCGTGGACAACCTGACATGGTACATTGCTGGCAATAAGATAATCAATTCACATTACTAACAATCCTCTTTCCCCTGGGCGACTGTCAGTTGCTAAGACCTGTAACTGCGACCTACATAGACCTATTAGAATAGAATAGAATAGAAAATCATTTATTCAAATAAACTTACATTGAAGCACTTTTGAATAGTCATCACATTTTTTTTTAACCTACCGCTCATTCGGAATGCTGCCTCATCACAAGAAGAACAAGCAAGAAACTTGTGTGTTGCTCTTTTAAATAATTTATTCTTACTTACAATTTAAGTGTAAGTGTGTGAATACAGACCACCGATTAGCACTAATTCAATGAAATAATAAAATAGAAAAAACATTCAATCTACAACAACTGGTTAAACAATTAATAAGAGAAAATAAGTCGTAGTGATTAGAGCAGACCAGTCCACACAAGCAGCACCCGTTCACGAGTATGACGGATGAGCCAGCCACCACTGCGCTCGACCATATTTTAGGGAGCCCAATGACCCGGCCCACCACGCCACCACAAGTCTGGACATTGTGCTCGCACTTATTCAAAGTTCGCTACCTACACCTGTTAAGAGGGAAGGGGATTGCCAGTAATATGGACTCATGACCCCATTACTATCAATGCACCATGTCAGGTTGACCTCCATGCGGTTCCCCCTGGAAACCATCGTGATAACTTTCTGGTGAATCTGTCACGATGTGCTAACTGACCTGACCTCATGCTCATCTTATCATACTCCACTGGTGCCCCGCCAGCGTAAACCGTTAGCGCAGGCGGGTGCACCATTTCATTATTATCCATACAAAAAAAAAACCTACATCTGTCAGACACAAGAATTGAAGGATATTCTTAGAAGCGACGGTTCTTATCTCCTCAGGATAGAGTGTATACTTCCAAAGTATTTCGTTTATGCAGGATATAAATTATGGATAATAATGAAATGGTGCACCCGCCTGTGCTAACAGTATACGCTGGCGAGGCACCAGTAAAGGATGAAGCCAAGTCAGTTAGAACATCATGACAAATTCTCCAAGAATTTGTCAGTTACGTTGGGCACCAGGGAAGGATGATAACATGACCATGAAACCAGGTCAGTTAGTCACCATGGTTTCCAGGGGGAACCGCGTGGAGGGCAACCTGATGATACCTTGCTAGCAATGGAGTCAACAGTCCACTTGCCCCCTACCCTTGTAAGTTACAATTACTAAGGTTTAATAATAATTCAGGACAATTCACAGAGTTGTGTACTCTTATGTTCTGTACAATTGTTAGAAATATTTTTTTTAAATACATACATAAAATATATAGAAAACATGCAATACAAACATAGATAATGGAATGGTACACCCACCTGCGCTAACGGTATAATGCTTGCGGGGTACCAGTGGAGGATGGTAAGGTGAATATGAGGTTAGGTCAGTTTTTTTTAATGGTTGATAATGTAATGGTGCACCCGCCTGCGCTAACGGTATACGCTGGCGGGGCACCAGTGGAGGATGATAGGATGAACATGAAGTCTGATCAGTTAGCCCAACGTGACAAATTCACCAGGAATGTATCACGATGTTTTCCAGGGGGAACCGCGTGGAGGTCGATCCGACATGGTACATTGCTAGCAATGAGATCATTAGTCCACATTACCAACCAACCCTTTCCCCCTCCCCTTCCCATTTTTTTTTTTTTTTCTGTGGATGATAATGGAATGGTGCACCCGCCTGCGCTAACGGTTTACGCTGGCGGGGCACCAGTGGAGGATGATAAGATGAGCATGAGGTCAGGTCAGTTAGCCCATCGTGACTAATTCACCAGGAATTAAACACGATGGTTTCCAGGGGGAACCGCGTGGAGGTCGACCTGACAAGGTACATTGCTAGCAATGGGGTTATCAATCCACATTACTAACAATCCCCTTCCCCCCCTCCCCTTCACATTAGTGAGACTGAGGTACTCACGCGGACCTCCTTTTAAAGTCTACCTCGATATATTATTAGTATATAGGTCTTCTACATTTGGGCAAAGATATTGCTCTGGGATATAGGAAAAATTGCAAATAAAACGAACAGAAAAATAAAAAATTATTTCTTTTATTACATTTTTATTTATAAATGATTTATCTTTCTCTTAGACGTTTATCTTGTTGATTGTTTAACGGTGAACATAAAACCAACTGTAGGTACGACCATGTAGCATCAATTTACATTATAATACATATACTTATAATAAAAAAGGCATTAAATTCATATATATTCCAGACGATTTCATATCCATTCCATTTTTTAACATTAACAATAAATCACATTTCAATTTTCGAACGTTTCATTTTTTATACAATAAAAACATCGACAGGAAACAAAGTCGACAATAAAAACTTATTAAAAACATATAATTACGACGGTATAAAATGGAAATAACCTCTAAAAACATTTAAAATCAAATAAGTTTAAAAAAAGAACTCATTGGTAGTCTGTGACATTCGTAGATGTCAAGTTGTTCTATTTTCAAAGAGCGTTTAGACATTATTGCATGTATTTTTTGCGCGGGAAAGCGTGTTTTAATTACTTTTAACATCAAATTTGTTTATTACAAAAATATAACAATTTTAAAATTTGTAATTTATGAGAAAAACAATGCTAATATATACGTCTACATGATTAAAAACAAACGTATATCAAAATGTGTAATACCAGAGACTATTACTACCGAAACTAATGTGAGATATATAGACTATCGGAACATAGATGGCGCCACATTATAATAATTATTTACAGCTATTATTACCAACTTCTTTTTAATTATAAACGTAGTTTTTAAAGCGGTAAAATAGTTTTTACCTTGGCGAGAGTTACCATATTTTGTTCATTTTTATAATATTTTAAGTAATGCGTAAAATTTTCATATGTAGTTTTGCAAATTAATCCACCGCAGTTTGAAACAGTCATAGACAAAATGAAAAAAAAAAAATATTAGGCACTGGCGAGAAGACATTAGCCAAATAATCATAGACATAATTTGACGTAAATATTTATATAATTACACAACTCCATGCTTTAACATAAGATGAACGCATATTTTTATATGTACATCTACAATTTTCTGGATAACTGGTGTAACATATATTTATGGTAGTAATTATTCTATGGTAATATTATACTGCCAATAAAAACAAACGAAGATTTCTCAGGGTTGCCAACCTTAAAAACTTGAAGCACGTACGAAGACATAAAAAATCTGCTATAATCAAGTACATTAACTCAATTTAGTTCTTTCATTTCGTACATTATTGTATTAAGACTGAAATTTGTAGGACAAAATCTCGTATAAAATTGTACGAAGAAAGCTAGTTTTTAATATTCGATAGGATAAAATCTCATATTATGACGTTGGCGTCCCTGTTCAAAAATTTTCGTGACAAATATTTATTACGAATAATTTTTAGCATAATTGATTGTTTCAATTGCCTATAAACAATAACATTTTCTTGCAAGTTCATCTGGATTAAAACTATTTCTTGAAGTGAATGAATTAATAATTTCGTTCACATTACATTTCATTCACTGGATAAAAAATGGCGTATATGAATGACATATATATATATATAGTAGAAACAGATATAACAACATGCATATTATATCTTGTTCTAATATTTAACAGTTGATTTTTTTTATTATTTTTCTAATAAAAATATACCATATTTATGAAAACCGAGAAATTATTCTTAAAACTTTATATTTATTTACTATGGTTTAATAATAATAACCCTGCACAATTTATACAGCGCCATCTAGTCCCAAGCTAAGTAAAGCTTGTGTTATGGGTACTAGAGACCTCGTCGGTCTAGGTGGTCAAGCGTTTGCATTACTTCACGTCGGTCGCGGGTTATTTTCCGTAAGGTGCAAAAATTTGTTTTGTTGTTGTATTTGTTTGTATTTTTGTCTGGGTGTTTGCTATGTATATTTAAAAAAAGTATATAATTTCTATTAGTTGATTAGTACCGATAATACAAACTCTGACCAGACCAGGGACTAGATGGCGCTGCGTTAATTGTCCTGGGTTATTATTAAAAAAATTCATAAAAAAAGTTATAGAAAATTCAAAGTATAATAATATAAAATTATTTCACATAAAAAAGATATAAATGGTATAAAAAAGAACTGTACAATTGTGATTTTAAATTAAAGTTTAAAACTTCCAAATTGCGCGCGCAGTCTTTCCCGCGCTAAATCGCGCGCGCTTCAGATCGCGCGTGAACGAATGGTAAAGGCAGCTTAGCTGTTTTTTTTATTAACTTTCGCGCGTATTTACATGTATGACTCAAATCAATACACTTCCTTTTAAAATTTAAAATTTTACTTCAAAGATTTTATTTTCAGAAGACACGTTTAAGATTTAAAAAATATTAATAACTTTATATTTATGTTTTTTTTTTCAATAGTCAGTTGTCCGCCATTTTGAAATGATACTGGTAAGTCGTTAAATGACTCCGTACTGTTGTACGCGGGGATTCTCTCACTGTTTGCGTGTGCTGTCTCTCTCGTTCTCTCTGTCTACATTTGCATGCACACTCTTTGTTGCGTGAAACACGATTCGCGCGCGAAAGTACGTACGTGTAAAGGCAGATAAAGAGGTATCGTTTGAGAAGCAAAAGTTTGCAAAAGCACTGAGTCTATCACAGATATTGAACTGTGCCTTTTGACAAGCAACAAGCGATTCTAGTATTACAAACGTCATATCGATGGTAAATGAATCTTTATTATTGTAAACATTTCATATAACATTTATTTGAAAAGAATACGAGCTGAGTTTCTTGTCAGTTCTTCTCATTTCGAAATCATTCCGAACTGACGGTAGATTTGACATATCATAAGAGTCTGTAATAGACCTACATGAATATAGATATTTTGAATTTGAATTTGAAATGGTAACTGTCGCCTATATATGAACAGTACCACCGATTTTTTTTTATTAATAAATTAATCATGACCCTGGAGACAAGTCCTTCAGGCGTACACATTTTTGTACAAGTAACATAAACCACGGATATTTAGTTCTCATGTGTTGCCTGTACTACTAATGTGTTGCCATTTCTAAGGACTAAGATGTTATTTCACTGGCTTATTACTTTTTTTTTGGCTTTTTAATTTTTAACTGGCTTATTAATTTTTGACGGCTGGTATAAGTTAGACCGAGGTATCACCGCAGACTTTGTACAAAGTCGACTATAGAAAATAGATGTGACAGGGGTACGCAACCAGACGACTTTGTACAAAGTATACCTCGGTAAAATAGATGAAACAGAGGTATTCAAAGAGACGACTTTGTCCAAAGTATATTTCAGTAAAATATGTGAGACAGAGGTATCAAACTGATGACTTTGTACAAAGTCGACCTCAGTAAAATGAATGAGACAGAGGTATCCAAGCAGCTGGCTTTGTACAAAGTATAATAGGTGAGACACAGGTATCAATCAGACGACTTTATACAAAGTGCACCTCATTTACTTAGGCGAGACAGAGGTATCAAACTGATGACTTTATATAAAGTTTCCTCAGAAAATTAAATGAGACAGTGGTAGCCAAGCTGATGACTTTATACAAAATGCACCTCATTAAAAATAGGTGATACACAGGTAGCCAAGCAGACGACTTTATACAAAGTAGACTACAACAAAATAGGTGTGACAGAGATATTCAAAGAGACAACTTTGTACAAAGTCGACTACAACAAAATAGGTGTGACAGAGGTATTCAAAGAGACAACTTTGTACAAAGCTGACATTCGTATTACTTGTCAATACTTGCCGCTTGTCTACAAAACAATTATGCAACAATATGATGTACTGTCGTCAAAAGAATTGCGCGGATTAAAAATTAAAAACATTATTCAAATTTATTTAAAGTAAAAAAACGAGATCCCTGCCCTGACATATCAAAAATAATGTAAAAAACAGAACGTATAAATACATTCCACAGACTTACGTTCCAATTAAAAAAACAATGGTTCGGTTCCATTTTTAAACGCTCATTGAAATAGTGTTCCATTTTCAAATAATGTGGCCATTTTGTGTTGCATAGTGGAAGTTTCTGGAAACATTTTGGAAGTAACCACGCAGTCATATCCTGAAATGAATAGAATGAATGCAATTATTAAATTTATATATTACTAGCTGGAGCCCGCGGTTTTAACACTATTAGAGTAGTCCGAAAAAAAGCGTCGAAGGTTGGTAACAACTAATAATAAAAAAATACAAAATACATTTCTCAGTGTGTTACTTTTTTACGAAAAATCCGCTGTCAGAACGTAACAAAATTAATTATTAAAATATCATGAAGAGACAGTACGTCTGTTATCTCAAAATTTAACCTCAGAGGGAGTGAAATAAGGATGAAAGTTTGTGCATTGTGGCTGATAACTGTTACTATTATAAAAGCGAATACGTTTGTGTGTCTGTTTATTTAAAATTAGTTACAAGATCATAAGGAAATTCTACGTAAAAATATGTCTACCATAATAGCAAAAGTATCTATAGCGTCTGGTGTAACATATAATGTTAAACTCAAAACAACCAAAGGGCAAACTTAGGTTATATTTGATATAAAAAAGGCAGACGAATTTGCAACTACATATAAGGATCCAGGGATGTTATGGATATGAAATTTCGGATACGGATTCGGATGCGGATATGAAATTATTTGGGATTATCCGTTAGTTTTGGATAATTTCGGTTATGGATATATTTTGTTAGGAATTTCAAAATTAAAATACCAATAGCTAATAAAATGGTTACATAACGTGTCTCAATTAGGCTCCGACCCTAACCGGTATTATCCGAAACTTTTATTTCGGTTTTGGTTACGAATATTTTTTATATCGGATATCCGATAGTTTCGCTTACGGTTTCGGAGCTCCCTAACATCCCTGTGAACTATGAACTATAAACAAAAACTTACCTCATTCCATCCCAGATTCATTCACATTAAAATAACTGGCCCCCATACTTTCTCTATGCAGAGTTGACACAACATGTTTCTTAGCATTCTCGCCTTCAATTAAATCCGCCTTGCACACACCGCATCTCAATTTCCCAAACTCATAATAAACATATTTATTCCTCCCAAGCATATTAATATTGTGTTTCAATTCTAAATAAAACCGGAATATGTTCTCTGCGTTTGGCTTTACAGGGAAATGGTCGGCGTAAATCAAATGCGACAGCAAAGACCTTATAGAGTTGAAGACTCCGCTACATATCTGACAGGTGAAGGAAGCACCTTCGCTATGCAAGATATAGTCACCTTGCATGTAAACACTGACAATATCAGACTTATTATCTTTTACCTTGGCTTCAGAAATACGATTCTGATGGTCAATATTTGAAATTATATGCGTTATTGCTTCGGTAACATCTTGGAATGGTATGTTGCAATAATTGCACTGTATTGTGTCATCTGTTACAATTTTATTCGACGACAATATTTCTTTATCAACATTCTCGGGATAAAGCGCTGAGCGCACCAACTTGGATATCGTTTCAACGTGTAAAGCACTATCGAAATGCTCTACGATCGCTGCAAAGGATGGCAAGGCTACGTACTTGGGACAGATCGCGCAAACGTAGTAATTACCGAAGCTAGCATAGTATTCGGACGGGCGGCAATGGTTTTTGTAGAGCAAAGCTAATTTGTACGGGGCGGCGTTCCGCAGATGCTTTTTCTGCCGGATATGGTTGAAGAGCACTTGTCTTGGTCCCTTCAATGTCATGTCACAGCAAGTGCAGTAATTGGCGATCTTCCCGGATGGCTTTATGAAGTTCTCGATGATGACGTGGTCGCGGTTATGCTGCGGTTTCCCGACGCTGGCCAGGAACTTCGTCCAGTCTAAATCCTTCGGGCCCCACTCGTCGGGAACAGCCCCATCTGGGTTGTTAACCTTCATTCTGCGGTACAACTTATCTGATAGTTTAGCTAAATGGTTCTCTTCGAGGATATGCAATGTAGAAGATTCTATAGAATCTATTGAGGTCTTACAAAGGCCGCATTTTAAGCCATTCGAGTCTTCTGTAACGTCATGACCATAGAGAAACTTTCTGTTCATCTCCTTGATTTTATCTATAGAAGCGTTGTCCATAGAGAAGGGAATATTATTATCTGCTTGTAAAATACAGGATAAGTTATGGATATGCGTTTCACTAAACACATGATTCAGAACGCTATCGTACGTGAATCTTAATGTATAATACTCGCACGCCATGCAGAAGAACGCGAGCTTTCCAGTACGGTCGTCGATTAACGATAATAGTTTGTGATTGTTAAGTAGTTTGATTATGAAATTCTCAATAGGTCCGTAATATCGGTATTTTTTCACTTGATTCTTAATTGGTTTCTCTGGCAATTGTTCAGTATCCTCATTCTCTATGTTTTTATTGGCATCTGCGGCAAAATTCTGATAAACGTTGTCTTTAATGCTCATAATTATTGGCGCGACAGAACTCGCTTGCGTGGAGAAATCAATAAGAGTGACATCCTTACAAAGTTTATCGTACGCCCCGTGATAGAACTTCACCGCAGCATCTATGCTGGCCTCGGATTTATCAGGGAGATGCCTGATCAATGCCGCTTCAAGTTTGGATAAAAATCCACGGTCTAATTTCTCCATTGGCTTCACTAATTGCATTATTTGGTCTAAGTTCTGCGCTGGTGTTTCACCGCATTCCATTGCGGAGAGTCTTCTGGACATATTGGGCAGAATGATCGGTTCTGCCACGTCGACGCTTTCTCGCTTCATCTTCGGTAGATGCACCTCTAAATTGAAGTGCTTTTGCAGAGATTCCATCAATGGCTCTTCGTCGTTCAACTCGATTTCTACTTTGCAGTCCGTACAGATGTGCACTTGTTTGGCATTCTCGGCTGTCTGGAGCTCAGCTTTTAGCAGTTCCGGAACTTCGCTCACTGGCAAACTATTGAACCGTTGCCTCTGAAGGCTACTCTTCTTTTCGGTCGTAAATATATACTCCACTTCAACGCCTTCGCGTTTTTGGAAGAACACTTTCTTATGAGTGTCTGTCAAGGTCTTTAAATATTTGTGTACAGAGGGTTTCTGTTGAGTCAGCTGATGATTTAGAACGTTCTCGAAGTGTTTTGCTAGACGCTTCATGTCGTCGATCTTTCTAAATGAAATAACGGATAATTCCGATATTTTGTCAGTTAATTCCTCTACTTTGGCCATATCTGCCATCGTGTAGGTGTTAAAATAGTGCTTAAAATAACAAGACCTGTCCTGGAGTTGTGTCCAAGACTTTAAGTCTTAAAAACCAAGGAAAATAAGAATTTTAGGCCCGTACGATTACCGAAAAGTCCATAAAATGGATTTTTATAGTGAGATTAATAATTCTGAGTGAGATTTGTATAGCGTGTTTTTATTAAAACAAAATTGGTGTGGTTGGTGGGGAGTATCACCGCATTTCAAGATCTGGAACAGAAGAAAACGATGGGTATTAGTGAATTGCAAATTTTATTATAACATTAGCTGTACCCGCGACTTTGTCCGCGTGGAAATTAACTTTATTTTTCTAATTTAAAACAATTCTTCTAAAATAAAAGTAGCCTAAGCCCGTCAAAATTGGTCCAGCCATTGGTCGATTCCTTATATAGTACAGGAAACGAAACCGCTACGAATGGAAGTGACCTGGTAAACCACTAAACTACTGAGGTCGCTGTGAAATATTAATTAGTAATTGTTTATAGTTGAGATTAAAATATAATAATAATAATAACAATAATATATTTATTTGTCAGAATATGGTATGTACATGGTGGTAAGTATATATAATATATGTTTCATCATATTCTGCTGTTTCCAGCGTACAAATATTAAATCAATCAAGTCATTATAAATTCTAAATATTACTCATTCACCATAACTTCTTACTTTAAAAACATTATGGAATATAATAGAATGCAATATTTCATTAATTGTCAACATTTTATTTTAATTCTAAATAATTCAATTGATTGATACTATTTCTAAATACATCACAATCACATTACTAGCCGTTACTTGTCATTAAGGAATTCATCAATTGAATAATAACATTTTTCCAGTATCCATGAATATACACGTTTTTTAAAGAATGTGGTATTGAGACTTTTAAAATTGTCTGGTAATTTATTATAAATACGGATCGTCATGCAATATACATTATTTGATTATATTATATTAATAATTTCAATTTACTACTGCCGTATTTTCCTTATGATATTCTTAACAGAAATAAATTATGGGGAAAATGTACATAATTTACTTGAAATTACTGCTATTTGGCAGACATCTTTATTTTATACTAGCTACTCGCCCCGCCTTCGCACGGGTGTACATGTATCTGTACTACATAATGTAATATATATAACTCAAAGGTGACTGACTGACATAGTGATCTATCAACGCACAGCCCAAACCACTGGACGGATCGGGCTAAAATTGGTAATGCAGGTAGATGTTATGACGTAGGCATCCGCTAAGAATTTTGATTAATTATACCCCCAAGGGGATAAAATAGGGGGTGAAAGTTTGTATGAAACTTTGTTAATTTTAAACCGATCGGGCTGAGACTTTGCATGCATAAAACTACTATGACGTAGGCATCCCCTAAGAAAGGATTTTGATAAATTCCAACCCTAAGGAGATAAAATAGGGGATGAAAGTAGGGGCAAAATCTCAAATTTGCGGGTATCGACTTGAGAGAACATTGCTTCTCTCATGGACAGTTTTATGTTGCTTGCTCACGAGTAAGTTCACCCAATAGCTTGATAGTTTTATCGCCTCATGACAGATTAGTTAAGAATATTGTGTACAAAGAAGTTTTACGCCCTAATTTTTTACACACTAAACAAAAGTAAAGCCGCGAAAACTATATCTAATTAATAATAATACTTCTTAACGCGAGCGAAGCCGCGGGCAAAAGCTAGTTATAAATATAAACCTTCCCTTTGAATCACTCTATCTATTAAAAAAATCCGCTTCAAAATCCGTTGCGTAGTTTTAAAGATTTAAGCATACATAGGGACGGACAAAACGCGACAGCGACTTTGTTTCATCACATCACACAGTTTAACACAGCTTTACTTGTGATGACCACCATCACAAGTAAAGCTGGGTTCGATTCCCCGCACGGTGCTAACATTTGTATTAATGAGTATGATTGCTTGTATCAGTTTGGGTGTACTCTATGTATGTATTTAAAAAAATATATAATATTTGGTGGTCACTCTATTCTACCAAATTTGAATTTAAAAATGAATCTGTATTGTAAACATGTACAACATTTATTTGAAAAGAATACGAGCTGAGTTTCTTGTCAGTTCTTCTCATCTCGAAATAATTCCGAAATGACGGTAGATTTGACATATCATAAGAGTCTGTAATAGACCTACATGAATGAAGATATTTTGAATTTGAATATCTAAGTATTTATATCAGTTGTCTAGTACTCATAACACAAGCTCTGCTTACCGTAAGACTAGATGGGGCTGTATGAACTGTTCAGGGTTATTATTTAGTTATTTACTTGTGCCAACTTCCTACCTATGCGGGTACCTACTAACCCGTAAGCGGAAGCAAATGCACCAGTACATTGTCATGCATTTAACAAAAAAAATCGTTAAAGACTGTGATAATAAAAGGGGTTGCCAGAGTCATTAGAAACATTCGCACATTATAAGATATTTATGAGACATGATGGCTGTATAGCCCGAGTCCTTTTGCCTTTCCCTGAAAAAAGTAAAAAAGACCAAAAAAAAATGTTGTACATATGTTTATTTTTATTTCTTTACTTTTGTTGCCATTTTGTATTATTTTGTTTTACATGATGGCTGTATAGCCTGAGCCCATTTGCCCTTCCCTGAAATAAGTAAAAAAGACCAAAAAAAAATTTTTGTACATGTGTTTATTTTTAATATCTTTACTTTTGTTGCCATTTTGTATTTTATTTTTGTATTATTTTGTTGTACATGATGGCTGTATAGCCTGAGCCCATTTGCCCTTCAATGAAATAAGTAAAACTGACCAAAAAAAAATAATTTTGTACATGTATTTATTTTTAATTTCTTTACTTTTGTTGCCATTTTGTATTTTATTTTTTTAGTATTTTGTTGTACCCATGTTAAAGATGCAAATTAATAATTGAACCTCAGTGGCCAAGAGGTTTAATAAATTGCTTTATTCTTATGCTTGCAGGTTTGATTCCTTGCATTGTACAAACATTTTGTATTCATGAGTATGATTGTTTATTTATTTATTCTTTTGCACACAAAATTGTATAAATGGCAGACTTAATGCCTGATGGCATTCTCTACCAGGCATCTGTCACATTGATCAGAGATAGTATGGCAGTGCAATTATACAGGTTGTTTGTCTGGGTGTTTTCTATGTATATTATGTCTGTATTTACAAAAAAAACTATATCAGTTATCTAGTACCAATAACACAAGCTCTGCTGTGTTAATTATCCAGAGATATTATTATTATTATCATCTATCCAATATCACCAACCATATGGTTTTTTTATGTTAACTTTATGGTATAACACTGGCCTAAAAGTAGTAACCATAGACTATATACATAAACAGTGCCACAGATATCCATATCATGCAATACCCATAATGGCATAGGTCTCTGGTCATGCCTCTATACCATATTCAATTTAATTAATAATACTAATAGTTAAGTCTAGACAATTGTGATTAGAAATGTGATAATGTAATAAACCCATAAAATTAAAAAGTTCTATATGGAATAACATCATACATAATAATGAAATATATATAAACTAGCTACTCGCCCCGGCTTCACACGGGTGTACATGTATGATATATGTAAACCTTCTCTTGAATCACTCTATCTATTTAAAAGAAACCGCTTCAAAACTTGTTGCCTAGTTATAAAGATTTAAACATACATAGAAACGGACAGACAGCGATTTTGTTTTGTACTATGTAATGATAATTATGACATATTCATAAATAATTACGAAGTATATAAATACACATGAACATTAAATATTTACAAGCTGATCAACACTTTAAGTCAATAGATTTATTTATTATATCAATCAACAGAGTTATTTGCTAATTCTAGTAGTATTAAAAAAATAACTTGACCATGAACAAAAATACACTAAATTAAAAAAATAAAACACAGAAATATTAGAGACATAGACAGCTAGTAAATTAGTAATTTTTTTTCCTTCAAAACATCCAATTTCTTTTATAGCATTTTCAAACGGATCAAGGTTCTCAATCATTATCAAATATAAATAATTCTAGCCTATAATGAGCTTGGAGTTCTGGAAAAATCCAAGAATTGAGCATTGAAATCGTACTGAATGAAACATATTTTTTCCGGCGAATCAATATATTTACATAAACAATACGACAGATAGAGAGGCTAACGTTGAGCAAATACATACATCGCACGGTACTAAACATACATACCATACCAATGAATTTTATTATACAAAAAAAAAGTGAGGTTAGAATGAAAAGCAGATCTATGCGTAAACAAAAAAGTTTTTATGTATTGTGCGCATATCGACTTTTTTCGTAAATATAAAGGATTAATTACCTGGTAATCTTGTTTTTGTGCATTGCAGCGTATACGGCTGCAGTTTTTAATATCGTACGGGCATGGGGTGACAGTGCAACGGTGACTATTGGATAAGTTTGGTGACATGTTAAGAATTTTGACATATCTGACAGACAGAAATGACCCCACTCCGACTTGCGTCAGTAGGAAGTTGTCGATTGAATATTTAAATTTCAGTCGATATATAAATTAATAAATGTAATATATAAAAAAAGTATAATATTTTTCCAATACCGTAGTCCACATTATTGTTAATTGTTTTGTGTGAGGTATGAAAATTAGCTCTGTGCATCGTTTAAACATATTTTTTACCCCTGGTGTTTCAGGCTTCCATAGCCTACGGTAACCGTCTACTATAAGACGGGCCGTATGCTTTTCTGTCACCAACATAGTACAAGAGAAGTAAAACAAGCATCTATAATATATTTTACGTCTATGTTTGTCTGTATTTGGCATAATAAAATATATTTTTTAAATGATAATGGAATTGTGAAGTATCCTGTGCTATCGATCTACGATGGCAGGGCCCCAGTGAAGGATGTTAAAATAAACATGAAGTCAAGTTAGTTAGTCTATCTTGCCAAATGGTAAATTACCACGATGGTTACGATAGGGAACCGCGTGGAGGTCAATCTGACATGGTTAATAATAACAAACCCCTTTACCTTAATAACATTAATTTATTACGTAATTACATGCAAGATATTTGTATTAAGCATTTATAATTAATAATAATGATTGTTGAACTGAATTTTACTAATTCAACAATTTAATAGAATTCGATAGGTACAAATTTATTATAGTTCAATATAGTTTCATTTATTAACCGGAATTTCAATATTTATTCCATATAATTTAATAAAATTCGTATTAAAAAACATGATAAAATGTTATATTGTTGAAGTCACAAAAAATATATTACTTATTATAGAATAGTCTCGATTTAAATTTGTGTAAAATTTTGTTCATACTTTTCCCTTCAATATATTTCAATTAACAGATATAGAACTACAATTTATAATATTATTTACTGTATTAAAGTGATACTATAATAAATAAATTTAAAAAAAATAGTTAATATTCTTACAACTAAATACCATCGATATTTATATATCGGTTTTGTTGTCACTTTTGCATCACTACAAATGTAATCGAGTTTATGTGACTCTGTATATCTCAATCGACATGCTCTGTGGGCTTGTTTCTTTTTAATTTCTATGTAGAGTGACATTTATATGACAGTCTACCACTACTGACATATTTCATCTGATCTGTGCTGTAAATTCATACATTCATCTGTTGTTCTGTTGTTTAACAATTGAATACTAAAGTGACTTATTATTATATTTTTGTCAATAAAATGTAAATATTGAACCGCTGAATTTGCCACAAATTGGAAGAATATCAAAAATGATGGACGAAGAATTAGAAATAGCAGCAATGGACGAAGATCCAGGTGACACAACTTGCACTATATGTTTCGCGGAGTTCCTGGACATTGGCGACTTGAATATTCATATAAAACAAATGCACCGAGTGTCCGTCTATGTACAATGCCAGTTTTGTGAAGTCAAATGCTCAGATATGATGGTGTACGCGTCACATATAATTGAAATGCATTTGATATGTTTGAAATCCTGCAAATACTGCAGTAGGATGTTCCTTAACTCGGAGAACTGCCGCCAACACGAGAATAGGCACGTTAAGACCTTCCATGGGAAATATGGCTGCTCTCAATGCTCTCAGGTTTTTGTGGACGTACCGGAGTTGGCGGACCACGAATATGAGAAGCATAAGGATGCAGGTGAGGGGGTGTTGTTACAGGCACTTTTTCCGTATCTCTCTTCGCGGCTGAATATCAATGCATTGAAATTTATACATTCTTTAGGCACAGATACAGTTTATATTTGCGTGCATTGTGAATTGACGACTCCAAATGTACTAAATTATATTGAACACTTGAAACAGAAGGATTGTCAGTCGTATGTTTGCGATAAATGTTCCTTTGTATATAAAAGAAAGTTCGGTTTGGTCAAACATTTTAATTCGTGTATGGATACCCATATTTACATGGGCAAAGCGTCGAAAAGGAAATGCAATGATTGTCTTGCTTATTTAACTCCGAACTTGTTTAAACAGCATAAAAAGCATTGTAAGGCCATTAAATGTAGTACATGTAATTGGGTTTTTGAAACTGTTGACGAACTGACATTGCACCAAACTGATTACCATCCGTTGTCCGTAACGTTGCAAACATGCAAGTTCTGTAATAAACAATTTGTTGGTACCGTCGCATTGGATAAACATGTACAAAGAGCTCACAAATATGGATGTCACCTTTACAAATATGTGTGCATCCACTGCAACTCAGTTTTTAACCATCCGAAGAAATTATTCTGTCATTTCTTCAGTACGCATAAAGATATAGAACCCTACACTTGTAAAATATGCAACGAAAAATACAGGTTGCGCAAAAAGTTCACATTGCATATTAAATTAGCACACAACAGTGTTGGTTTTGTTGAATTTGATGAAAATTACCATGTGTTCTTTACGGAGAAGAAATCGGAGAACCCATTTAAACCTACACCCGTTGGTTCATTTATGGTTGAATCTGAAAATCGTGAAGACAAAATAGATAGTAAACAAGAGGAGTTACAAGAGAAGAAAGTTAGATTCGATGATGTTAATCTTGATGATTTCATGGAAGCGACTGACACTGAAGGAAATCAGACTGACAAGCTAAAGGATGTGGACAAGAAAAATAAGTTAGAGAATGCCATTTCCGAGAATGAGACGGACTTCCTGGATCCGACTGAGACTGAAGGAAATCAGACTGATGTTGAGAAACCTAAAGAGAAAATGCGTAAACGTAAATTAAAGAACACAGACAAGAAGTATAAGTCAGAGAATGAGATGGATTTGAAAAATGATTCTTCTGATGATGAACCATTATTGCTAGTTAGGAAAAAGGTTAGGAAGCATAGACAGCAGAAATTAAGACTTGCAACTTGGAATAGAAAAAAGTCAACAGTAAAAGCTGGTGATGCTAAAAGGTTCACATGCAATATATGTGATAAATATTGTTATACATACCATAATTATCACAATCATATGAGTTTACACTCGAAAAACGAAAGTAAGAAATGCATCAAATGCTCCAGATCGTTTTCGTCACAGGAGAAATTAAAAATCCATATGGAAATGGAGCATACATCATCAAAATTGACAGAAACACTTAGAAGATTGATGGAGAGACGCAAGAATGGCACGACAGTGGAGGAAGTCGAATTATCAACAACGGAAAAGTTTCGTAAAACGATCAAAAGAGTTACAACAGATAATACCAATTGTTCTGTTACAGTAAAACCAGTTCAAGACGATTTATCAGTGCAGAAATTTATTGAAAGCTTCACACCGGAAGTGAACATAGCTTCGAAAAAGGAGATTGTAATTGATACAGAGGTGTCACTGAAACCTGTTGTTGGTAAAATTACAACACAACCATTGATTAAATTGACTAAATTTGAGCAAGAACCATACTTGAAGGTGAATTTTCAGACAAAATTGGCTATGCCTGTGAAGTTTAAGCCTGATGTAGGTGAGAAACCGAAAATAACGATTAAAATAATTCCTGACTATAGTGCATATAGCAATCCTGATAATGATATGGAAAGCAGCTATATTGATGACAACTTTGATCAGTTTGAACAGGAAGTTTTGGACCATTATTCAGAAATACCGGAAGTAGCCCAAGAAGTCCTGTTGGAAGAATCAGAGGAATCTAAACCGATGCAAGTTCCACATAAAATCATAATACCAAATATACAATTACCAGACCAATGCAAAGATATAACAATAGCCCATCTGTTACCAGAAGCACCTTATTACAAAATTGTCAAGGTTAAAGATTTATTGAATGAGTCACCCAAGCCTGTTAAACCTGTAGAAACTAAACCGAAGGAATCTATAAAACTACCAGATGGAACTAAGTTAGTTAATGTTAATCCATTAGCACATTTATTAGGTAATACATCAGTTAATAAAGTGCTCCAAAACTCTAGAAGCAAATATTATAATTATAGATCGAAATCGAGAGATTTCGAGACGGCTATAGCGAAGGCTATGTTGAAGTTAGAAAAACCTGTCACAACGGTTTCAAAGAAGAAAAGTAAATCTAACGAGTATGCAATCGAACAATAGACATTTTAATAATTAAGGTTCAAAAGTGCTGGCGCATTATAAAATTATCTGCATGCCCTTCTGTATAGTACTAGCTGTCTGCGTGGAATTTAACTTTATTTTTCTAAAATAAAAGTAGCCCAAGTTACTCCTTATTACATCAGCTACCTGCCAATAAAAGTCCCGTCAAAATCGGTCCAGCCATTTCAGAGATTAGCCGGAACAAACAGACAGACAGTCAAAAATTGTAAAAAATTCTTATTTTGGTGTAGGTACCGTATTTATATTCATATGCATGTAGTAAATAACGGTTATTTCAATATTACAAGTGTCTGTACACTCCAATTTTATTTATATGTACAGATTATTTAGAAGATTTACAAATAAGAAATTCGTCATTTTTGATGCTAGAACGATCTCTCGTTCTAGCATCAAAAATGACGAATTTCCATACAAACTTTTGTTTTGTTTTGTATTTATTACTATTATTATTTAAAATGATAATATTTAATTTTGTTAAATTTCATTTATAATGAAGAATGCTTTGATAAAATTGGACGTATATTTAATTGTTAAATTCATAGTCGGATCGTGAATTTGTGGGGCTCTGGGCCAAAACTACTTAGGGCCTACCTAATTATATTACTCAACTAAAAAAACTTCGGCAGACGCGCACATGTATTGGTTGATTCATCTCAGGGTTGACAACCCGACATCATCTTATGATCGGATTTTTAATATTTTAGTTTTTTTTTAATTATTGAAAATATATTCTATTGTTTTCAGTAGGGGCTGTGGCCCGTTGTATGCACAGGATCCTGGGCTGCAGCCCATAAAGACCTTAGGTATATCCGCCCCTGGTTAATTTGTATTTATAAGAATTATTTTGATAGAATTGGACGGAGAAAACTCGAGGCAGAAAGGTAGATAAAACCTATTTCACTAATGCTGTAGTATGTTCCAGGGAATGCAGATAATGTGGTAGCACCTTATATATAACTAAATAAGTTAATATACCTACTATACAATGAACAATATTATCATAAGTAATAAGTCTTAAGATATATCTAAATATATATAACTCAAAAGTGACTGACTGACATAGTGATCTATCAACGTACAACCCAAACCACTGTACGGATCGGGCTGAAATTTGGCATGCAGTAGATTATGACGTAGGCATCTGTTAAGAAAGGATTTTGTTTAATTCTACCCCTAAGGGGATGAAAGTTTGTATGAAACTTTGTCAATTTAGACTTAGGCATCCCCTAAGAAAGGATTTTGATAAATTCCACCCCTAAGGGGGTAAATTAACGCCAGCGTAGGTAAAACCTAGTATATACATAAATAAAAACATTGTCAGTTTAAGATATATTATGTACATAAATACAAATTGTGTTTTAATTTGTTCGCATCGCATTTAAATGTAACAAATGGTTTATTTAGTAAGTTAAGAATATTATGGTAGTAATAAATTTAATTAAAACCTAACTTGATTAAAATGTTTTGGAATCAGAACATGAAGTTATGTATTAACCTAATTTATAATTTACAGTATACCTACTATATTTTAACTAACTTTCTTAAGGTTGAGCAATGCACTGTCAGGTTGACCTCCACGCGGTTCTCCCTGTAAATCATGTTAATGTACGACGGCCTTGGTCGGTCTAGTGATTAAACAAATTTACATCCGATGGTCGCGGGTTCGATTCCTCGCAGGGCACAAACATGATTGTTTGTATCGGTCTAAGTGTTTTTTATGTATAATATTTATGAAAAAAATATATCTATGTATTTGTATCAGTTATCTAGTACCTAGTACAAGCTTTAGCTAACTTGATTTGGGTCTAGATGTGTAGTTTGTCAAAAAAAAATTTTGCTGAATTTCCCTCGATAGGCTGACTGACCTCACGCTCATCGTATCATCCTCCACTGGTGCCTCGCCAGCGTTAACCGTTAGCGCAGTCGGGTGCACCATTCCATTATCATCAATTAAAAAAACTGGATGGTTTCCAGGGTGATCCTCGTGTAGATCCACTGGCAACCATGCACGAGGATGTACCAACATTGCTAGCAACAAACCTCTGTTTTCATTTCTGACACTCCCCTTCCTTTATCTGCTGTATTGTATATTTTAAATCAATAACTATGTATCAGTATAACTGTGTATCAGTTATACTTTTTATAAACTAAATAGTTTTTATTGTATAAAAATATTTTGAAGAATAAAGACTTGTAATTATTATGAGTAGTTTTACTAGATGACCCGGCAAACATTGTTTTACTATATAAATTGTAGTACTAGTATTAAAATAGGGGTTGATATTAGAAGGGTGAACATTTAGGGTTATATGCATTTTTTATGATGAAATTTTAATAAAAAAAACTTTATAACATAAGAGGACAAACGAGCTCACCTGATGATAAGAGATTACCGCCTCCCATGAGCACCCGCAACACCAGAATTGCAAGTTGACGGCCTTTTAAGAAGGAATCTCTATTCTTGAAGATGTCTAGAATAACCAATTCTATGATTTCATTAATATCCGAATCATTGTTCGGAAATACCATTGCTAGGTGATTCCACAATGTGGTTGTGCGTGGCAAAAATATGAAAAACGGACAGTGGAGCACCGCCATTCATCTAAATGATCAGGATGGTATTTTAATTTCTGGAGGTTTTTTTTTAAAGGATGTTAATGGAATGATTTACCCGCCTGCGCTAACGGTTTACGCTGGCGGGGCACCAGTGGAGGATAAGATGAGCATGAGGCCAGGTCAGTTAGCCCATCGTGACAAATTCACCAGGAATTTAACACGATGGTTTCCAGGGGGAACCCCGTGGAGGTCGACCTGACATGGTACTTTGCTAGCAATGGGGTTATCAATCCACATTACTAACAATCACCTTCCCCCCATCCGAACAATTCCTCAGAATACTCCATGATATATGCGAACTGGACGGTAGGGAAAAAAATTATAATGTAAAAACTTGACGTTCATAAGCGGCTAAAATGTCCTACACGAATAAATGATTTGAATTTGAATTTTATCGTTCATAAGTGACTAGTTCCCTACATGAATAGATGTTTTTTTTTAAATAAAACATTTGTTTATTAAAAATATTATTTATTACAATTGAAAAGTTATTCTTAATTATAGCTAAATATACACAATTCAACATGGTTTTATTATAACTAAACAGACAGGACCATTTCTTGGAGGATTGGAGAATTTCCATCCCTAATAATAATACTAGAAACATATAAACTACTTATAGTTGTACATATGACGCAGAGTTTCTCGTAAACGGTATACCAAGCCATACGGCCAATGATAAAGTTCATGATACTGAAAAACTGTAACTGATAATAATATTATAATAACTCTGGACAATTCACACAGCGCCATCTAGTCTCAACCAAGCAGAACTTGTTAGATAATTATAAAAGTAAACAAATCGAATTTATACTCGCACAAGAGGCTAGTAGGTTGCGGCTGCAAGTTTGAAATGGCACTTTTCAAATTGAATTGCAATGCGCTCAGCCGATTATGGTATGTACTCTATTCATTACTTACTCGCTCTTTGACTTAGATACATTTTTAAATACATACATAGAAAACACCCATATTAATATCAATAATAACTGAATAACCCTGGAAAATTCACACAGCGCCATCTAGTCCTAAGCTAAACAGTGCTTCTGTTATGGGTACTAGACTAAAATTGCCTCCATACATTTGTTTTTATACATACATACATATTACACATAGCAAACACCCAGACCGATACAAACAATCATACTCGTGAATTGTTTGTACCGTGCGAGGAATCGAACCCGCGACCACCGGACGCGGCGCTGTGCTAAACCACTATATTACCGAGCCATTATGATATAATTTATAAAACCCTCAAACGTCTTCATCAATTTAGTATGAAAAGTTGAAAGTTTATTTTTTTAGTTCTTTTTTATACTTTGTCTTATTGAAAATGTTTTTCAGTGTCATGACTTCACACGACTATAGACTTTATATAACCTTTACTTAAACGCTAGTTTAGTACAAATATATTACAATCTTATAATTACAATGATATTAAACAGCTGATTTAGATGCTAGAATTAACATTGCTTATTCTGTGGCATGGCACTTGTACATTAAAAAAAATACATTATTATTTAACACAGTGATTCCCAAAGTGGTCTATATCGACCCCCAGGGGTCTATGCAAGGGGTCTACGACAGCGGCCATCATGTTGTTTTTACTTTATGTTTTTAACACTAAACTTTACTAGTTACAAATTTACAAAAAATCAATACCAGTTAACAATGGGGGTCTACCCAAAATTGAAAAATATTGCAAGGTCTAAGACAAAAAAAATGGGAACCTCTGGTCTAGACTATCTGTGAACCAAATTTCATTTGAATAGGTTCAGTAGTTTTGGCATGTAAATGAGACAGACAGAATTACTTTCATATTCATAATATTAGTAAGGTATTTAAACTAACCCAATAACATAATTCAATTTTGTTACGTCTACGACACAAAAAAAAGTTTGGGACTCTGATTTAACAGATTTCACTGCTGTTGCCCAAATACCTACAAGTACATAATATTCGTAGTATTACAATAATAGATTTCCCGCTTATTTCAGCTAGCAGACGCTCATTGCTCGTAATTCCATGTAGTTAATTTAAATTTTAAAATTGAATGTTATTAAGATCTATTATTGATATCGTGTGTGTCAAACGCAGACATACATACATATACATACATACATCTTACAATAATAATATAATTATGTTAGCATTCAATATTATCTTTCTTCACATATTCTCCATACAAACTATTATATCGTCTGACCATTAACACAAAAACTACTAAGTGCAAATCTCCTAAGAAAGAATGTTTGAAAGTTTAAACTTAAAGTTACCATGCGTGAACAATATCGGGCAACGGCTAGTCAATAATTAGTTCAAATTATAACGTTATTGTACAAGTTAACTTATTTTAGTGTTAACTAAATTATATTATTGATCAATGATTGCATTAAACACAATACAAGTTACACTTTATTTGACTAAAGGCGTACCTTTACGACAAAAATCATTACGAACTTGGTAGAATTCCTGATTTCAATTTTGTACAGTTTCTACCAATTTCTACCATGCCTTAATCGTCTGACCACAAAGAAGTACTATTTTAATTTTATGTGTTCAATTCATTATAAAAATGTATTCTACTGAAGGACTTGTATCCATGGTCAAGGATAAAGCATTATTAAAAAAAAAGTGTAGAGTGAGAGTATTCTAAGGAAGAGAGGATGTTTGAAAATTGAAACTTAAGGTTACCATGCGTGCTTAGTACCGGAAACTGCTCAATTATAAATTACTAGCTATTCGCCCCGGCTTCGCACGGGTACATGTATTAATATAAACCTTCCTCTTGAATCACTCTATCTATTAAAAAAAATCATCAAAATCCGTTGCGTTGTTTTAAAGATTTAAGCATGCAAAGGTACAGACAGCGACAGCGACTTTATTTTATTCTATGTAATGATTATTCAAATTATAATAACATTGTACAGGTTAACTTATTTAAGTGTTAACTAAATGTTATTATTGATCGATGATTATATTAGAAATAACAAAAAATAATCACAAGTTACCCTTTATTTTACTAAAGGCGTACCTTACAGTTAACGACAAAAATAATCACGAACTTGGTAGAATTTCGTACAGTTTCTACCAATTTCTACTATGCGCTAACAAATTAAATTAACAATATATTTAGAAATTACTTTATTTACATACAATCATCTTTTTCATACAAAAAAGGACTTTATTATGGTACACTTAGATATTAATTATTACTAAATACTTAACAATATTGGTTTAACCCTTCGAACGTTTTGACACAGATCTGTGCACCCCTCTTAAACCGTCTTATAACAGATCTGCGCACGCAAAACTGTGACTTTTTTTTAACCAATTTCAACCTTATTTAAAACAAAATAAGATTGAAACACACTTGAAAAAAATAGAGCTGGCGCATACCGCCTATTCACTCTCGGTCGCTGCGACAGACAGACGGACATTCGAAAGGTTAAGAATAGTTATATATATATATATATATATATATATATATATAGAAGCTCATTCAATTGTGTTACACAGTACAACATATTTATTTTTAACTAGATAACTCGCGTAACTCCGTCTGCATCACACTTTATATTTATCATTATATTTCGCTTAATTTACATAATATCTTTTTAAGTTATAGCCTATATTTTATTCCGATGTATAAGCTATATTAGTGTAAAGTTTCATCTAAATCAGTTCAGTAGTTTTTGCGTGAGAGAGTAACAAACATCCATACTTACAAACTTTAGCGTTTATAATTTTAATTAATAAGATATAGCAGTAGCTGGTTTTAGGTTAGTATTTTTTTAGTTAATTTTGTTTTTTTTTAATGATAATGAAATTTAATCAGTTCAACATTCGTCAACAAAACAATTTAAACCTTATATTCACAAAGATAAGGTTTAAAATACTTTAAGGTTTTCAATAACTGTGACGAAATGTGACGTTACAACATTTACTAAACCCCTTCCACTCGTTGTCACACTATGTCACACTTTCTCGAACTCCCTCTCCCCCCCCCTAAAAATTTACTAACCCCCTTCCACCTGTGACACTATGTCACACTTTGTCAACCTCCTCAATCCCCCCTACATATGACATTATTCACGTATGGCCTATACTTGTTTACCTAATTATGTTTATTATTTGAAATTAATAGAATAACTAGCTGTCTTGGCAAACGTTGTTTTGCCATATAAATTAATATCGCTATTAAAAAATAGGGGTTGGTGGTAGAAGGGTGAAAATTTAGGGTGGTATGTATGTAATGCCATATAATAAAAAATAATTTGAAAAAAAAAATTATGGGTTGGACCACCCTTAACACTTAGGGGTATAAAAATTTGTTTTAAACCTATTCTCAAACCTACTGAATATACATATACAATTTCATCAAATTCGAATTTTGAAAACCCGTTTCGGAGAAGTATAAACACGAAACCTGTGACACGAGAATTTTATATATATATAATAGATAAATAAATAAAATGTTTGAAAAAAAAACGTATGCAAAACTGAAGAAATTAGGTTCAAACATTTACATATCTGGGTACATATTCTGCGTGGCTAAGGAACATAATTCTGTCTCTTTCTAACTTCATACTGTGGCTCTGTGGAGTGAAGAGAGCAGAGAACTTTTTATATAACATGTGGGTGACCGTACATATTTTGCGTGGCTAAGGAACATATTTCTGTCTCTTTCTAACTCTGTACTGTGGCCCTGTGGTGCGAAGAGAGCGGAGAACTTGATACTGATTCTATGCAGAGCTCTGAAGCTTGTTCGGCCAAGTCCGTCGTTATCTGAAAGTGAAACAACGGTTAGTTGAAAATCATTTTACTTTATAGTTAAATATATTCTTATTAATAAAGTAGCTGTACTCGCGACTACGTCCGCGTGGAAACTTACTTTATTTTTCTATAAGTAGCGTAAGTTACTCCTTATTACATCAGCTACCTGTCAAAATGAGTCCCGTATGTGGATGGGGGCACTCCTGGGAGTGTGTGGCGTAGCGTGGGGCACTTTCAGCAACATATACCACCGTACCACCCGCCAGAAACTGAAATACCATCCTGATCATCTGGATGAATGGCGGTTTTCCACAGTACGGTTTTCTAGAAACTTTTTGCCCCGCACAACCACATTGTGGAATCACCTTCCAGCAATGGTATTTCCGAACCGATACGATATTGAAACCTTCAAGAAAAGAGCTTATTCCTTTTTAAAAGGCCGACAACGTACTTGCAATTCCCCTGGTGTAGCGGGTGCTCATGGGCGGCGGTAATCACTTATCATCATAAAAAAAAAATATAGGGTAGAGTGGGGGCACTCTTAGGAATGTGGGGCACTCCTGGTGTGTGTAGTGTGTAGTGTACCTGTCGCAACACGTGCGCGCCGCAGTCGGGTGGCAGTCGCAGGCTGCGCAAGAGGGCGGCCAGCCGTCTGGCCGGAAGCCTGGCGGCTGCGGCCACCTGCACGAGCCGCGCGCCCATCTCTGCGCGAGCCATCGCCTCTCGTGCGCACCTAAAAGACACACAAACACTCATTTATATACTGGGTCACCCAAAAAGGACACATAATAATATTCACTTAGAATATAATTCACCTATAGTCTGTTTTATAACTAAATTGACCGACATTCATCTACAACTAATTGTGTGTTTTCAAATAGAATTGACGAATATTAAAGTAAAATTTAATTCACCTATAATCTTATATTCTGCTTCTTAACTAAATTAACGGATATTCATCTAGAATAGGTGTTCTAGGTGAATGATAGAACGTTTTCCAAATAAATTGATGGACATTCATCTAGAATTTAATTCACCTTTAGTTCGATTTCTAAGTAAATTGATGAATATATATAACTACAATTTAATTTACCTATAATCTATTTATTAACTAAATTGGCGGCCATTCATCTAGAACACCTATAGTCCGTTTTCTAATTAAATTTATTGGTTATTCACCTATAGAACTCATTGGACGAACATTCACCTAGAATATAGTTCACCTATAGTCCGTTTTCTAACTCATTGGGCGAACATTCACCTAGAATATAGTTCACCTATAGTCCGTTTTATAAGTGAATTGACGGACTTATAAGTTAATTCACTTATAGCCTATTTCTTAAAGAAATTGTCGGACATTCACCAAGAATTAGTTCGCCTATAGTCCGTTTTCTAAGTAAATTGGCGGACTTAGAAGCTAACTTACTTATAGCATATTTCTTAAAGAAATTGACGGACATTCACCAAGAATTAGTTCGCCTACAGTCCGTTTTATAAGTAAATTGACGAACTTAGAAGTTAATTCACCAATAGCCTATTTCTTAAAGAAATTGTCGGACATTCACCAAGAATTAGTTCGCCTATAGTCCGTTTTCTAAGTAAATTGGCGGACTTAGAAGTTAATTCACTTATAGCCTATTTCTTAAAGAAATTGTCGGACATTCACCAAGAATTAGTTCGCCTATAGTCCGTTGTATAAGTGAATTGACGGACTTAGAAGTTAATTCATTTATAGCCTATTTCTTAAAGAAATTGTCGGACATTCACCAAGAATTAGTTCGCCTATAGTCCGTTTTATAAGTAAATTGGCGGACTTAGAAGTTAATTCACCTATAGCCTATTCTTTAATATAAGAGATGAAAATTGATAGGTATTAATATCATTTTTAAAATAATGTAACCAGCTGTAGCGAGGTAGATTTATATTTGCGATACTGATCTGTTGGATCCTAATTTTTATTTTATTTTTTTAATAAGTTTCCACAATTTATTTTAAATAATCTCGTGTGTACACTAGTGTTTTCATTACAGTTCCATTCCATAGCCTGAATACAGTATCGTGTATGGAATTGAACTAGCGACGATCGTCGTAGTTGTTCGAATCGCATTACCCCTCGGTTTGATACCGCTGTAGTTACCACAGACGCCATCAGCATACTGCTATGTAACATATACTTCTCCGATCGATCCCCCGTCCAATACAAACGGGGATAGAAATTACGACCTGAGCCTAGCTTCGAGCTCCTAGCGGTGCCCTCAGACTGGCGTCGTATCCGTCGGGCGGGAGTTGTCCTTCAGCCAGTCCAATACAAACGGGGATCGAAATTACGACGGCCTGAGCCCAGCTTCGAGCTCCTAGTGGAGCTCTCAGACTGGCGTCGTATCCGTCAAGCGGGAGTTGTCTTTTAGCCGCTCCATAAGTCCTTCCTTTGGTTTGGAGTGCCATCTGCACTCGCCTCTATCATCCGGTGAAGCTGTAAAGGCCAGCTGCGGCCAACAGCATTAGAGTAGTCCGGAAAATTTAACCATGTATGAGAATGGAAGGATATTTTTTTTATGTGGCAATCAAGCATACGGCTTATCTGATGGTAAGTAGTGGCTGTGGGATGTCTATGGTATTTTGTTGTTGTCACACAAAATTCCTAAAAAATTAATTCTGAACAATATTTGTTTAAAAGAGCAACACGCAAGTTTCTTACTAAGTCATAGCATTAGAATAGTCCTAAAATACATGTATCTCACTCACTTGGGTTGTAAGGCAGCTAGCGCGCGGCAGGCAGCGTTGATCCGTGGCCGTAATGCTTCCAATCGAGCTTCAGTTTCCGCATCCTCATCACCTGCACCTCCTCCACCTTCCGTGGACACCAGACCTCGGATCTGGAACCAATGACCAACCTAAGACTAGGGGTCCGTTCACATAGAAAGGTCTAAGGTAACAAACATGTGACAAAAAATCGATATGAGGACCTCATTCTTTTTTGTAGTCTGTTTAAATAATATATCGTGTACTAACCTCATTACACACGTGCCAGTAGTGGTAGAGTGCCAGCCCGCCGGTTTCCCAGCCGCTGACCTCGTGCCGCGACGCGGCTTCGTTCAACTTCTCCAGGAGAGGCGCTATACTCTGGATGTTATCTATACATATAAATAAAATTAGTGTCTATTTGTAATATTGAAATAATCTCTTTATACTACACGCATATTAATATAAATACGGTACGTACACCAAAATAACCTATTTTAGTATTTTTGTCTGTCTGTCTGTTTGTTCCGGCTAATCTCTGGAATAGCTGGACCGTATTTGACGGGACTTTTTTTGGCAGGTAGCTGATGTAATAAGAAGTAACTTAATCTAAGTAGATTAAGTTACTTCTTATTATAAGTATATTTTAGAAAAATAAAGTTCAATACCACGCGGACGAAGTCGAGGGAACAGCTAGCCTGTAATATTATAAGTAATGATTACTAATCATTGATTATTTTGATTAACTAGAATGATATAAACATAATAATATCTATATTAATAATATTTCGTCAAGGGGTACGGTAGACTCGAACGAAACCTTATGTGAATAATAAAACATAAAAAAATATTGATTTCGAGTCGAAAACATATATCCGCAAAATTCGGATTATTGAGTATTTCGTTAAATCCTAATGACACTGACAAACAAACTGCAGTCGCCATCTTTTCATGTCACTAGCTAACAACCAATCAACACATCGCGTCCGTTCTGACTACGTATAACCACAGATAACAATGTAAAACGAAACGTCTTGCCGGAACCAATGAGTGAATAATAACAAAATTAATTTTTTTTCAGTCGTTAACGTTTCGTGAAAATCATATTGTTTTTGACACTTTTTTTTCGATAAACGAGTATATAGTGTGTATGTGTTTTTTCTTTAAACCTGAATTACAAATTTGACATTTCCGACTTTTTTTTTCATACTACGATGGTGGCAAATTTTTATTATTACACACACATATTGCCAGGTATTTGCATTTTTTAAATAAGATTATGAGACCGAGCGAAGCCGGGTTTCCATCTAGTATTTATATAAATTTGCACGCCTGTATGCAGGCTGAATACACTAGACATTACAGGATGTCTCAGAACTCAATGTCAACCGAAACGGCGTGATAGGATGTGATTGTAACATCATTATCTGCTTCTTCCTTATCCCATTTATTTGGGGTCGGCGTAATATGTTTTTCTTTTCCATTCATCCCTGTTCGCAGTCATCTCGTTATTTCCTTCCTTTCTTACCATATCATCTTTCACACAGTCCATCCATCTCTTTTTCGGCCTTCCACTGCCCTTATAACAATCCACATTCAGTTGTAACATCTTTCTTAAAATATTAATATAGGATTTGATTGTAACCATCATGAGAAAAATCTGAAAAAAAAATCTATCCCATTCAGTTTGAAAATTATAGGCATTTAAGAAAAACCTAGAAATTTGTACAAACTGTAACTATTCGAACTAAAAAATAATTAGAATAAATAGAAAAAATATTATTTATATATATACATATATAGCCTCGGTGGTCTAGTGGTTTAGCGCACCGCTTTACTAACCGATGGTCTCGGGTTCGATTCCTCGCACGGTACAAAGATTTGTATTCATGAGTATGATTGTTTGTATCAGTCTAGCTGTTTTCCATGTATAATATGTATTTATTTACAAAAAAAAAAATGTATCCATGCATTTATATCAGTTGTCTAGTACCCATAACACAAGTACTGCTTAGCTTGGGACTAGATGGCGCTGTGTGAATTGTCCCGAAATATTATTATTATTAATATATATCGATATAAATAAATAAATAAACTTTACCAAAATCTTTCACCTCTGTAAATGTACAGAGGTGAAAGATCACCTGAATAATAATCACCTGACAACTCGCGAGTAACGTCACGGGGCATGTCTACTGTCAAATAACTCACCTGAGAGTATTGCGTCGGGTAGTAATTCATCTAGGAGCACTCTGTGTGCAGCGTTCCATTGTTCAGCTGCTATAAGATGCTCCACTTCGACGGCTGGCAGGTGCTGCAAATATATTGTTATTGTGTTGATTACACTTTTTTTTTTATATTCTTTATTGCATTATAAAAGAGTGTACAAGAGGCGAGCTTAATACCATATAGCATTCTCTACCAGCTAATCTTTGGGTAGAACTAGAAAGCATTGTAGGCCAGTAATGGCCAAAATTTGTGATATTAATACTGTAATAAATAATTAGTTAAACAAAATCTATGTACATATATAATTTATGTTATATAAATATAATATATACTTTAAATATACATATATATATATTGAAATATATAAATTACACAGAATAAATACATAAATACGATAAATATAGTTGAAAGTACCTACTTAACTCAACGCCAAACAGTTAAAGCTCATTTTGACGACTCAGTTAATAAAATAGTTTCTTTTTAAAAATAGTCTTACTCGGTGCTCTGCGCAGGTCTACAGGCATGGGATGGGAAGGAGTAGAGAGAAGGAGGTTATGAACTGAACGGAGGTTACGTGAATGAGAGTCGCTAATGAACCGAAATCTATCTTTCAAATAAGTGGGAGAGGAAGAGTGGAATATAAATAAGTGGGTGAGGAAGAGTGGAATATAAATAAGTGGGAGAGGAAGAGTGGAATATAAATAAGTGGGAGAGGAAGAGTGGAATATAAATAAGTGGGAGAGGAAGAGTGGAATATAAATAAGTGGGAGAGGAAGAGTGGAATATAAATAAGTGGGAGAGGAAGAGTGGAATATAAATAAGTGTGAGAGGAAGAGTGGAATATAAATAAGTGGGAGAGGAAGAGTGGAATATAAATAAGTGTGAGAGGAAGAGTGGAATATAAATAAGTGGGAGAGGAAGAGTCGAATATCGCTTTTGCTTTTGCAATATATATAACATATGGTTATGGTTACTCAATCCTCCCAAATTTGAATATAAAAATAAATCTATACGTTTACAATAATATGTACAACATTTATTTGAAAAAAAAAAAGCCGAGTTTCTTGTCAGTTCTTCTCGTCTCGACATCGAACCTCGGCTCAGGGCATCGTAATTTCGATCCCCGTTTGAATTGGACAGGGGATCGATCGGGGGGGTAGTTTATCTATATATAGTTCACTTTGTTTGTTAGTAGAGGACAGTTTAGAACTTGAGTGCCATCGTTGTCGTTGATCTTTTATTGTGCACCAATAAAAGCTTACGTAATAATAACAAACTGATTTTATCTAAATGTCGTTTGGCTAAAGTTAGTAATTCGTTTTATGGCAGTTGCGTAAGGTTTTACAATAAAATACCAGAGTCTGTTATAAATCTGCCAGAAAAAAGATTTAAATGTCAAATAAAACAGTTCCTTTGCAAAAAAGCTTAATATAAAATTGAAGAATTCGTTAACGATAATAATGTTTTTATAGAAGAACTTTAAATCCATAGCACTGACAATATTATCTGATTACACTAATAATGAGTGCGTAGCTATTTCTATGTTGATTATCGCATGCCTCTTACTTGTTATACTGTAATTATTATATAAAAAAACATCTATTAAAAAGAGCAACACACAAGTTTCTTGCTCATTCTTCTTGTGACGAATCTGCATTTCGAATGAGTGGTAGAATCAAAATATGACTATTCAAAAGTGCTTGTAATGAGTTTATTTGAATAAAGATTATTTCTGTTTCTATTGTATTATTTTACTGGTAAAGGCTATAACAGAATAGCAGACAGAGTGGACTCACTGGCCTCACTGAATTGTAGACCGTTTAGTCTCCTTCATTACTATATAAGTCTGTTTGTAATATTAAATTACCGTTTTTACTACATGCATATGAATAAATACGGTACATACACCAAAATAACATTTTTTACAATTTTTCTGTCCAATGTTCCAGCTAATCTCTGAATAGATAGACCGATTTTGACGGGACTATTTTTGATAGATAGCCGATGTAATAAGGAGTAGCTTAGGCTACTTTTATTTTAGAAAAATAAAGTTAAATTCCACGCGAACGAAGTTGCGGGTAGCTAGTATATTATAAAAGAGGTCTGACCGTTAGTCAGTCACGCTGGGACATAGAGTGAGAGCGTAGTACCATGTAGTGGGCGCGGTGCGCCTGCGCACTCCGTAGCCATGTCTCCGGGACTTGCAGGGCCCGCACGAGCCGCAGTCGCTCCGCATCCTCCGCATCATCACCGTCGACTCGCGCCGGTGCGTGTCGGCCCAGCACTCCGCGGATCAGGTGGCCACGTCTACACAAATGAAAATCATCTCTACTTATACTTAATAATAATAATAATAATCAAAAGGATAAATTCAGAATGATCGTTACAATATTATTTATACTATAGGTACACATTCTAGACAGTCAATCCTTTCAGTATTTATGTGTAGTCCTGACTTCTGAACTAGCATTAGCCGTATGACAGAAGCCAGTTCATGAACGAAATGAATGAAATGAACGATACGAATGAAATGAACGAAATAAATTAGTTATTTTACGTTTATCGTTTAGAGATTATTTCGTTCTCTGATAACGAAAGAGATTTCGTTATCAGAGAACGAAATAATCTCACATTATTCAAATCATTCATTTATCTCTAAATGAATGATTTGAATAATGTGAATGAAATGATTGAAATGAACGAAAAAAATGAAATGTATGAAATGAACGAAATGAATGCAATGAACGAAATAAACGAAATGAATGCAATGAACGAAATAAACGAAATGAATGCAATGAACGAAATAAACGAAATGTACGAAATGTACGAAATGAATGAAATGAACGAAATGAACGAAATGATGAAATGAACGAAATGAACGAAATGAAGGAAATGATCGAAATGATCGAAATGAACGAAATGAACGAAATGAATGAAAAAAATGAAATGAATAAAAATGAATAAAATGAATGATATGAATGATATGAATGAAATGAAATAATGAATTCGTTATTTTACGTTTCAGAGATTATTTCGTTCTCTGTTAATATAATTTCTAAATGAATGATTTGAATGTTGTGAATGAAATGAATGATTTGAACGAAATGAACGAATTGAACGAAATTAATTAGTTATTTTACGTTTATCCTTTAGAGATTATTTCGTTCTCTGATAACGAAATTTCGAAATGAATGATTAGAATAATGAGAATGAAATGATTGAAATGAACGAAATAAATGAAATGTATGAAATGAACGAAATGTATAAAAAGAACGAAATGTATGAAATACATGAAATGAATGAAATGAATGAAATATATGAAATGAATGAAATGAATGAAATGAATTAAATGAATGAAATGAATTAAATAAACGAAATGAATGAAATGAACGAAATGAACGAAATGAACGAAATGAACGAAATGAAAGAAATGAAAGAAATGAATGAAATGAATGAATTCGTTATTTTACGTTTCAGAGATTATTTCGTTCCCTGATAACAATTTCTAAATTAATGATTTGAATGTTGTGAATGAAATGAATGATTTGAACAAACTGAACGAAATGAATGAAATGAACGATGCGAATGAAATGAACGAAATGAATGATAAGAATGAAATGAACGAAATTAATTAGTTTATCGTTTATCTTTTAGAGATTATTTTGTTCTCTGATAACAAAATTTCTAAATGAATGATGTGAATGATTTGAATGTTGTGAATGAAATGAACGAATTTAACGAAATGAATGAAATAAATGAAATGAACGAAATGAATGAAATGAACGAATTAAACGAAATGAACGGAATGAACGAAATAAATTAAATGAACGATACGAATGAAATGAACGAAATGAATGAAATAATTGAAATCAGTGAAAAGAATTAATGAAATTAATGAAATGAACGAAATGAATGAACTTCTAAGAGCATGTGTACAAAATTTCATGATGATCGGTTCAGTAGTTTTTCCGTGAAAGCGTAACAAACATACCTACTTTCACATTTATAATATGAGTAAGGATGTAAGGATATAACAATAATAATCTCTCAGGACAATTCACACAGCGCCATCTAGTCCCAAGTTAAGCTAGCTAAAGCTGGTGTTATGGGTACTAGACAATTGATACATATACATAGACATTTTTTTTTAAGTTTAACGTCATTGAGGTTTTATTATTAAAGACTAAATGTAAATAAATAACCCTGTATAATTAACACAGCGCCATCTAGTCCCACGATAAGCAGAGCTTATTGTATTATGGGTACAAGACAACTGATATTTTTTTTGTATTTGTAAATACATACATATTATACATAGAAAACACCCAGACCGATACAAACAATCACATGGGAATACAAATGTTTGCGCCGTACGGGGAATCGAACCCGCTACCATCAGAAATAAGATGTGCTAAACCACTAGACCACCGAGGTCAGATTATACTCACGCTATATCGTTGGGGTGGTAGGCTAGAGCTTGTATGGCGAGGTGCCATAAACCACACGCCTCCAACTGATCAGCTATACCCGTTATACTCTCAATAGTCGGATTCCCGAACCACGTGCCTAGTAGGAAGCTGGAACAATTCGCATAAATAATTCATTAATATTACTACTCGATGTATTTATATTATTATGTTTCATTCCGCTACAATTAACATGTGTGAGACTACGAATATTCGGTGTGGAAACCTGACCAGCGCTACGACCTTCTTGATCCATCGAGTAGTGAAATGGACTTCCACAAAATAACACCTAATTCGATTAAATATATCATTAATATTATTATATTATTTAAAATTGCTATAAAGAATATCTATATATATATATATGAATGTGGATGGATGTAAAGGGAGGGGACGCCCTAAGGAAAGATGGATGGATTGTGTGAAAGATGATATGAATAAAAGAAGAGTATGTTTAGATATGACGACCGATAGAGAACAGTGGAAGAGAATGACATACTGCGCCGACCCCAAATAATGGGATAAAGGCAAGGCAATGATGATATATATATAAACAAAATTGGAGTTAACAACAATTAGCAATTAATATTAATCAAGATCGCTGGAAGGCATTGGATGCGAGCAGCGCAGGACCGATCGTTGTGGAGATCTTTGGGGGAGGCCTATGTCCAGCAGTGGACGTCTTCCGGTCTGCGATGATGATGATGATGATGATGGATGTAGACTCAGTAACGGTCGGAATTTGATCGCTATTAGTGAAGGTCGTAATGGTAGTCAAGTTTCCACACCGAATATTAGTGATCTCACACATGACAATTGTAGCGGAATTAAACAAAATAATATAAATTCCATTAAGTAGTTAATATACTAAATTTGTTATTAGATTGAATCTGACTTGTTTTTAGGATGCATTAAGAGACTATCGAGGAATTAATCTATACATATAAATAAAATTGTAGTGTCTGTTTGTAATATTGAAATAACCGTGTTTTACTACATGCATATGAATATAAATACGGTACATACACCAAAATAACATAGTTTACAATTTTTGTCTGTGTCTGTTTGTTCTGGCTAATCTCTGAAATGGCTGGACCGATTTTGAAGGGAGTTTTTTTGGCAGGTAGCTGATGTAATAAGGAGTGACTTAGGCTACTTTTAGAAAAGGTACATTCCACGCGGACGACGTCGCGTGTACAGCTAGTATATAATATCATGGAAACAGGAAAAAGAAGGCATGTTTTTTTATTGATTATTTTTGTTTTTTTTTTGTTGTTAAATGTAGAAAATATCTAACTTAAAATTCATAGCGCTGACAATGTTATCTGATTGAACAGAGATTAAGTGCGTAGCGGTTTCTATGTTGATTGTCGCATGCCTAATCATTTGTTGTTAATTAAATATAAGTAAATCAATATTTATTTAAAAGAGCAACACACAAGTTTCTTGCTTATTCTTCTTGTGATGAATCTGCATTCCGAATAAGCGGTAGAATAAAAAAATTAAGTTTATTTGAATAACGATTATTTCTATTTCTATTTAAACTATAGTCTATGCTGCTTTTACACGATAAAAGTCCTGAGCGAATTCTAGCACCTAAGAGTTATTATATTTAACTATTTTCTGTATCCACTCTTTCAGTCAATTCACATATATAAATTATTTTAATATTTTATATGTAGCTTTACAAAAGAGCGGTAGATTAAAAAAATACTGATCACTATTGTGATTAAAAGTGCTTAATTTTATGTTTATTAAGAATTTTATTTATACTCTTCATTACAGACAAAAACAAAAATTACAGAACAAAAAAAACATAGAAAATATACATATTGGCTGATACAAAAGGCGCTCTTATCGCTAAGCAATCTCGTCCAGACTACCTTTGGGTGGATAGAGAAATAAAAATAAGAACAGATTAGGTGACGCACGTAAAAAAATTTATATTCTATTTTTATATTCTATGGTTGTTCTTTAAGTCTTTCTGAATGAAAGCAGACTTATCACAAGAATTAAAAAGAAGTATTGCTGTTTTAAATAATAATTATATTTCAGGACAATTCACACAGCGCCATCTAGTCCCAAGCTAAGCAGAGCTTGTGTTATGGTACTAGACAGCAGACATAAATACTTAACTACATTTTATTTTGTAAATGCACACTATAGTAACATCCAGACTCATTCAAACAATCATGTTCCCGCGAAATTAAAAGAAACCGCTTCATAATCCATTGTGTAGTTTTAAAGATTTAAGCATACATAGGGACAGACAGCGACAGCGACTTTATTTTATACTATGTAATGATAATGACATTGGTTATGCTTCTCTGAATCTTATATATAATATTCTCGTGTCACAATGTTAGTTTCCATACTCCTCCCAAACGTCTTGATCGATTTTTATGAAATTTTATATGCATATTCAGTAGGTCTGAGAATAGGCTACATTCTATTTCCATACCCGTAGGTGGTGAAAGATCCCCTAAATATATATTTTTTATTTTTCGACATAATATTTTATTATTATTTAGTATTGAAAAATACATACAACCCTAAATTTTCACCCTTCTAGCATCGACTCCTATTTTCAATAGCGATTTTAATTTATATGGCAAAACAACTAATGCCAGGGCAGCTAGTAATGATATAATTGTAATTGTGTTATATGTAGCTCACCATAGAGTGTAGTCGAGCGGATGCGGGCCGGCGGCTGCGGGCTGCAGTGCGGGCCGCGCTTGACAGCTGCGGGCCCGCACCAACGAGTACCGCAGGTCCACCACGCGTCGACCGCCACCGCTCTGTACAATGGATCCTTCATTGTTATATGAAATAAATTACCACATCCACTTTTTTTGTTGAGGATTTTAGGCTATTGTCAGGTGTTGAGCCCTGTAGCACTGCGACCTACATAGATCTATTGTGCTCGCCCTTTTTCAGAGTCCGCTACCTAGACAAAAATTGAAGGATATTCTTAGGAGCGATCCTAAGAATATCTTTCAATTCTTGTCCCTGACGGGTCTAGGTAGCGAACTTTGAAAAGGGCGAGCACAATAGATCTATGTAGGTCGCAGTGCTACAGGTGCTACACATCTGACAATAGCCCAAACAACCCAATAAAAAAAAAAAAAAATAGGAGCGATGGTTTTTATCTCCTGTTTACTTCCTAAAGGAGATATTACGTTTAGGCATGAGTTGGCTACAATCATATAAGATGTGTAGTGGCGTTTTCCACAGAAATTTCTTGGCTAGCGCTTGCAGTCTCACGCAATGTTTTTTTAATTTTTTCTTATTAATATTTTATTTCATCTCGACCAGCTAGTTAAAAATCTATCAAATTATACTCTGAAATATTTACATTATTAATATTATGCACACAACGCACAGACGGTCACCATTTATATTGCTCTTTTTATTTTATATTTATTTTAATTATTATTTTCACGTTCACAAATGGGTTGAAGCCGAAAATCAATGTTTTGTTCACTGAACAATGTTCCATGCTGAGCTGTGGTTGATGGTCGAGCTTCAATTTAAGTTTATTTGAATAAATTATTTTCTATTCTATTGGGGTGAGGGGGTTGCTAGTTACCATACCATGTTAGGTTGACCTCCACGAAGTTCCCCCTGGACATCATCGTGATAAATTAAGAGTAGAAATAAGAGTCCACGCTTCACCATACAGGAAAATAGAAAAGAAAGCAGCGCAGCAATCGAACTCGGGTCGCTATTTTTAGAGATCGATTGCAAGAAAAATTACGTGTAAAAAAGTAAAAACGTGTTATAAACTTAACAAGTTCCTGAGCAGTAATATTACCTATCCTGGACTCTGATACGAGTTGAAGATCAGCGAAAACCTCGGCGCATCGAAAAAGTACGACTGACTTTATCCCTCACACGCTTCCACATTTATTCTACAACATTTTTGGTAACGAGCTTTTCTTAACAGTATGTTTATACTTACTTTACTCGTAAACTCGTACTCCCCATAGTACGGTGGCAGTGGAAACTTCATTCCCATCTCATCTTGCTCCAGGGTAGACAAGTCTACAGGCTCATCGTCCGCTTCACCCTTTTTGAAGAAACTCTCATATGTGGCGATGACTTTGTCTAACGTTGGTACTTGTGGGCTGAGGTACCTGAAATATATTCATAATTGTTATCGACATGATTATTGGTCATAAAAATGACTAAATTCTCCCCACTACAACTTCCGTCGCTGTGTGAGCGCGGTAGAGGGCGCACCCGAGGGAGCACTGCGTTCGGCATTCATTCTAAAAACGTTGAGGTCGACACATCTCCGAATAGTTCTCTATTTATTAATATATATATATATATTGTTAGGTGTAACTTCCTCTGGTGGCGCCACCGTCGTGCGGCGCGTCTATAAAAGGCTGCGAAACCCGGTGTGCGGCCTCTTTTGGTCGACAGACGTGCTCTCGAACGAATCTCCGTATCATACCGTGTTTGCTTTATAAGTTCTTTTACTGATTTTGTTAAAATTAATTATACGATTTGTTATAAGTTTCTTTTATTTAATTAAATTTAGAGCATATTCCTAACAATATATATATATTATATTTATACGTTGGAATAATCTTACTTAAAATTAAGTTAGAATATATTACATAATTATTTTTATGTTGATCATTGGAATTATACATTGTAGTGGTACCGATTTTGTTTGTAATGTGGATTGTGATTGTTTAGCGGTGTGAGTAATCTGATGATAAGGAATAAATGTGTTGATCTGTGTATTGTTTCTTTTATAATATATATAAAAATGAATTGCTGTTCGTTAGTCCCGCTAAAAATCGCTAATTTTAATCTTCAAATATTCGTGGAAGTCCAGGGAAGTTTTAAACGGTGAGAAAAATATGAAGAAATTGCAAGTAAAGTACTAAAAACAACACTCTTGTTTTCCCATACAAAACAGGGTGCGTTTAGAAATTTATTGCGTAACTAAACTTCAAAGGTTTTTTGAAGTTTAGTTTTTGACGCGGAACAGAGTTCACGAAGTCAGGTAATTCATAATATTAATACTAGATTTAAAGACAAACTTGCTGTCCCCAAGTATCGTTTAGAAAAAGTCAATAGGTCTTTTATGGGAATAGGTTTAAAATTTACAATAAGATACCAAAGGATATACTGTAAATATCCTTAAATAAATACAAAACATCTGTTAAATCATATTTACTGAGCAAAGCCTATTACTCACTAAACGATTGCCGATTTATAACAGTCGTCTAGTACCCATAACACAAGCTCTGCTTAGTTCGGAACTAGCGCTGTGAACTGTCCGAGGATATCGTCATTACCTGGCGGTGGCGTGCAGCGCCCGCAGCCAGTCGAGTTCCCGCAGCTCGTGTATGCCAGCCCGGCCGGCCACCAGCCTCAGGGTGGCCAGCCTCCACTCCGAGATGGTTCCGTCTGCTCCACACTCGCGCCACAGCGACAGCTGCCGTCCGACCAGCGACCGGAACGATGGGTCGCCTGCACAAGGTTGAGATTTAGTGTCTTTAATTTTATATTATACTAGCGTTACTTGCGACTTTGTCCGCGTGGAATTTAACATTATTTTTCTAAAATAAAAGTAGCCCAAGTCACTCCTTATTATATCAGCTACCTGCCAATAATAGTCTCGTCAAAATCGGTCCAGCCATTTCAGAGATTAGCCGGAACAAACAGACAGACAAGACAGTTATATTGGTGTAAGTACCGTATTTATATTCATATGCATGTAGTAAAAAACGGTTATTTCAATATTACAAACAGACACTACAATTTTATTTATATGTATAGATTAACTCATGCCCACGCTAGAACCTAAGTGGTCTCGGACAGTGCGGTTTCAGAGGAGCTTCCTCCCGCGTACACTTACATTGTGGAATGAACTACCTGCCGAGGTTTTCTCATGAGATTACAGCGTGGGGTATTTCAAGAATAGAAGGGTACATTAAGGTTTCTTAAGGGTCGGCAACGCGCACGAGACACCCCTGGTGTTTCAGGCGTCCATAGGCTACAGTATCCGTTTACCATCAGATGGATTAAATGCTTTACCACTAGTTAACCCGCGCAACTTCGCCTGCATTTCATTGCCTCACTTCTCGCAATATTTTTCATTGCAGCTCCGCTCCTATTGGTCGTAGCGTAATGTTATATAGCTTAAAGCCTTCCTCGACAAATGGACTATCCAACACATAAAGAATTTTTCAATTCGAACTAGTAGTTCCTGAGATTAGCGCGTTCAAACAAACAAACTCTTCAGCTTTATAATATTAGTATGATCATACTGTAAAATAACACAAAATGGACAATACTCACCAGCAGCTTGCGATATGAGGGCGGCCATGTTAAGATCTCCCTTCTCGACACACAGCTGGCAGGCCTGCAGCAGTCGCCCGGCCACCACCAGCGACCACACCTGGCGACTGTGACCGTCGCTCTCTGAGGACACCACACAATACAATAATCACGAGCGTGGATTGCAATAGTTGTTCATGCATGGGATTTTCATTTAGTCATAGTCACACTTTGTCAATCACCACCCACAGTTTCAAAGTGTGACAACGGTATACACCTTGTCACACTTTATCAATCACCATCCACATCTTCAAACTGTGACAACGGTACACACCTTGTCACACTTTACAATCACCATCCACCGCTTCAAAGTGTGAAAAGGGCACAGCCCATGTCACACTTTATCAATCTCCACCTACATCTTCAAAGTGTGACAAGGGTACACACCTTGTCACACTTTGTCAATCTTTACCCACCGCTTCAAAGCGTGACAAGGGCACACCCCATGTCACACTTTATCAATCTCCACCTACATCTTCAAAGTGTGACAAGGGCACACCCCTTGTCACACTGTCAATCTCCACCCACAACCTTTACTTGTGACGTAAAGTATGAATAGCTGAGTCACGATGCTGTAATGCATACATATGATGCACTTACCATCCATAGCTTCAGCCTCTGTGGTTTTAGACAATTCCTTGTCTGTGATTTCGCCGACCGCTTCCGCGAACCATTCCAGTAGCTTCTTATGACGATTCACAATGGACTGCACGTCATTTCCGGGAACACCTAAAAATATATAATGCGAAATTTAGTGAAATAGATTATAACGTTTAAAAGATGATGTTTTTAAGCTACATAATATTACGATACGACCAATAGAAGCGACGCATCGGTGAAATATCTTGCAAGAACGGGGTAAATTAAAAGATAATCCCGATAGTGTTTTTGATAACCACGCGAACGAAGTCGCGGGCACATCTAGTACGTTTATAAGTTGAATACTTTAGTTTGTCTAACATTGTAGTGGTATCCAATCTTTACTGAGATTGTCTATGGAAAATAAACTTTGGACATAAACTATGATGTTCTTAGTTTCAATTATACCAACTCCTTTTAATCTCTCTCTCTGTTTAGCCATTTCCCGTTTCATTTGTGGCTCTAGGAGAGCCAGTCTTTCGCTTTTGCTCGTTCTTCTTGTGATGAGACAGCTTTCCGAACGAGTGGTAAATAAAAAACAAATTGTTATGACTATTCAAAAGTGCTTAAATTAAGTTTATTTGAATAAATGATTTTCTATTCTATTCTTTTCTTTCTTCTCCAGGCACATCTGTCCTGGGTCGTCGAGTTGGTTAGTTCGGTTTTCTTCAAGTCTTCCATGATAACGGACTGCCAAGTTTGACGGCCTCGGTGGTCTAACGGTTTAGCACACCGCCTTACTTCCGATGGTCGCGGGTTCGATTCCTCGCACGGCACAAACATTTGTACTCCTGAGTATGATTGTTTGTATCGGTCTGGGTATTTTCTATGTATAATATGTATGTATTTACGAAAAAAATGTATCTATGTATTTATATCAGTTATCTAGTACCCATAACACAAGCTTTAGCTAGCTTAATTTGGATCTAGATATCTAGATGGCGCTGTGTAAATTGTCCTGAGATTATTATTATTATTATTAAGTTAATAGGTCCTCGTCTCTTTGGGCCGGTATAAAGATGCAGGACTATTTTGGTAATGTGTCCCTCTTCTCGCCTCATTACGTTGCCATACGACCTCAATCTATACCAACTCCTTTCAATAATGTTGATATATGTACTGACCGTCGTTTTCGAGATCGTCTCCCCAGAGCGCCTCGCACAGCTTCCACACCTCGTAGCAGTAAGCGCCTGACACACCGAACTGTTACACAAATATATAAATCTATACATATAAATAAAATTGTAGTGTCTGTTACTTGTTGTTACTTTATTCATTTGCCTACTACTTTTTTCGTTTTTTTTTATTCTTTATATCTCTAAACGTTGTACAATTATAATTTATTTAGTGTAGTATAATCATCATTATTTTTTGTTTAATTTATATCAATTTTCGGTTGGGAGCCTGGTGATCTGTATTACAGGTTATGCCTATCTCAGACACCAGCTCCTCACAGCAAATCGATTCAAATAATAAATTTAAGTATTTTACTATAAAGAATACTACATGTAGTGTTGCCATCATGTTTGTGAGGAGAAATAAATAAATCAAATTATTAATAAAAAAAATATTGTTGTTTATTTAATATTAATGAACAATAGACTCAAATCAATTCAATAAAAAATATTTCGATTTCTATCAATTATTAGAAAATTGTACAAGTTTTTAGATTCATCCTTTCAAAATAGTTGGTTTATCTCATTAGTTGGCCCTCAGCTAATCGAAACCAATAATAGGTTTGGAGTGCCATCTGCACTCTGCCCCTATCATTTAGTGAACTTGTAAAGGCCAGCAGCATTGGAATTGTTAGGAAAATACATTTATTTAGATATTTAATAATAACTTCACAGTTAGCTGATGAGTTAACAGCACCAAGGCCGGAAGGTGTAGTAAAAAAATATTAATATTGAAATAACAGTTTTTTACTACATGCATATGAATATAAACACGGTACATATACCAAAACCAATAACATTTTTTATAATTTGTGTCTGTTTAATAAAAAAGTGATGTGTATAGTTTTAACTCGATTCCTCGCACGGCACAAACATTTGTATTCATGAGTATGATTGTTTGTATCGGTCTGGGTGTTTTCTATGTATAATATGTATGTATTTACAAAAAAAAAATCTATGTATATGTATCAGTTCTCTAGTACCCATAACACAAGCTTTAGCTAGCTTAACTTGGGTCTAGATGGCGCTGTGTGAATTGTCGTGATATTATAAAAAAAAACTCAATAAGTAAATACCTGAACAGTATAATTCTTCAATGCGGCAGCATCCTTGAGCTGTTGCTGCAGCAGCCGGCGCCGGTCCCGGGCTCCGGTCTTGACACGCAGCTGCGGACACCGGTCCGGGGCGGCGGCCCGGCCCGGACCGGGCTCCGGTACCGGCTCAGACCACTCCAGCAGAGTCGCCAGGTGGCGAGTTAACGATTCCTATCGACAAGTATTATAATGCTAGTTACGCTGGATACATTGGAAATTGATGACCTCGGTGATCTAGTGGTTTAGTACAGCGCTTTACGACCGATGGTCGCGGGTTCGATTCCTCGAAGGGCATAAACATTATTGTTTGTATCGGTCTAGGTGTTTTCTATGTATAATATGTATGTATTTAGAAAAAAAAACCTATGTATTTGTATCAGTTATCTAGTACCCATAACACAAGCTTTAGCTAGCTTAACTTGGGTCTAGATGGCGCTGTGTGAATTGTCCTGAGATTATTATTATTATTATATATTAGAGATAGAAAATGAACGTATAACTGGTCATTCGCATCCTCTAGGGAGGTGAAACATGGGGCCTCGGGGCTCCGCATCCACTCCCGGGTGCTGGATCTTGGACCTCCTAGTGTCATACTTGGGGACATTTTTTATATATACATATATATTTTTCAAAATTCTCTTGGTACCTGTTACTTTCATATCCTTGCTTGCAACACTTCCATTCATAAATAAATTTAAGTTCAGTGTAATATAGTCCACTATGGGCTTGTCAGTAATGTGGACCAATGAGCCTATTGCTAGCAAAGTACCGTGTCAGGTTGACCTCCATACGGTTCCCCCTGGACACCATCATGATAAATTCATGGTGAATTTAACACGATGGGCTAACTGACCTGACCTCATGTTCATCTTATGATCCTCCACTGGTGCCCCGCCAGCGTAAACCGCTAGCACAGGCGGGTGCACCATTACATTATCATCGTAAAAAAACCTGTTAGCCTCATTCCATTATCATCGTTTAAAAAACTCTGTATACATAAATTTTTAAGACGTTTTAGACTACCTGCATGTACCCGGCGTCGCCTGTTCCTAGTGCGAGGCGAGCGAGGAGCGGCTCGCTCCAGTCGTCGTGCGATCGTCCGACGACGTACTGCGACAGCTCCGACATCTGCGCCGCTACAACACCAACCAATAAACACACATTTAAGTAAATTCCTCTGCCCTCCAGTAATCACTACATTCGCACGGGTGTACATGTAGTATATATAGTTTTTAAATATTATATTATATGTAAGTTACTCTATAAGGTATTTATAATATGGGCCTAGTTGCCTGAAATAAATGAATAAATAAAATAGATAAAAATATATATATAACGAGGGTAGTTCCTCTACTTGGGATACCTCGTCATCAGAACCCATGTTCTGTTAGGCAAGAAATAATAGTCTGGATTTAAAGTATAATATAACTCACTCCCGATAACAAAATAATAAATTCAACAACGATCAGCCTTTGATGCAAACGGATTAGTCAGGGAAACGCGGCAAGTTCGGTACAGAGTGCAGAACAAATCTTTATTCAAAAAACGTTTCGTAATTGCCGTTAAAACTGCTTTACCCTGTAATAGTCAAACTTTTGACGTTTTCAACAACGATAATAGATGGCGCTATTCTAGTAGAAACTAATCAATTGAGCCTCTTTGTTGATTCTGCGACATATAAATCTTCCTCTTGAATCGCTCTATCTGTTAAAAAATACCGCTTCTAAAGCATATATAGGGACGGACAAACAGCGAAATCGCCTTTGTTTTATAGAAATAGAAATAGAAATATCTTTATTCAAATAAACTTATTACAAGCACTTTTGAATAGTCATATTTTGATTCTACCACTCATTCGGAATGCAGATTCATCACAAGAAACTTGTGTGTTGCTCTTTTTAATAGATGTTTTTTTTTATATAAATAATTACAGTATAACAAGTAAGAGGCATGCGATAATCAACATAAAAATCGCTACGCACTTATTATTAATGTAATCAGATAATATTGTCGGTGCTATGGATTTAAAGTTTTTCTATAAAAACATTATATAAATTCTTCAATTTTCATAGTTTTTTTCTGTTTTATTTGACATTTAAATCTTTTTTCTGGCAGATTTATAACAGATTATTTTATATTAAAAACCTTACGCAATTGCCATAAAACGAATTACTAACTTTAGCCAAACGACATTTAGGTAAAATCAGTTTGTTATTGTTACATAAGCTTTTATTAGTGCAATCACTAACTGTTTTATACTATGTAATATAAATAAATAATAAAAAAAAATAATGTGTAATACCATCTAGAGCATGGGTGAGGAAACTTTTCATCAACGGGCCAATTTAATTTGAAATATTTATGCCGGGTAATAAAGTAACACTTATTCATAAGAATAGAATAAAATAAAAAAAAATATTTATTCAAATAAAGTTATAATTAAATATAGGTATAAAAAACAGGGGTTGATTGTAAAAGGTTGAAAATTTGAAGTTATATTGTATTTGTCAATTAAAAATCATCTATACATCTATACATATAAATAAAATTGGAGTGTCTGTTTGTAATATTGAAATAACCGTTTTTTACTACATGCATATAAATCTATATACGGTATATAAACCAAAATAACATTTTTTATCATTTTTGTCTGTCTGTCTGTCGGTCTGTTTGTTCCGGCTATTTTCTGAAATGGCTGCACCGATTTTGACAGGACTTTTTTTGGCAGGTAGCTGATGTAATAAGGAGTAACTTAGGCTTTTTATTTTAAAAAAATAAAGTTATATTCCACGCGGACGAAGTCGCGGGAACAGCTAGTAATATATAAGAATATAAAAGAAATATTGGGGTGGGTTACTCTTATCATTGAGGGTTATTAAAAATAGATGTTGGTTGATTCTCAAACCTACCCAATATATATATATATATATACCTACAAATAAAAGTCATAAAAATCGGTAAAGCCGTTTAAGAGGAGTTTAGTAACAAACATCGCGACACGAGAATGTTATATATCATATACTAGTTTTTACTTCGCCCGCATGTTTTTCTTGAATAAAAAGTATCCAATGTTCATTCTAATACCTCCAAGAACATGTGTACAGAATTTCATGATTATCGGTTCAGTAGTTTTTGCGTGAAAGCGTAATAAACATTCCTACTTACATTACAATATTATTAAAAATACATGGAATACGAACAGCGTGGTAGGTGGTGGAGACCGCGGTGGGTGGCCACGTATGCCAGCGTTCCGGCTGGACCGAAACCGATGCGGCTGTGCCGCGCGCGACACACCGACATATCAGCTAAGCACGCCGCGTCCAGTTTACCTGCCGAAAATCGAATTCACAATAACCTTAGACAATTTACACAGCGCCATCTAGTCCCAATGCAAGCAGAGCTTGTGTTACGGATACTTGTATCGGAAGTAAAGCAGCGGCTAAACTTTAATTTAATTTCAGTTAGCGCAAACGATATTTACGCAGTTCCATACGAAATAAAAAAAAAAAACTAACCCGCTATGGTTTCCTTGAAGGGCGGCACTTTCCTGTGATACTGCAACACTATGGTGTACGGACGCACTATTAGTGGCTTCATTGTAACCTCTGCAACAGAAATATAATAATAATAATAAATGGAAAGCACACACCATCCACATAGTACCCATAGTTTTGTCATCCACAGGAGTTATACCAAAAAGTCTGAACAAACACCTAGACACGTTGCATATCCCCTCCTCTACAATAGACCTATTACAAAAAGCCGTCATACTAAACACATGCCGAATAGTCAGAAAATTTCTATCTTCATCACATAACTCATCCATGCTTGACTAAGGCCCGCGTGTTTGAATATATTACCCCCGTAAAAAGGGGGATATAATAAATATATATATATGTATACGTAATAATAATAATAATAAATTGTTTGGTGATTTTTACCCGCAATGATCAGTCTATTACCCCATCAATGGGAGATATATAATACATATTCATTCATTCATAATTCATAATTTAAGAGCTGTGCTCTTGTCGGTGGAGCTCCCGCCACCTTCCACGATCTTCTATCAGTCCCTTTAGCTGTTGATACGACACGACTCCAACTTGTTCTTTAACTTGCTTGATGTAGCTGTGTCTCGATCTTCCCCTTTCTCTCTTTCCATCTATTTCTCCTTTTATAATGTTGTTAATTAGTTCGTCGTGTCGTATCAAGTGCCCCAACATTTTTCCCCGCCTATTCTCAATAATATCTATGATCTGTCTCTTTTCTTTAATCCTCTCAAGCACTTCTTCATTCCTTATTTTATCTTTCCAGCTAATTCTTTCCATACATAATACATATATAAAAAAATAATAATAATAATAATATGTGACTTGGTGATATAAGCCCGTCCTTGTGATCACTATAAAACAACCGATATTTAAATTGTGAAACGGTGGAAATAATAATAATAATTTTTGTCTTCCACTTAAAAATTATTCATCCTCATCATTGATAATTTATACTGTCATTGTTTGGTGATTTTTCCCCGCAATGATCAGTCTATTACCCCATCAATGACGACCTCGGTGGTCTAGCGGTCTAGCATACCGCTTTACGACCGATGGTCGCGGGTTCGATTCCTCGCACGGCACAAACATTTGTATTCATGAGTATGATTGTTTGTATCGGTCTGGGTATTTTCTATGTATAATATGTATGTATGTAGGAAAAAAAAAATTATCTATGTATTTGTATCAGTTGTCTAGTACCATAACACAAGCTCTGCTTAGCTTGGGACTAGATGGCGCTGTGTGAATTGTCCTGAGATGATTATTATTATTATTATCAATGGGAGATATATAATATATATATAAAAAAAATAATAATTAAATCGAACGAATCACTAAGGAGAGGTGAACTATTTCCTGAGACTGAAGGTTTCATGCTTGCAATACAAGATGAAGTAATACCAAAAATTTCAAATAATTTTTTTAGGAAGTTTGTGTGACAACAAAAACAAAATACCATAGACATCCCACAGCCACTGCTTACCATCAGATAAGCCGTATGCTTGATTGCTACATAAAAACAAAAATCCTTCCATTCTCATACTTGATGGTTAAATTTTCCGGACTACTCTAACTGACCACAGCTGATTTTTACAGCTTCACCGGACGATAGGGGCGAGTGCAGATGACATTCCAAACCAAAGGAAGGACTTATGGAGCGGCTGAAGGCCAACTCCTGCCTGACGGATACGACTTTAGTCTGAGGGCACCACTAGGGGTTCGAACCACGGCTCAGGCCGTCGTAATATCGAACCCCCTTTGAATTGGACGGGGGATCGATAGGAGGGGACAATATGTACATAAAATATTGATCATATAATTAAATGACAATAGGAAAATATAAGGTGGGGTGACACAGTTTAGACACGGCAGTGCTTAGTAGACAACATTGAGTTTGTCTTACTAGACATTATTAATTACAATTATTATATTGATGTATCTAGGTAACTGTGTCCCATAGTACCCAAAGTACTGAAGGACAACTCCCGCCTGACGGATACGACTTTAGTCTGAGGGCACCACTAGGGGTTCGAACCTCGGCTCAGGCCGTCGTAATATCGAACCCCGTTTGAATTGGACGGGGGATCGATCGTAGGGGTTACTTGATGGTAATGACTTATTTTCTACAATAGTATATTTTTTATAAAATAACTTAATTATAAAATATATTTTTTTATAAAATCTTTTCAGATTGAAGTTGAGTTGAGTGTTGAGTGATTGAGTCTGAAAAGACTTTACCAATGTTGCCAGCTTTTGCGATTCATATACTCAAGATTAATTAAACGATGAAATAGAAATAGAAATATTTTTTATTCAAATAAACTCAATACAAGCACTATCGAATTCACATCTTTTATTCTACCACTCATTCAGAATGCAGTCTCATCATTAGACGAATGAGCTTAATAATTGTGTGTTTCTCTTTTGAATATATGTTATTTAAAATAAATAATTACACACTAACAAGAAAGAGGCATGTGATAATGACTAAATAGCAAAGTATTTTTTATTAAAAACAAATGTATACTGAAATACCTTCAGAGTCTGCAGGCGTGGGGGTGAGGTCCATCTCGAGTGCTGCCGGAGTAATGGGTACCGGCGAAGGAATCAGCCGGGGGGCGGCCAGCGGCACCAGCTGGTCCCCGGTCGACACCGACACGTCATCATCCATCTCTGTTGATAACAATAAGATTATTCTTATCTGCAATCAGTCCCGGAACTATACAGATCTTCTGGGTGTGAGAACTGAGAATGGAGTGTCCACCCCAATGGGAGAATCTGCTCCTTACGAATACTGCGAAACATGTCTGGTATCTAAGGAGCCCTACCACGCTGCGACATAACTTGTATTGTATAAATGAGTAGCAAAATACATAAGATATAACATATATATATACATCTTACATATAAAATTCTCGTGTCACAGTTTTCGTTCCCATACTCCTCCGAAACGGCTTGACCGATTCTCATGAAATTTTGCGAGCGTATTGAGTAGGTCTGAGAATCGGCCAACATCTATTTTTCATCCCCCTAAATATTAGGGGTAGTCCAACCCGAAATTTTCTTTTTTAATTTTATGGCAAAACAACGTTTGCCGGAACATCTAGTATATATATATTATATATATATATAATAAATAAATAACCTGGACAATTCACACAGCGCCATCTAGTCCCAAGCTAAGCAGAGCTTGTGTTATGGTACTAGACAACTGATATAAAATAAATCCTTGAACACAACCGAAGTTTCATTTTGAATATCTTTAACTGGAGGGAAGGGCAGTGTTAGTAATGTGGACTCATAACCTATTGCTAGCAATGTACCATGTCAGGTTGACCTCCACGCGATTCCCCTTGGAAACCATCGTGATAAATTCCAGATGAATTTATCACGATGTGCTAACTGACCTGACCTCATGCTCATCCTATCATCCTCCACTGGTGCCCCGCCAGGGTATACCGTTAGTGCAGGCGGGTGCACCATTTCATTATCATATAAAAAAAAAAACTAGAGGTGAAGGGAATTATTAAAGGGACCTAGTAACTTCCATTGCGTGCAATTTTCCATGGATAGGTCGACCTCCACGCGTTTTGTGAATATGTAACGATGGGCTAACTGACCTGACCTCATGCTCATCTTATCCTCCACTGGTGCCCCGCCAGCGTAAACCGTTAGCGCAGGCGGGGGCACCATTTCATTATCATCCAAAAATATATCTTTAACTGTACCAGAAGGGATATAAAATACATAATATGGCAATGTACCCATGTCAGCGTAGAGTGATGCCTTCATCAGTTGAACATTGTGACTCTGTCGGTGTTCTAGCCGAGCCAATTCACCCGTTGGACTCTTCATACCGTAAGCTGAGGAAATAAACAATTATCTTAATCATTGCATAGTATAAAACCAAGTCGCTGTCGCTGTCTGTCCGTCCCTATGTATGCTTAAATCTTTGAAACTATGCAACGGATTTTGAAGCCATTTTTTAATAGATAGAGTGATTCAAGAGGAAGGTTTATATATATAATACATGTACACCCGTGCGAAGTTGGGACGAGTAACTAGTAATATTATAAACGAGGAGGTTTCTGAGTATGAATGTGTGGATGGATGTTTGTTACTCTTTCACGCAAAAACTACTAAACATTTTAAGTCGTTTGTGGCTCTGGTCCCCACCAACATGCTGCAACCTTCATGAAGGAGGACTACTGGCCGCAGGGTGTGGTATATCGGCGCTACCGGCAGATTGCCATCGTCAGTGCCGTGATCACACAGACAATATCAATATATTAAAAATAAAGAAAATAAATAAAAAAATAAATATGTTAGTTTTGTAATATTAATTTATATATATATTAGTCTGTAAGGTACTTATAATATAGGTCATTAGTAACCTGAATTCAATAAATAAATAATAGTTTAAGTTAGTTAGCCATGTAATCAAATGACAGAAAGTCGTAATATAAACTTTTGTATTATTATGTACTGTTCCTTTTTAATGTTGTAATCTTATGGTTGTATAAATAAAGCATTATATATTTATCTAGACACGCGGGATCGTGTCAAGCCGAGTTTCAAGTAAGAGAACTGGCGAGCAGCACCGTGTGTATATTTACACGAACCATTTGGAGCCACTTTTGACCCCCTCATAACTCAAAAACTCTTTCACATAAACCTGCCAAATTTGGTTCATATATTGAGACTTGCGAGATAAATATGTGTTCAAAATTTCTTTACGAAGTTTTCATATACGAAATATACTTAATTGTCGGTTCCTATTTTAATATTAGTAGTAACTAGCAATCGAAAGTAATAATTGGTATATGAGAACTGGCCAAGTTAGACCTTAGGCTACAGTATATTATCCTAAGTTATAAGAAGAAATGATATTTTATATTGTTATAAATACATTTCAGGACAGACAATTGAACTTGGCACCCATTTAGATCTCACCTCTTTTGTCGTAGAAGTCAACAATCAAGGCATATATCATAATATTAAACTCGGCTATCATTTCACATTTATGTTTTTGGTGGTAAGTTGTCAAATCAAATCAAATCAAAATATCTTTATTCATGTAGGTCTATTACAGAGTTTTGTAATATGTCAAATCTACCGTCAGTTCGGAATGATTTCGAGATAAGAAGAACGCAAAATATCTTTATTAATGTAGGTCTATTACACTTTTATGATATGTCAAATCTATATTTGATCGAATTAGGATTTTGCGGAAGTCCATTCCACTACTCGATGTATTTATATTATTTTGTTTAATTCTGCTACAATTAACATGTGTGAGACGACGAATATTCGGTGTGGAAACCTGACCAGCGCTACGAGCTTCTCCAGTGGCGATCAGATTCCGACCGTTATTGAGTCTATACCCATATCGCGACACGTGTCACGTGTGTAAACAAAATAATATAAATCTATCGAGTATTATTACAATTTTTTTTTTCCAAAAATTCTCATCTCCCCTCTTAAGGAGAGGAGATGGCAACATACCCCCGGCAGAAGCACAGTCGGCCGGGGTTCATGGCCCCAGGGAGAGAAACCGGCGTACAATGCGGGCAGAATCAAACAGCACCGCTTACTGCATCTTTTCCGGGAGTGATTATTATTAATATTATTATTATTTGATTATTATTTGATTACTTGATTATTATTATTATTATTTGACGTTCATAAGCGGCTAATAAGTCCTATGTAAATGATTTTTTGATTTGATTTACTTTAAACTTATTAATATTATAAACGCGAAAGTTTGTGAGTATGGATGGATGTTTGAATGAATGAATGAAATGAATGAAATGAATGAAATGAATGAAATGAATGAAATGAATGAAATGAATGAAATGAAATGAATGAAATGAATGAAATGAATGAAATGAAAATATGTAAAATGTGCGAAATATAAGGTTAAATGTCATGCAACGTTGAGGCGAACGAAGTTGAGTGAGCTAGTATTATATAAGTAGTCGGAATTCAATGAAGGAAAAAATTACAAATACCTTTGCTGTCTTGATATAGACTCTGTGCTTCTGCATTATCCTCGGTTGTGTCCATTTCGAATGCTGCAAACAAATATATATGAAATTAATATATTTTACTTCACCAACTGACTTAACAAAATACGGTATACCATTACTCACCTTTACCAGCACCGTTGAGCAAGTCCAACGACGTCTGGTGCATCGCAAACAGATCATCCCCGAGCCCGTGGGAGAGTCCTAGGCCTGCTGCCGGGGCAGGGGCGGAGCCGCCGGATACCGGCACTGATGTCTTTGGAACTGGAAAGAAAAAAAAATGTAATTGTAATGGTGAAGAAACTGACTGTCCAGCTAATGGTAAGTGGTAACCGTCGCATACATGAACAGCACTACGGACATCAGGTTTCACGTGACGCCCGTGATACCACTCACGCGTTGTCACTCCAGAGTACTAACATGTCACGCCTCTTATCCTGTAATTTCACTTCCTAATCTGCACTACAACCGAAACAGCTTACAAAGCAAGCTGCTTGGCCGAAATAGGTGAGACTGAGCTACATACACGGACGAGTTTTGTCTAGACTGTCTGTGTACAAATTAAATTTAAATCGGTTTTGTAGTGAAAACGAGACGGACAGACTTACTTTCGCATTTTTTTATCTTAGTAAGGATGTTTGATGACTATTTAAAACATATTGTTTATTTAATAATTATGATTAAATTACTAGGAACTGCTGTCTGTAGACTCTGCTGGTTGACCAGCTGCCGCTTCAGCACCTCAGGAGTGATGTCGTCCTCCTCGTCTGAATCAGTTAGGCCGTATTTGCTAAAATGTTCCACCTGCCGGAATAAATTGGTGTCATAGTATCACATAGTATAAAACAAAGTCGCTGTCGCTGTGTGTCCGTTCCTATGTATGCTTAAATCTTTCAACGGATTTTGAAGCGGTTTTTTTAACAGATAGAATGATTCATGAGGAAGGTTTATATATATAATACATGTACACCCGTGCGAAGGCGTGGTGAGCAGCTAGTATAGTATAAAACAAAGTCGCTGTCGCTGTCTGTCCCTATGTATGCTTAAATGTTTAAAACTACACAACGGATTTTGAAGCTGTTTTTTAATAGATAGTGATTCAAGAGAAAAGTTTATACATATAATACATGTACACCCTTGCGAAGCCGGGGCGAGTAGCTAGGATACTTAGGAACAGCAAATTTGTCTTTAAATCTATTATTGTAATGTAAGTAAAAAAAAAAAAGTAATTCAATTGAGTTTCTTGCCAGTTCTTCTCAATTGGATCTATATACCGAACTGGACGGTAGGGAAAAAATAAAATTATAATGTAAAAATTTGACGTTCATAAGCGGCTAAAATGTCCTACATGAATAAATGATTTTTGAATTTTGAATTTTAAGTTGGACTCCACTCTCCGCAATCAGCCTCCCATCTGGACCGTTGTACGTGTAGAGCTACAGAAGTAGCCAGCCAAGCTCCTCCCAAAAGCTCAGGTGTCTTCACAAGCTTTACGGAGCGACCTCACCGTTCCGAGGATCTGTGTTCATTGTGTGGCCACTACAAGTACTACAGTATTACATGGGCAGTTTCTTCGGCTTCAAAACCAGCCTCGAGAAAGAGGACTGTCTGTAGCACCTATTGTGTACAGATGTTTGTTTAAGGGAGACAGTGGCACGTTATTGTCCCTATCATTATTTTGAGGTTTTGCCCATTTAGGTTCAGTAATAGTTTTGCCAATCGATAGTTTTAATGTTATGATACTGACCGGATTTTCTTGAAACTTTACAGTAATATATAGCTTATGCATCGGAATCACACATAGGCTATATTTTTAAATTGAAATTTAACGCAGGTGAAACCACGAGCACAGCTAGTTAATATTATGAACGCGAAAGTTTGTGAGTATGGATGAATGTTTGTTACTCTTTCAGACAAAAACTACTGAACGGATTTAGATGAAAGTTTACGGTAATATAGCTCATGCATCAGAATAACACATAGGCTGTTCAAAATCTACCCTGTATCATCGTAAGCACAGATATTATATTATATTAGAGTCCGTTAGTTTTCTGTTCCCGCGCGTTCCCTTCCCCTCCCTAACTAGTACTGAACCGACTGTACGACGGTCTTGACGCGCGCGCGCATTGTGTTGTGAATTAAAATAAATTAGAACTGTGAAACCTACTGTGAAACTGGAAAGCTAGCGAAGATATCTTCGAGACCCTGAAGCCCAAGAAATCCGCAGAACCATACAGGTACGTGACTGACGTTTCCCAAACATTTTGGTAGCAGAGTAGTTTCCCAAACATAGGCTATATTTCATATTGATATTTAACGCGTTTAAAATCGCTGGCACATCTTGTATATATTGTTATGATAAATAATATAATTGTAAATCTACCACTCACCCGGAATACCCAGCTGCCTGTCTGCGGCCGGTACTCGATGAACTTCGTGTCGTGTTTGTCACACACGCGCCGCAGTTTAGCCTCGTAGTCCATTTTGAGAAGTCTGCAAATCATAATATTTTAAAATATATAATCACTGGTGAACCCTGCACTGACGGTATTCGTCAGTGCAGGTTGTGCAGTGCTGTTCATCTTATTATCCTCCACTGGTACCCGCCAGCGTGGCGGGGCACCAGTGGAGGATAATAAGATGAACATGAGGTCAGGTCAGTTAGCACATCGTGGTAAATTCACCATGAATTTATAACGATGGTTTCCTGGAGAACCGCGTGGATGTTAAGTTAGGTTAGGATTATTAGTCACATTACTAAATAATCCGATTTCTCCAATATACATAATCTATACATATAAATAAAATTGTAGTGTCTGTTTGTAATATTGAAATAACCGTTTTTTACTGTATGAATATGAATATAAATACGGAACATACACCAAAAAACCACTTTTTAAAATTTTTGTCTGTCTGTCTGTCGGTCTGTTTGTTCCGGCTAATCTCTGAAACGGCTGAACCGATTTTAACGGGACTTTTTTTGGCAGGTAGCTGATGTAATAGGGAGTAACTTAGGCTACTTTTATTTTAGAAACATTATTTTATTGTAGAAAAATGAAGCATAATTCCACGCGGACGAAGTCGCGGGTACAGCTAGTCATATACATAAAATTCTCGCGTCACAATGAAATGAAATGAAATGAAATGATTTTATTTTGCGAGAAATGTGGTGTGCACAGATGTTATAAAGTACATATGGTTCCATACAATCCGTCTTATATGAAGACATGCAAAATTTTATATTAGTTATGCTTCTGCAAATAATTACACAATTCTGTCTTTCAGATAGCATATTACATTATTATATTATACAATTTTAAGAAATTATTATATCTATATTATTATTTAGTCATTATATGTCAATATTATTACAGTTATGTCATTACTATTATATTAGTATAATACAATGTTAGTTGCCATACTCCTCTGAAACGGCCTGACCGGTTTTTATGAAATTTTATATGCATATTCTGTTCACGCCGTATAGACGGCAGAGCGGGGCGGAGGGGGCGGCACACATCAGTGTGAACTTAGCATCGAGCGCGGTGCACGGACGAAAGAAAAAATCAGCCATAACGGCGAATAGACGATAAATACATCATTCACGAAAATACGCCCTTGTACACACATCACAATAAACAAAAAACAAAAACATATTCAGTAGGTCTGAGAATCGGCTATTTATTTTTATACCCCTGAGTGATAAGGGTTGTCCACCCCTAACATATTTTAATTGTTTTTATTATATTATAATTTAGCATTAAACATAAGAATACATAGTGGCGCCGGTGTCAGAGAGGTTGAAGAGTAATCGTTTATCATGATATGGACATGTAATGCGTAGGAATGAGGATAATATTTTAAGAAAGGTGTTTACATATGAATGTGGATGGTTATAAGGGCAGAGGAAGGAAGAAGAGATGGATGGACTGTGTGAAAGATGATATGGTGAGGTGTCAGAGAGGTTGAAGAGTAATCGTCTATCATGGTATGGACATGTAATGCGTAGGAATGAGGATAATATTTTAAGAAAGGTGTTACATATGAATGTGGATGGTTATAAGGTCAGAGGAAGGCCGAAAAAGAGATGGATGGACTGTGAAAGATGATATGGTAAGAAAGGGAGTGAATAACGCGATGACTGCGAACAGGGATGAATTGTAGAGAAAAACATATTACGAAGAAAACAAATAAATGGGATAAGAAAGAAGCAGATGATGATGATAAGAATACAAACAACTTTAATTTCAACCCCTATTTTTTAATAGCAATAATTATTTATATGTCAGAACATTTGCGGGGTCATCTAGTACATATCTTATCTTATTAATATTATAAACGTGAAAGTTTGTGAGTCTGGATGTTTGTTACTCTTTCACGCAATAACTACTAACTGGATTTTCTATTCCTATTGTGTACAGATGTTTGTTTAAGGGACAGTGGCACGTTATTGTCCCTATCATTATTTTGAGGTTTTGCCCATTTAGGTTCAGTAATAGTTTTGTCAATCGATAGTTTTAATGTTATGATACTGACCGGATTTTCTTGAAACTTTACAGTAATATATAGCTTATGCATCGGAATCACACGTAGGCTATATTTTTAAATTAAAATTTAACGCACGTGAAACCACGAGCACAGCTAGTTAATATTATGAACGTGAAAGCATGTGAGTATGGATGAATGTTTGTTACTCTTTCAGACAAAAACTACTGAACGGATTTAGATGAAATTTTAGGGTAATATAGATCATGCATCAGAATAACACATAGGCTATATTTCATATTGATATTTAACGTGGTTAAAACCGCTGGCACAGCTTGTATATGTATGTAGTATGTTGGCTAGCGGTTGCAATCTCACGTAATGATTTTTAATATTTTTTTTTCTATGTTACTCTTATTAATATTTTCTTTTTTTCTTTTCGTTTTTATCCCTACCACTCAGGTAAAATTATATCAAATTATACTGTGAACTATTTACATTATTTTTATTATACACACAGTGCACAGACAATCACCAATAATATTGCTCTTTTATTTTATATTTATTTTAATTATTATTTTCACGTACCCTCAAATGGGTTGAAGCTGAACATCAGTGTTTTGTTCCCTGAACAATGTCCCACGCTGAGCTTCGACCTGTTTGTATTGCTACAGATCACACATAATAACACAATTTTATAAATCTTATGTTGTATTATGTATTGTCTATTCTTATGAACGTGTTGTGTGTGATTTATTAGTAACAAACAAATAAACAATATATGTATCTATCTATAGACACTCGTACCTGTCAGGGTCTGTGATGGGCCTGCTCTGGGTCTTGTCCCGCGGCCAGACCCGGTCCAGGGTGACGACGGCGCGGCGGTTGAGGCCCTCGCCCTCCGGAGGCTTGTCGCTGTCCTCCGGGTATACTATCACTTCTTTGTTTAAGAAGTGCACTGTAAAATAATAATAATAACAATAATAATCTCAAGACAATTCACACAGCGCCATCTTGACCCAAGTTAAGCTAGCTAAAGCTTGTGTTATGGGTACTAGATAACTGATACATATACATAGATATATATTTTTTTTTGTAAATACATACATATTATACATAGAAAACACCCAGACCGATACAAACAATCATACTCTTGAATACAAATGTTTGTGCCGTGCGAGGAATCGGACCCGCGACCATCGGTCGTAAAGCGGTGTGCTAGACCACTAGACCACCGAGGTCGTCAATATGACGTGCGTACATTAAATTCATGGGTGAAAACTGTGATTGGTACAGTTTATGCTGTAAATAATATATGAAGTTCGAACTTGTGGCGGCGTGGTGGACCGGGTCGATGTGCTCCCTCTAATATGGTTGAGTGCAATGATAGCTAGCTCATCCGTCATACTCGTGGACGGGTGCTGCTTATGGGGACTGGTCTGTTCAGGTTGCGAAATCTGATTAGATTTTTTGTTTTTTTTTTTCAATAGCATATGCTGGTGCTCTTGTATTCTCCCAAATTTGAGTTTAAATGAATTTGTATTATTGTAAATATGTACAACATTTAAAAAAATACGAGCTGAGTTTCTTGTCAGTTCTCATCTCGAAATCATTCCGAACTGACGATAGATTTGACATATCATAAGAGTCTGTAATAGACCTACATGAATAAAGATATTCTGAATTTTGAATGGATTTATTACATTAACTGTAGATGGTACTACTTAGTTGTTCACTATTCGACTATCAAGACCTAAGTGTCCTCTCAAATGTATTCTCTCCTCAGTACTCGCCCCACCACCAATGTGACATGGCATGCCATAGACTAGCTACAGGCACAGGTATTCATTCTAGAAAGGTAGTCTGGAGATATGGCGCTGCTATCTACACAGCATAACTCAGTGGCGCCCTCTATCAACTTTCTTACGATGGTGACAACAACCCACATTTTATTCCATTATTAAGGTAGTATTTATAGCAAATCATGACAGATTTATATAATTATCCAATTAACCTTAATAGAACGGGACGTATAAATACATTAAACGTAAACACTTGCGTGCAATAAGTTTTGTGTACTGGAACTTTGAACGGGTGGAACAAATAGTTTCGTACAAGGAAGTGTTTGTATATTCCCTTTTTGTTGCTTATACATAAAGGAAAACATATATTTCATATCATATAGAATTATACTGTTCTATGACATACTGACACGTCCCAGTGAGTCAGTACCTGTTATATGCTGCGTAATTAAAAAAAAACCCTGGTTAACAGGTTAATTTGCATATTTTATACTTCTCTGAATTATAACTGGTATAATTAAGTATAAAAAAAACATGCACAAAGAAAAAACAATTATCGTAACCCACCGAAGCACATCGAGGCAACATACATACCCAAGACACTGGCTGTATATTTATGTGCTATATTTATTTCTTCTATTAATTATAATATTCTCCGATCGATCCCCCGTCCAATTCAAACGGGGATCGAAATTACGACGGCCTGAGCCGAGGTTGAACCCCTAGCGGTGCCCTCAGACTATCTACGTATCTGTCAGGCGGGAGTTGTCCTTCAGCCGCTCCATAAGTCCTTCCTTTGGTTTGGAGTGCCATCTGCACTCGCCCCCTATCTTGAGGTAGAGCTGTAAAGGCCAGCTGCGACCTTTACAGCTTCACCAGCACAAGAGTAGAGTACAACAGCATGAGAGTACTGCGAAAAAAGCTATCCATATGTATATTTGTCTGTATTGTAAGGGCCATTAGTAGCTTGAATTAAATAAATAACTCACCCAACGAGTCGAGATCCAAACCGGCAACATCTATCTCGCAGTCATAGTACACGTTCCCGTAGTTCTTGCGGCCAATAGTCAAGTGAGGGACCACACACGACCCGTCCGAGCGGAGGTAACCTGTAGGTGGAAATGTGGAGGTCATAATAGAAATAGATATAGGAATACGAATAGGACTAAGAAATAGAAATATAATTAGAAATGTAAATAGAAATATAAGTAGAAATGTTATAATATTCGCGTGTATTCTATTCTTGTTTAGTTTTAGTTTAGTCTAATATTTGTATATATGTTATTTATATAATTAATGTTAAGCCACCATCAAGTATTTCTGCACTTCCTGAAGGTTGACTGGTAGAGAATGCCTATAGCATTAAGTCCGCCGTTTGTATCATAATTTATTGGTTAATAAAGTTTAAGTAAATAAATAAATAAATAGAAATATAATAAGAAATGTAAATAGAAATATAAGTAGAAATATAATAAGAAATGGCAATAGAAATAGAAGTAGAAACATAATAAGAAATGCCAGGTCTTGTGCTAAAAAACAGCGTTGCAGCGCTCCAGCCGCTGCAGCATTATGCTGAGCACGGACCTAATGAGTAGATGCTTCGACAGACATACACATGCAAGCACACGCGCACACACGTAATTTGTGTACTGTTTTTTTTTTAATTGTCACACTGTTTGTTATTCTTTTTTTTGTTTGTTTAATGTGTGTTTTAGTTTTTTCTTCTACTAAATAAATATCATTTCATTTAATTTCAAATGGCAATAGAAGTAGATATATAATTAGAAATAGAATAAAAAATGGAAATAGAAATAGATGTAGAAATATAATAAGAAATGTCAATAGAAATAGAAGTAGAAATATAATTAGTAATATAATTACAAATAATAAACACGAGGTAGCTTTGTGTCTCAAAGGTGAACATTTTTTTTTATTGGGTTGTTAGGGCTATTGTCAGGTGATTGTAGCACCTGTAGCACTGCGACCTACATAGATCTATCGTGCTCGCCCTTTAAAAGGGAACATAGAAATCTTTTTATACTAATATCCCTGGACAATCCACATAGCGCTATCTAGTCCCAAACTAAGCAGAGCTTGTGTTATGGGTACTAGACTGATATTTTTATACTGTTGCGGGTGAATAATAAGATGTTGCTGGTCGAGACGATGTATATTACAGATGATGATAAACTGACAATGTGTACATAGAAATAATGATCTTATATACTAAATAAAAATAGGAAAATGTAAGGTGGGGTGACACAGTTTAGATACAGCAGTGCCTAGTAGACAATATTGAATTTGTCTTACTAGACATTATTAAATGCAATTATTATTTTATGTATCTAGGTGACTGTGTCCCATAAGTACATACATAATATACGTAGAAAACATCCAGACCGAAACAAACAATCACACTCATGAATACAAATATTTGCACCGTGCGAGGAATAGAACCCGCTATCGTCGGAAGTACAGCGCCGTGGTGGTAATATAATAATCATCAAACCTGTGATTTCGTCTAAACTCGGTATGGTGTAGTAGCCGGGACGAGTGAGCTTCACGCCGGCCGGGTGCGGGGTCACTTCCCGAGCTGACACGTTCTCTTCTTCGGATACTGTATAAAAAATACAACATTGTTGGTATTAATACCAGCTGCTGAATTTCAGCATCATCAGCTAGAAACTAAAATACCATCCTGATCATTTGGATGAATGGCGGTCCTCCACAGTGCGGTTTTCTAGAACCTTTTTGCCTCGCACAACCACATTGTGGAATCACCTTCCAGCAATGGTATTTCCGAACCGATACGAAATTGAAACCTTCAAGCTTATTCCTTCTTAAAAGGCCGACAACGTACTTGCAATTCCCCTGGTGTTGCAGGTGCTCATGGGCTCATCATTTACCATCAGGTGAGCCGCAAGCTCGTTTGTCCCCTACGTTAGAAAATATATCTATATATCTATGCTAGTATAGATAGATAGATATATCTATACTCCTAAATGTTAAGGAATGGCCCATCCCAAAATAAAATCTATATTTTTTTGGACACATTTATTTACCTACCTGCCAAAAAGTCCCGTCAAAATCGGTCCAGCCGTTACAGAGATTAGCCGGAACAAACAGACAGACAGACAAAAATTGTAAAAAATGTTATTTTGGTGTATGTACAGTATTTATATTCATATGCATGTAGTAAAAAACAGTTATTTCAACATTACAAACAGACCCTCCAATTTTATTATGTAATAAAACGCATTTCTTAATTAAAAAAAGAGAATAAAGAAGAGAAAGAACCATAAACGCCAGCGATCTGATGCGCAATCTTCTCACACGAGCACGTGCCACGACCGCCGCGGTGACAACAGAATTGTAGCTCACTTCTCCTACCTGGCAGGAGAGGGTGAGGACTTAGGAGAGAGTCAGGATAGAGTAGGATTGAATGTAAGGAAGTGAAGGAAGTGTTACGGCGGTTATCACCTCACCACTGTAGCGCTACATATAACTGGCTGACCCGCGCAAATTCGTCTGCGTTTTATTTCCCCACCTTTTGCAATATTTTCATTGCAGCTCCGCTCCTATTGGTCGTAGCGTAATGTTATATAGCTTAAAGCCTTCCTCGATAAATGGGCTATCCAACATCCAACATAGTTTTTCAATTCGAACCAGTAGTTCCTGAGATTCACGCGATCAAACAAACAAACTCCTCAGTTTTATAATAGTAGTATAGATGTGATGAGGTGTCGCTATGTAATACATTGTTTATTGTAGTATGTAGGTAGTGAGTGAACAGGTGTAATAATCAGGGGCGGATCTACCTAAGGGCTAAGGGAGGAAACAAAGGGGCCCCCAGTCCCCACTGAAACCATATTTAGAATATAAAAAAATATCTAGAATGTTAAATAAAAAACCTATCATAAGGTTGGCAACTCTGAGATCAATCAACACATGCAAGTGCATGTCTATGGAAAGGAACGGGGAATTTCTAGTCGCTTGTTTTTGGTCGGTGTATTTTTTTAGTTGAGTAATAAAATTAGGCAGGTCCCTAAGTAGATTATGCCCAGGGCCCCACAAATTCACGATCCGCCTCTGGTAATAATTGTACTGTTTATTGTACATTAGTAAGTTTCAGCACTGTTACTTTACCTGATAGCGTGTCAATGTTCTCCTTATCATTCTGTCTGTCTGTCCGCACGCCGAGCTCCCGAACCGAATTCTCAGCGGAGTCCGGATTGGAGACCAGCGGCTTCCTTAGTGGTTTCGTTGTTAACCTGATGTGATGGAGCATATAAATTATAAATAAGGATATTTTAAGGTTTGTTAAGGGTTGGCAATGCGCACGAGACACCCCTGGTGTTCACCAGGGATGAAAGTTTGTATGAAACTTTGTCAATTTTGAACCGATCGGGCTGAGACTTTGCATGCATAAAGCTACTATGACGTGTTTTGGTGTATGTACCGTATTTATATTCATATGCATGTAGTAAAAAACGGTTATTTCAATATTACAAACAGACACTACAATTTTATTTATATGTATAGATTTATAGATAAGATAAAATAAACTTACCAACTAGCGCGTCTCTCGGCCACCTGACTATTTAAGTTTAATTCTTTATCTGAAAACAAAAGACACATACATTTTTAATATCTAGAGCTTAAAATATAAAACAATAATAATAACCGAGGACAATTCTCATACCGCTTTACTTCCGATGGTCGCGGGTTCGATTCCTCGCACGGCACAAACATTTGTATTCACGAGTATGATTGTTTGTATCGGTCTGGGTGTTTGCTATGTGTAATATGTATGTATTTATAAAAACAAATGTATTGAGGTAATTTTAGCCTAGTACCCATAACAGAAGCACTGCTTAGCTTAGGACTAGATGGCGCTGTGTGAATTTTCCAGGGTTATTTATTTATTATTGATATAAATATAAAATATGACCCTATGTGTCATATGATCATATTTTATACTTATCTGTTTGACCCTGCAAACGTTTTACCATATAAATTAAAATGGCTATAAAAAATAGGGGTTGATTATAGAGGGGTGAAAGTTTAGGTTTACATTTATAATGCAACATTATAAAAAATGACTAAAACAAAAATAAATATTAGGGGTGGACAACCCTTATAACTTAGGGGTGGATCATATTTTATATTTACATGTTTGATGTTTTGGAGTTATGCAATATATATTATATAGCTGACTTGCAAACGTTGTTTTACCATATAAATTAAAATCGCTATTGAAAAGTAGGGGTTGATTGTAGAGGGATGAAAGTATTTATAATACATTTGTATTTATAATGCAACATAATAAAATATGACCAAACAAAAATAAATATTAGGGGTGGACATGCCTTATCACTTAGGGGTATGAAAAATAAATAGTAGCCGATACTCAGACCTACTGAATATGCAAATAAATATTACTCGGTGAAGTCGTTTCAGAGGAGTATGGTAACTAACATTGTGACACGAGAATTTTATATAAAAGATATATCATTACATAGTATAAAACAAAGTCGCTGTCGCTGTCTGTCCCTATGAATGCTTAAATCTTTAAAACTACGCAACGGATTTTGAAGCGGTTTCTTTTAATAGATAGAGTGATTCAAGACGAAGGTTTATATAATACATGTACATCCGTGTGAAGCCGGGGCGAGTAGCTAGTATATATATAAACGTTTCTTGTTAGAGTATAACTTACCTAAGCTGGGATACAACCGTGGTGTTGATTCATCTACTCCTTTCTCATTATCGGTCCAACTCACTTTCGGAGAGCTCAACCTGTACAATACACACAAAAATTTATAAATTTCTTAAATTTTATTTTTATTTATTTATTTATTTATTTATTTATTAGCATACAAAACAGATTACAGTCAATACAATAATATAATTAGGAGCGTGTAGTTCAGTACAGAACTGGATTGTAATCCAACACTATGTATGCCTAAGAGCTAAATTATATAGACGCATTCAATATACGCTAGATAGCTAGATAAGGTTATATAATAAAAAGTAAACTAAATAGAAAATGATACATAACTACGCAATGCAATGAATTATCATGTTAACAGAATTTTATTTATATTAAAGAAAAGAAAATTGGTACAATGTTAAATATAATTTGTCACTTTACGGTGGAAATTTAATTGTCTCCGGAACTGGACCAGCGTTGAATGGAAAATATCTATATGTCTATTCGAGACAAGAATTTCATTGTATTGGCGACACATTCGAACTACTGGATTATAATAAGAAGTATTATTTGAGTAAACCTGAAGATAAAAGGTGTTAAATAAAAATAAACTAACAGAAATTCAAAGTAATATTTTTTATGTAACACTACCTGAACCGCACAAGTACGTCTGCCTCAGACTAACTTGATATTTATCGTTATATTTCGTTAAATTTACATAATATATTTTTCAATTGTAGCCTACATGTTATTCTGATGTATAAGTTCCATTACAGTAAAGTTTCACCAAAATCCGCTCAGTAGTTTTTGCGTGAGAGTAACAAATATCCATCCGTACTCACAAGCTCAGCACTATTTTAGCGTTTATAATATTGATTAGCTGTGCCTGTGGTTTCACTTGCGTTTAATTTAAAAAATATAAACTATATGTTATTCTGACGTACAAGCTACGGGGCTGTTCAAGTATTACGTAAGCAGATTTATCACAATTATTTACCCCTCATCCCCCGTTGTCAGCAAAAGTAAGCAAAGCTCTTACCCCTCCCCCCATGCTTACGTAAACATTTCTCAATTAATGTATTGTTTTTTTAACAAAGACAATGTGAGGGTTGCCATTCGTGTAAAAAAGTAAATTACGACCGATGACGTAATCATCATACAGACTCCCCCACCCCCATGTCATCCAAAATAGGCAAAGAAAAGAGCCCCCGCCCCCCTATAGTGCTTACGTAATACTTGAACGGCCCCTACGTACTACTGTAAGTTTCACCAAAATTCGCTCAGCAGTTTTTACGTGAGAGTAACAAACACGCATCCATACTCACAAACTTTAGCGTTTATAATATTAACTAGCTGTGCCCGTGGTTTCACTTGCATTAATTTTCAATATAAGATATAGACTATGTGTTCTTCTGACGTACAAGCTTTACTACTGTAAGTTTCACCAAAATTTGCTCAGTAGTTTCTGCGTGAAAGAGTAACAAACATTCATCCATACGCACAAACTTTTGCGTTTATAACATTATTATAAGATTAAGATATATATTTTTAAAGCACTTTTTTATGTAAGTAATTGAAATATAATCTAAATGTCCTCTTCGCGTATATACATGAACAGCACTACGGACATCACGTTATCACGTGACACCCGTGATACCACTCACGCGTTGTCACTCCAGAGTACTAACATGTCACGCCTCTTATCCTGTAATTTCACTTCCTAATCTGCACTACAACCGAAACAGCTTACAAAGCAAGCTGCTTGGCTGAAATAGGTGAGACTGAGGTACATACGCGGACGAGTTTGTACTGTCTTTTTCTATTAAATAAATAACTAATATAACTTACCAACTTCCATGTCTGTCTGTATTGACATCCACATCTGAAAAACAAACAAAAGTACATTTTAACATCTCAGCCTAGTGATTACTGCACCTATTTACGCCAAACAGGACGTAATAATAATAATAATCTCAGGACAATTTACACAGCACCATGTAGACCCAAGTTAAGTTAAGCTAAAGCTTGTGTTATGGGTACTAGATAACTGATAATAATAATAATCTCAGGACAATTTACACAGCACCATGTAGACCCAAGTTAAGTTAAGCTAAAGCTTGTGTTATGGGTACTAGATAACTGATAATAATAATAATCTCAGGACAATTCACACAGCGCCATCTAGACCCAAGTTAAGTTAGCTAAAGCTTGTGTTATGAGTACTAGGAAATGATACAAATACATAGATTTTTTTTGTAAATACATACATATTATACATAGAAAACACCCAGACTGATACAAACAATCATACACATTGAATACAAAGAGGAATCGAACCCGCGACCATCGGCAGTAAGGCGGTGTGCTAAACCATTAAACCACTGAAGTCGTCATGAGCTCCAATTTGGTCGATACAAAAAAAAATGTGTCAATTTATACTCTATTGCTGGAAACACCGATATCGCTAAACCTCTATTTCTCTATTTACGAAACTGCGTATGAAATTTGAGTTTGTTAACGGTGTATACAATCATCGGGATAGATTTCAAGCTCACCGTTGTTTTGTAGGTCGGCCCGCCTGACGCGAGATCGTTCCGAATCGACGTGATCTCGCTCGGGCTCCACTGGCGCACCGTTGGTCTCGGGCTGCGCTGACGGCTCCTCTAGCGATCTGCCAATATAAATAATACTAGCTGTTACCTATAGTTTCGTCTACTTTCGTGAATGTTATCAGGTGGTTATATTAGTAATTACATACTACTATAGCCACTAGACTCTTAAACATGTATCTTAATCACCTTTCAATTCTTCTCATCTCGAAATCATTCCGAACTGACGGTAGATTTGACGTATCATAAGAGACTGTAATAGACCTACATGAATAACGATATTTTGCGTTCTTCTCATCTCTAAATCAGTCCGAACTGACGGATTTGACATATCATAAAAGTAGAAATAGAAATAGAAATAATCTTTATTCAAATAAACTTAATATAAGCACTTTTGAATAGTTAAGTTTTTTTTTTATTCTACCGCTTATTCGGAATGCAGATTCATCACAAGAAGAATAAGCAAGAAACTTGTGTGTTGATCTTCTGTCTGTAATAGACCGAGAGACCTACATGAATAAATATGTTTTGATTTGATTTGATATGACAACTTACCTGTTAGATGCGAGATGATCCACAGAATCGTTCTGAACACCGTCAGATTTGTTCTGACGCAGGACGAGCCGCTTCCTGCTCGGTTTCAACGACAATTTGTCCTCTAGACTTGCATCTGATTCTTCTAGTCCTTCGAATAGTGACTTCTGTATCAAAAAATGATTGATTAAAGTTATTTTATTTCAGTAAATATCTATAGATGTAGAGTCAATGAGTAGAAAGATAAAATGAGAAATGAAGAATTACTGCAAAGGGTTAAAGAAAAGAGACAGATCAGAGATATTATTGAGAATAGAAATACGTCGCCCTAACATGGAGATGGGGCCTACACCATCTATAGGGTGGATCGAAGCCGCTAGAGTCGCGGCAAGTAAGTACATGCTTCCACAATTATGTAAGGCGCAATAGGTTGCCCTAATATCGAGATGGGGCCTGCCCTATACCATCTATAGGGTAGGCCAAAGCCGACGAAGTCGCGGCGAGTACTGACGTTCCTACAATTATTAGGGCGAAATAGGTCGCACTAACATGAGCCCTGAGTTGGGGCCTGCCCTACACCATCTATAGGGCTGGCCAAAGCCGCCGAAGTCGCGGCCAGTACTGATGCACTTCTACAATGATATAGGCCGAAATAGGTCGCCCTAACACCGAGATGGGTCCTACCTTACACCATCTACAAGTCAGGTCAACACTGGTATTTGCGGTAGAATGTTAACGACTTCGAGAGTCTCGCAACGGAGCTCGTAGGTATATCGTGTCGTTTAGTTAGTACGAATCCCAGACTCCCTTTGGTCACCCCTCTGACGGGGAAGGGCGTTTTGAATAGCATACCGAATGAAGAGCGCGGTCATCGGGCGGGCCGTGTGTGGCGTGTGCGGCGTGTGCGGCGTACCTTGTGGTGGTGGGCGCGCGTGGCGAGCGCGTGGCGGGGGGCGGCCGCGGAGACGCGGTAGGCCGCCGCGCCGACCCCCAGCGCCGCCCTCAGCGCGGCCGGGTTGGTCGGCCTCAGCGCCTCCTCTCCCGTCGCTGTCACCGCCACCGCAACCACAAACATTGCACATAATACATCCGACGCGTAATAAATAAACACAATATGAATATGGTGAATTCCGGTAGATTTTTCAGGGTGGGGATCATGTTATTGTTAGTTAGTTAGAAAAATGCGATATATTAAAAGAAGGTAGTTTCATTATTACTCGGTATCGGTAAACTAGTTGCGTCTAACCTAACCTAACCCCCCACGCATATCTGTGAGAGGAGGGAGGCTTTATAAGCCGCGACATTCGGTCGACGAGCACAGAACGTGCCGGTTGTATTTTGGATTCTAAAGTAAATTGTATTAGAGATTGATTTTAACTGGGTTTATTTTTGGATCAACTACAAGTAGTGAAGGTGAGTGTTAATACATTCTAAGAGGGCCTTTTAAACATATACCCGTGTCACAAGTCACGGGTGCTACTTGGGGTTTCGCTTCCGATAGTCGGAATCAAAGCCTAAATCGTCATCATAACTAGTGATTCTAACGTTATGTAGAGAAGTTTTCATTATAAAGATAAAACCTCGATACACTAGAAAGCACACCCCGTGTTGCAATGTGTCAAAGTTTCTTCTATGCGGCGAGTTGTTTAGTATGAGAAACTCCTTGGGGCCTACTATGGAGGAAGAGCATATCCCGGAGTCTGTTTAGGAAAGAGATTTAGATTAAGAAAGTAAAGAATATGTTTTTCAGGAACACAAGACAGAAAATTAACCAACAAACTTAAGATCATCAAAAACAAGCGGACATGGCTGTATGGGCGTAGATCCATTACCTTTCATTTAGAGAACGAATATAACAAAAAAAAAAACAATAATAAAAAGTAAACCTTAGGACCAGATGGCAAACAAACAGAACAAAAAGAAAACAATAGTATACAATAATAAAAAACTAGACCTTAGGACCATATGACAAAGAATAAACAGAACAAAAAAAAATAACACAATAATGAAAAACTAGGGACATGTGGACAGTAAGACGTATAGGTACGCTTCTTGCAACCATCGCCTACCAGAGATCTTGATCAGATCGTCGGTCCACCTTGCTCGCTTGCACCCACAATATTATAACATACATATATATATATACTTACCTAATATGTCAGATACTATAGCTACTTCGATGTGGCTATAATCTTATTGTTTAAACCTATGCATGCATGCATGCACTATGATCGTATTTTGTATGCATTTATTTATTTATTATTCCATGATGGCAGCCGTTATTCGGCTACCATCACCGGCTACCATCATCATCTACCAACCGGCCGGAGTCATTAGATCGACGGTCCGATATGGGGGGAAAAGTAAAAAATTTTGAGTTATCGGTTATCGAAGGGTGTATACTACGTCGTCATTAGGTAAACAATGGCCGAGTGACTTAAAAATTAAACTACCTAGTTTTATGAAGTCATGTAACGATGTTATATTATTACAAAATAGTAATAGTAATTTACTGTCTGTAGTCGACAGATATAAGGAATAATTGGATGGCAAGCTGGGTCGTTTCACTGGGACGGCGAGGGTACGGCTGCGAAATGAGGCCCCGCAGTACTACCGCGACGACTGCTTACGAGCTGCGCGACGTACTGAACGCGAGGGCACCGACTGGAATACGACTACTCCAGTACGCCGATTCCAAAGATGCGGAACTAGACGGAAATTACGGTAATTAACACACATATGTGTGTGTTTCTTCTTTTTTTATATATACTTTTTAATATACAATCGATTTGTCTACATAAAAATTTTAAATTAGTATAAAAAGTGAAGTTATATGTATATATAGTAGATATAGAACCTTAGCTAAGTCCATTTTTGTAACTGTTTTTTTTTTTTGCACAATAAACTTATATTTATTATTACATATGGGTTTCTATGTATACCAGCTGACCCGACAAACGTTGTTTTCCCATGTAAATTAATAACGCTTATAGCGTTAAAATAGGGGTCGGTGATAGAAGGGTGAAAATGTAGGGTTGTATGTATTTTTTAATGACACATAATTAAAAAATATAAATAAAAAAATTTGCCCAAAAAATAAAAACATAATGTTAGGGGTGAACAACCCTTATCACTTATGAGTATGGCTAATAGATAGTAGCCGATTCTCTTACTGAATATGCAAATAAAATTTCATAAAAATCGGTCCAGCCGTTTCAGAAGAGTATAGTAATTAACATTGTGACATGAGAATTTTATATATAAAATAATAACAGATTAGTATATGGTCTACCTTCCAGTCCGGGCATTTTCCAGCTAGTTATTATGATGAATCTTTTTAATGATATTTCGAATATTGAAATATTCTTAGACGATAAAATAATGATGATGAAAAATCACGTTTATTCACTTTAAATAAAGATTTAAACAGCTTACACTCCCGCGGACTGAAATTTAAAAAGAGTAAATGCCAATTCATGATGGAGGAAGTAAAATATCTAGGATATGTTATATTGAAAGAGGGGATTGAGGTAGATCCTGATAAAATGGAGGCAATTAGAAAACATCCCCACCCGTCTGATATATCCGAATTACGTTCATCCCTAAGGTTTGTCAATTTTTATTCAAAATTTATTAAAAACAAGTTCTATTTTAGCTCCCTTATATTCGTTACCGAAAAAAGGGATCACGTGGGGGTCCCTTATATTCGTTACCGAAAAAAGGGATCACGTGGGGGTCCCTTATATTCGTTACCGAAAAAAGAGATCACGTGGGGGTCCCTTATATTCGTTACCGAAAAAAGGGATCACGTGGGGGTCCCTTGTATTCGTTATCGAAAAAAAGGATCACGTGGGGGTCCCTTATATTCGTTATCCAAAAAAGGGATGACGTGGGGGTCCCTTATATTCGTTATTGAAAAAAGGGATCACGTGGGGGTCCCTTATATTCGTTATCGAAAAAAGGGATCACGTGGGGGTCCCTTATATTCGTTATCGAAAAAAGGGATCACGTGGGGGTCCCTTATATTCGTTACCGAAAAAAGGGATCACGTGGGGATGGGAAGCGGTATTAACAGAAATTAAATCTATTCTTATGATCCGCAGAGTATTAGCACATTACGACCCCGATTGGCCCTTATAAAGCCCAATTTACACTCAGCCCGAGTGGGCAAGGAAGTGAGCAGCACGAGAGTGTAAACACATTACTTCCTATCATTAGCGCTGCCACTCGCGATCTATCAACGCGCAGCCCAAACTACTAGGCGGATCGGACTGAAATTTGGTTAATTAGTTTAGATTGCAATAAATCGGTTATCGAATGAGGATATGATGATCAAAAGACACTCACACGTATCAGGCAGTAGGTCCTTGAAGAGTGGCGAGTCACCATACGGCCGGGCGGCCAGTGTCAGCATTTGCTCATGCACGTTCTGCCCGCTGGCGCTGCTGAAAGACAACATTGTATATGTCATATATATATATAGAATTGTCTTATATGTGTGTATGTGTGTGTCTCGAAAGGATGTAGTCGAAAACAACTTATAAAAAAACAGATATCAAAATAATTTTATGAATAAAAAAAAAATTCTCGTATCACAATGTTAGTTACCATACTCCTCTGAAACGTCTTGACAGATTTTTATGAAATTTTATATGCATATTCAGTAGGTCTGAGAATCGGCTACTATGTATTTTTCATACCCCTAAATAAAAAGGGTTGTCCATCCCTAACATTTATTTTTTATTTTTTGGACAATTTTTTTTTATTATGTGTCATTAATAAATACATACAACCCTAAACTTTCATCTTACTATTTTTTTCTTTATTGGGGGTTTTGGGCTATTATTAGGTGCTAAGACCTACATAGATCTACTGTACTCGTCTTTCAAACTTCAAAACGCATAAATCTTTCCCCCTTTTATCACCAACCCCTATTTATATTGTTATAGTGATACTAGCTGTCCCGGCAAACGTTGTTGTGCCTTAAAATAAAAAAAAAATTAGGGATGGACTACCCCTAACATTTAGGGGGATGAAAAATAGATGTTGGACGATTCTCAGACCTACTCAATACGCTCACAAAATTTCATGAGAATCGGTCAAATCGTTTCGGAGGAGTATGGGAACGAAAACTGTGACACGAGAATTTTATATATAAGATTAGTACATAAATTTATATGGTAAAACAACGTTTGCGGCGATTGTTATTAATATTAAAAATCTTATTAATATTAAAAATGTGAAAGTTTATGAGAATGGATGGAAATTTGTTACTCTTTCACTACTGAACGGATTTTGTTGAAACTTTACAGTAATATAGCTCATGCATCAGAATAACACATAGGCTATATTTTACATTGTAACTAGCGGTGCCAGCGACATCGTTCGCGTTATCAAAAACACTTCATACATATTTTTGGATAACTTGAACCGTTTACGCAACGGAAGCCCACAAGTATGAATAATATTTCTCGTTTTTGGAACATTTCTCACTGATGCTCCGCTCCTATTATTTAAAAGAGCAACACGCAAGTTTCTTGCTCGTTCTTCTTGTGATGAGACAGCTTTCCGAATGAGCGGTAGATTAAAAAAAATGTAATGACTATTCAAAAGTGCTTCAATGTAAGTTTATTTGAATAAATGATTTTCTATTCTATTCTATTCTATTGGTCGTAGCGTAATGTTATATAGCTTAAAGCGTTCCTCGACAAATGGACTATCCAATACAAAAAGATATTTTCAATTCGAACTAGTAGTTCCTGAGATTAGCGCGTTCAAACAAACAAACTCTTCAGCTTTATAATGTTAGTATAGATTTAACGCGGGTAAAACCGCGAGTACAGTTAGTATATAATATAAAACTGTAATTATTGAGCTTACTTGAGCAGTCCCGTGTTGTTGGCATGCAGTCCGAGGCCCAGCCCGCTGCCTCCTAGTGACGTGTTAAACAGACCGCCGCCGCCCAGGCCACTGTCCAGACCTGAGTCAATTTACAAAACGTTACAAAACAATTTATTGGTTTTCTCACAAAAAGGACTATTACAATTTTTTTTATTGTCCATATTAGTGAACTAGTGTAGGCTCCTGTTATCTCTGTAGTATTACTCCTTTACTCAACCTCCTCTATGCATCTGAATTTCACTGTTGATTTGTATAAATTTATAATTGTATGTGTATTTGTATGTATGTATATGTGTATGTAGTTATATTTATATATGTATAATTATTTATTAATATTATGTATTATAGTTTATAAGTATGTTTGCATATATATTTATATTTAATCATATTAAAGTTATCTTCTTTTTATTTTTTAGATTTCAATTTCAAATTTTCTTAATGCAACGCCTATATGAATCTCTGTTTGCCCAATAGTTGACTGGGAGAAAATGCCTCGAGGTGTTAAGTCCGCCATGTGCACCGTTATTTATATATATTTGTGCATTAGTTTTAACAAAAAAAAAAATATTATTATTATAAATGTGAAACCAGACCTCAATGAATTTTCAAAGCATTAGAAAACTTTTCTTTTTTTTTCTTTCTTACAAGTGTACTATTAATGTTATTGTATAGCCATAAAACTAATAATGTATAAATTGACAACCCCTATGGTTTAGCGGTTTAGCACTACGCGTTAATTTATCTCTTTAGGGGTGGAATTTATCAAAATCCTTTCTTAGCCTACGTCATAGTAGCTTTATGCAAGCAAAGTCCCAGCCCGAGCGGTTTAAAATTGACGAAGTTTCATACAAACTTTCATGCCCTATTTTATTCCCTTGAGGGTAGAATCAAAATCCTTTCTTAGCGGATGTCTACGTCATAACATCAACCTGCATGCCAAATTTATCCTGTGGTTCGAGCTGAGCGTTGATAGATCACTATGTCAGTCACGTTTGAGTTATATATATTTAGATATACAGTATGGTGTGTACCTGTGCGGAAGGAGGTGTTGTTCTGCGGGAACACTCCGCCGCCGAGGGCTCCGAAGGCCGGCGCGGGGGGCTTCGCCCCGAACGGGGCCGCGCCCGCGCCCAGGCCTCCGCCCGGGGCTCCTAGTCCTCCACCTGGCTCAGGACGAACGTTTATGTGTATAATACCCTAGCTTTTGCCCGCGGCTTCTTTCGCGTTAATTCATCCCCTTAGGGGTGGAATTTATCAAAATCCTTTCTTAGGGGATGCTTATGTCATATTAGCTTTATGCATGCAAAATCTCAGCCAGATCGGTTTAAAATTGACAAAGTTTCATATAAACTTTCATCCCCTATTTTATCCCCTTGGGGGTAGAATTAATCAAAATCCTTTCTTAGCGGATGCCTACGTCATAACATCTACCTGCATGCCAAATTTCAATCCGATCCGTCCAGTGGTTTGGGCTGTGCGTTGATAGATCACTATATCAGTCACCTTTGAGTTATATATATTTAGATGTACGTACGGGTGTAGTACGAAGCCGCAGTAGCTAGTATATGTATATGAATAATATGAAGTTGCCAGTAGCAAAAAATAAGTTGATATAACTCACCGAGTGTGTTAGGCTGTGTGTTAAATCCAAACGCTGGTTGACTGTTCGCTGGTTTCCCAAACGACACATTGGAGAACAGTCCGCCCCCAGCCGTGGAGGTAGCCGTGCCGAAACCAGTCGACAACCCGCCAAACGCTGTACATGTAACAGTACCTTTAGTTATTTATATATTACAAATGACTAACGCAACAACAACAATATACGTCAAATAATATACGAGGGTGGGGGGAGGGAGGGAGGGAGGGAGGGAGGGAGGGGGAGAGAGAGAGAGAGAGAGAGAGAGAGAGAGAGAGAGAGAGAGAGAGAGAGAGAGAGAGAGAGAGAGAGAGAGAGAGAGAGAGAGAGAGAGAGAGACAGTATAAAAACTATAATCTGCGTCAAATAATCTTATTTGACGCAGATTATAGTTCAGATATTCAAATTCAAAAATCATTTATTCATGTAGGACATTTTACCAGCTTATGAACGTCAAGTTTTTACATTATATTTTTTCCCTACCGTCCAGTTCGGTATATATATCCAATTGAGAAGAACTGGCAAGAAACTCAATTGAATTACTTTTTTTTAAATCCAGTTTATTTACAATGCATAAGTATTTATATAGGTGTCTATGTCTAACATTAAATGAAAATCCCGTACATGAGAACTATTGCCATGCACGCTCGTCATTCAAGTAATCGTTTAGTGAGTAATAGGCCTTGCTATATATTGACAGCATCCGCAAGCATTAAAACTACATTAAAGAACAACATACCCGGAGCTGTGGACCCGAACGCCGGCGCTGTTGTTTGCTGAGGCTTGGCACCGAAGAGGCTGGTATTTCCGAACCCACTGAAGCCCGTGTTGGCTGGCGTAGTCCCAAAACCGGTTGTAGCTGGTTTAGCGCCGAATAACCCCGTCGACTGCTGGATAATATAAAATAAAATAGAATAGAATAGAATAGAATATAACGGACGGCCACGGTGGTCTAATGGTTTAGCACACCGTACTAAACCGCGTGACCGTGATAACCTGATTTTATCTAAATGTCGTTGGCCGTAATTCGTTTTACAGCCAATAAAATACCAGAGTGTTATAAATCTGCCAGAAAAAAGATTTAAATGTCAAATAAAATACTTCCTTTGCGCTTACTATAAAAGAAATAACGATAAAATAGAAACTGAGAAAGATTAACTAATAAAGATTTCTATGTTGATTATCGATGCCTCTTACTTGTTATAGTAATTATTTATATAAAAAAAAACATCTATTAAAAAGAGCAACACACAAAGTGATGAAAAAAGAAAGATAGAAAATTTATTATTTGGTACATATACTGAAAATAATTTTCAAATTTTAATTTACAATTTATCGGTTTATATCAATTTCATTGGTCCAAATAGGTCTCCGCTCAACATATGTCGTGACGGGGTGCCACGACGCTGGTATTCTGCGGATACCTTCACATATAATAAATATAATAAAATAATAATAATAATACACATACATACATATGCTGCGAAGCCGGGGCACTCACCCCGGCTTCGCACTGTAATGTACATATATTAAAACCTTCCTCTTGAATCACTCTATCTATTAAAAAATCAGCTTCAAAACCCGTTGTATAGTTTTAAAGATATAAGCATACATAGGGATAGACAGCGACAACGACTTTGTTTTACTATGTAATGATTGTAAGGTTTAAATAATAGATGTCGTTCAATACATTATGCGAGGAATCGAACCGGCTACAATGGAATATTGAATACCTGATTTTGTGTTGTGGATCCGAAGCCAAACGTAGATGTATTGGTGCCAAATGACGGCGCTTGTGTGGTTGTAGCGCCGAATAGTCCTGTACCTGAATAATTACAAAAACTTTCATATTAGAGTTCATAATTCATAAAATGGCGCTGTGTGAATAGTCCTGAGATATTATTATCATTGCGTAGATAATAGAATAGAATAGAATAGAAAATCATTAATTCCATAATTAAGCACTTTGAATAGTCATAACAATTTGTTTTTTATCTACCACTCGTTCGGAAAGCTGTCTCATCACAAGAAGAACGAGCAAGATTTAACTAGTTTACATTTACTTTCGCAAATATAAATTAATTTACCCCCTTAGGGGTGCAATTTATCAAAATCCTTTCTTAGGGGATGCCTACGCCATAGTAGCTTTATACATGCAAAGTCTCAGCCCGATCGGTTTAAAATTGACAAATTTCCTACAAACTTTCATCCCCTAATTTATCCCCTTGGGGGTAGAATTAATCAAAATCCATTCTTATCGGATGCCTACGTCATAACATCTACCTGCATACCAAATTTCAGCCCGATCCGTCCAGTGGTTTGGACTGTGCGTTGATAGATAGTCAGTCAGTCAGTCACGTTTGAGTTATATATATTTAGATGTCAAGGGGCAGCGCATTCCAGTTATAAGCTGTTCAAATTCAAAAATAATTTGATCATGTAGGACATTTTACCTTATGAACGTCATATTTTTACATTATAATTTTAGCGCCCCACATCTTCGTATACACCGCGCTGGGCAACTGCTAACTCGACATCTTAACTTTTTTTTCCGCGTCTCAGTATTTTTATATATTTATGTCTAACATTAAATGAAAATTCAGTGCATGGTACCAACTTCGTCATTCAAGTAATCGTTTAGTTATAGGCTCTGCTCAGTAAATATTTTATTTTTAATTAAATATTCTAAAATATTTTTATTTTTTTTAACTATTCCCATAAAAAAGCTAAACGCGACGCATCGTATATTATGAATATTTAAATGGCTATATTATTATGGAAATATAAAAATAAACAAATTACCCGTAGTGGCTGTGGTCCCGAATGCCGGTTTCGCCGCTCCGAACAGTCCCGTCGACGCCGTGTTATTTTGCGTGTTGCTCCCGAACGAGAAAGTACCTGACAATTATACATTATTATATATACAAATACATAAAAAAAAAAAAAAAAAAAAAAAAAAAAAAAAAAAAAAAAAAAAAAAAAAAAAAAAAAAAAAAAAAAAAAAAAAAAAAGGAATGAAGAAGTGCTTGAGAGGATTAAAGAAAAGAGACAGATCATAGATATTATTGAGAATAGGCGGGGAAAATGTTGGGGCACTTGATACGACACGACGAACTAATTAACAACATTATAGAAGGAGAAATAGATGGAAAGAGAGGAAGGGGAAGACCGAGACACAGCTATATCAAGCAGGTTAAAGAACAAGTTGGAGTCGTGTCGTATCAACAGCTAAAAGGACTGATGGAAGATCGTGGAAGGTGGCGGGAGCTCCACCGACAAGAGCACAGCTCTTAAATTATAAATGAATAAATACAGTTACATGGAGTTACACGGGAGTGTTAGTAATAGAGTTCTTGATTATAATAATATCTCAGAATAATTCACACAGCGCCATCTAGTTTCAAGCTAAGCAGAGCTTGCGTTATGGTTACTAGATAACTGACACATATAACAAATACATATTTTTTTTGTACATAAATACATATTATAAATAGAAAATACCCAGACTGTTACAAACAATTATATTTATGAATACATATGTTTGTACCATGTGAGGAATCGAGAATCGAACCCGCGTATTATACATAGAAAACACCCAGACCGATACAAACAATTACATTCATGTATACAATTGTTTGTGCCGTACGAGGAATCGAACCCACGACCATCCGATAGAAAAGCGGTGTGCTAAACCACTAGACCACCGAGGCTGTCAAAATGGTATGTATATTATGTATATATTTACAAAAAAATATCAGTTGTCTAGTACCCATAACACGAGCTCGTTTGTACCGTGCGAGAAATGCAACCCGCTTATGTATATTATATATGTATTTACAAAAAATATCTATGTATTTATATCAGTCATCTAGTAAACACGAGCTCTGCTTACACTGAGACTAGATGGCGCTGTGTGAATTGTCCAGTTGTTTATTATAACAATAATAATAATAATCTCAGGACAATTCACACAGCGCCATCTAGACCCAAGTTAAGCTAGCTGAAGCTTGTGTTATGGGTACTAGATAACTGACACAAACATATAGATATTTTTTGTAAATACATACATAATATACATAGAAAACACCCAGACCGATACAAACAATCATACTCATGAATACAAATGTTTGTGCCGTCGAACCCGCGACCATCGGACGTAAAGCGGTGTGCTGGACCGCGTCGACCACCGAGGTCGTCATTATTATTATATTAGTGATATAGTAAGTCTGTCTGACCGGGCGTCTGTCCGAAGCCTCCGCCGGAGACGATGCCGCCGCCGCCGAACACGCTCGGGGCGCTGGTGGTGGCCGGCTGGCCGAACGACGCTGCGAACATACACCACATTTCAACGGGCTTTTTTTTTATGGATGATAATGGAATGGTGCACCCGCCTGCGCTAACGGTTTACGATGGCGGGGCACCAGTGTAGGATCATAAGATGAGCATGAGGTCAGATAAGTTAGCACATTGTGACCAATTCAAAGCGAATTTATCACGATGTTCCATTACAGAGTCTATTTTTATGGATGATAATGGAATAATGCACCCTCCTGCGCTAACGGTTTACGCTGGCGGGGCACCAGTGGAGGATGATCAGATGAACATGAGGTCAGGTAAGTTAGCACATTGTGACAAATTCATCAAGAATTTATTACGATGGTTTCCAGGGGGAACCGCGTGGAGGTGGACCTGACATGATACATTGCTAGCAATGAGATCATCAGTCCATTACTAACAATCACCTTTCCCCCCCATTTCAAGGGTCGGCAACGTGCACGTGATACCCCTGGTGTTTCAGACGTTCATAGGCTACGATAACCATTTACCATCAGATGAACCGTATGCTTTGCTTGCCAACATAGTAGTATAAAAAAAACATTTTATTTTTAAAAATTATGCTTTATTTATGACCATGGATGGACAGGCCCGTCAGGAACAGGAGTTGAAGGATATTCTTAGGAGCGATGTTTTTCACCTTCCCAGGATATAGTGTACTAGAACTAGAGATGTAACGGATAGTAGTTTGGCCGGATACCGGATATTCATCCAACCATGAGACCGAACAGCCGGATAGCATATATTATTATTGTTTATTTATATATCTTATATATAAAATTCTCGTGTCACAGTTTTCGTTCCCATACTCCTCCGAAACGGCTTGACCGATTCTCATGAAATTTTGTGAGCGTATTGAGTAGGTTTGAGAATCGGCCTACATTTATTTTTCATCCCCCTAAATGTTTTAGAAAAGTAAGCTTAAATTCCACGCAGACGAAGTCGCGGGAATAGCTAGTATACCATATAATCAGGTTATCCTCCACGCGGTTCCCCTAGACACCATAGTGATAAATTCCTGGTGAATGTACCACAATGTGCTAACTGACCTGACCTCTTGCTCATCCTATCATCCTCTGGTGCCCCGCCAGCGTTCCATTATCATCCAATAAAAAAGAATACGTACGTTCACTTAGATTGTGAAATGAACTACCTGCCGAGGTTTTCTCGAGAGATTACAGCTTGGGGTTTTTCAAGGGTATATTAAGGTTTCTTAAGGGTCGACAACGCGTGACACCCCTGGTGATTCAGGAGTCCAAAGGCTACGGTAACCGTTTACCATCAGACGGGCCGTATGCTAGTTTGCCACCTACGTAGTATATAAAAAAAAACGTTTATGAAAATATATATATATTTGTATACACTCACTGTTAGCTCCGAACAATGGCTTATTTTCCATCGTGTTCTGGAAACCGCCGAAAACACCGCCTGTGGCTCCCTTCCGGCCAGCCGTGTAGTCTTCCAGACGTAGTTCTTCCAATGATTTGCTTTCATATTCCTGATGAACACATTTTATTTATTTAAGTGTCAACAAGCTGATGTTTTTTTCGGGCTACTCTTATGCTGTTGGCCGCTGGCCTTTACAGCTTCACCGGACGATAGTGGGCGAGTGCAGATGGCACTCCAAACCAAAGGAAGGTCTTATGGAGCGGCTGAAGGACAACTCCCGCCTGACGGATACGACTTTAGTCTGAGAGCACCGCTAGGAGCTCGAACCTCGACTCAGGCGGCGTAATTTTGATACCCGTTTGATTGGGCGAGGGATTGCAGATGATGATCTAACTGATGGTAAGTGGTAACCGTCGCATACATGAACAGCACTACGGACATCACGTTATCACGTGACACCCGTGATACCACTCACGCGTTGTCACTCCAGAGTACTAACATGTCACGCCTCTTATCCTGTAATTTCACTTCCTAATCTGCACTACAACCGAAACAGCTTACAAAGCAAGCTGCTTGGCTGAAATAGGTGAGACTGAGGTACACATGCAGACGAGTTTTTAACTGATTACAAAAAAAGGAGGAGGTTCTCAATTCGGCTGTTTTATTTAAATGTTTGTTCTTTCATAACCCCATTAAAGAAATATTTGTTATAGTTTACATTTATGTATGTATTTACATGTATATTGGTGCTATTTTTTACCTGTCAGTGTTTCTTGCAGAGACTACAGCATGGGGCTTTTCAAGATGGGTATATTATGGTTTCTTAATGGTCTGAAACGCGCACGTGACACCTCCGGTGTCTCAGACATCCATAGTCTACGGTAACCATTTACCATCAGATGGGCCGTATGATTGTTTGCTACCATCATTATCCGTTCAAGTATTATGTAAGCAGATTTATTACAATTATTTACCCCCTCATCCCCCTTGTCAGCAAAAGTAAGCAATGGTCTTACCCCCTCCCCCCATGCTTACGTAAACATTTTTCAATTAATGTATTGTTTTTTTAGCAAGACAATGTGAGGGTTGCCATTCGTGTAAAAAAGTAAATAACTGCGATGACGTAATCATCATCTACACTCCCCCACCCCCATGTCATCTAAAATAAGCAAAGTAAAGACCCCAACGCCCCCCTCATAGTGCTTACGAACACTTGAACGGTCCCATAGTAAAATGTCAGTCCTCTAAGTCCACCATGTAAGACTTTACTTAGATGGTCGACTTAGAGTCCTCCTTACCTTCATGCAGGTGATGCAGTGGTGTTTAATGAGTATGCTCTGCGAGGTGCCGGACTTGACCACCACATCCGTCCCCACCACGGGGTTGTACTTCACGTGGGCGGTGCCAGCACCTGCTGGCTGCTGACCGAAACCACCTGATGGAAATAAGAGAAGAATACGAACTAAGTTTCTTGTTAGTTCTTAGCTTCAAAGCACTCCGTACTGACGGTAGATTTAATATATATATATATATATCTCTTAATATATGAATGTATATATATATATATGTGTGTGCATACATATATATATATATATGTAAAATATACCTATGTCAAATGTGTAAATGTATATAAATATATCAAAATGATTTTCTATTCTATCAATATATATAGAACTCAAAGGTGACATAGTGATCTATCAACGCACAACCCAATATATATATGGACGGATGTGTGCTGAAATATATAGCATGCAGGTAGATGTCATAACATCTATACTATATATTTTTTGAAAGGATTTTGATTAATTCTACCCCCAAGGGGATAGGATAGGGGATGAAAGTTTGTATGAAACTTTGTCAATTTTAAACCGATCGGGCTGAGACTTTGCATGCATAAAGCTACTATGTCGTAGTCATCCCCTAAGAAAAGATTTTGATAAACTCCACCCTAAGGTGATAAATTAACGCGATCGAAGCCGTGGGCACAAGCTAGTTCTATACATATATGAGTATGTGTCAAATACATGTTTTAACATGTATTTAAATACAATTCAAAGTTACATCGATCCCGACCTGTCCGAAACGCAAACTCTGAGCGGCCGGACCGTACACTATCAGTAATAAACCGACCTGTATTGTTGGTGAAGAGTCCGCCACCTCCGAGGGTGGTGTTCTGCTGTCCGAACAGTCCGGTGGTGGCGCCAGCCGTCGACCCGAACAGGCCTCCACCGGTCGTACCGGTCGTCGCTGTACTACCGAAACCGAAGCCACCTGACGGAAAAAAATATCTTTATTCATATAGATCTATTACAGACTCAAAAAAGATTTCAAAAGATAAATTTCTTTCAAGCGAAGATTGCGGAACCATTATCTTAACATATAATTTTGTATACTATCATATATTATCTTTTATATATTTTTCTCTTTAGCATTAAGTTTCTTCATTTTTACTACAAGGCGAATCATATATATATTTTTGTATCTATTGTAATATGCTTACACTGTCGGCTGTAATCACTATTTCATTGTCAGATTATTGGTCATATATTTATGTGTACGGTATATTTTTGTATATATATATTTATTCATGTATATTCTATAAAATATTATAATATTGTTTGCACCGCCAACAACTTATCTCTGCACAACTCATGGTTGCCTGGTAGAAAATGCCATTAGGTGTTAAGTCCGCCATATGTACTTTTTACCTGTGTATGACGTGCATTAAAGTTATTTAAATAAATAAGTCGACGCCATCGCGCAATAATATAGATAAATAATTTGTAATAAAATAATATTGCGACTATAAATTGAGGATAGCTTATCCAATCTTTCGAGTTGGATCAAATTGCAGACAATGTCCAATCGGTTCAGTAGTTTAGAAGTCCATCGCGGACAAACAACGTGACACGGATTTTTTATATATAATGTATAATATGTATGTATTTACGAAATATATAATCTATGTATTTGTATCAGTTATCTAGTACCCATAACACAAGCTTTAGCTAGCTTAACTTGGGACTAGATGGCGCTGTGTGAATTGCCCTGAGATTATTATCATTATACCCTTCTTGAAAAACCCCATGCTGTAGTCTCGTGAGAAAACCTCGGCAGGTAGTTCATTCTACAATGTAAGTGTAATATCCATTTTACGGGTGAAACGGATTGTTAGTAATGTGGACTATGATCTTATTACTAGCAATGTACCATATCAGGTTGACCTCCACGCGGTTCCCCCTGGAAACCATCGTGATATATTCCTGGTGAATTTGTCACGATGTGCTAACTGACCTGGCCTTATGCTCATCTTATCATCCTCCACTGGTGCCCCGCCAGCGTAAACCGTTAGCGCAGGCGGAAGCACCATTCCATTAGAATAGAATAGAATAGAAAATAATTTATTCAAATAAACTTAATTTAAGCACTTTTGAATAGTCATAATTTTTTTTTTAAACTACCGCTCAATTGGAAAAAGCTGTCTCATCACAAGAAGAACGAGCAAGAAACTTGTGTGTTGCTCTTTTAAATAATCCTTGCAATTTCACATTTTACAAGTCGACCCAAATACAAACTACCAACCAGCACTAACTTATTAGGGTCAAATATAAAAACAAGGTGGACCGACGATCTGCTCAAGATCGCTGGAAGGCATTGGATGCGAGCAGCGCAGGACCGATCGTCGTGGAGATCTTTGGGGGAGGCCTATGCCCAGCAGTGGACGTCTTCCGGGTTGCGATGAATGAATGAATGAATGAATAAAAACACATGAAACTCACCGGCGGGCTTAGCACCGAACGCCGAGTTATTCTGGGTGGCACCGAACAGCCCCGTAGATGTGTTGTTACTGCCGAACAGGCCTCCAGTGGAGGTGTTAGCGCCAAAACCGAAGCCGCTAGTGGAGGCGCCGAAGGCAGGCGCTGTGGTCGCCGTGTTGGAGCTCCCGAATAGACTCGTAGAGGTGTTGGAAGCGCCGAAAAGACCTGGGTTATAAATTCATATGAAATCAAATTATATATACTTACAAAAAATATATATTTTAGTATTTATATCAGTTGTCTAGTACCCGTAACAAAAGCTCAGCTTACAGTGGGACTAGATGGCGCTGTGTGAATTGTTCACGGTTATTATTATTAATTAGCTGTACACGTGACTTGGTCCGCGTGGAATTTAACTTTATTTTTCTAAAATAAAAGTAGCTTACGATACTTCTTATTACATCAGCTACCTGCCAAAAAAAAAGTCCCAATAAAATCGGTGAAAATCGGTGTAAAAAATATTATTTTAGTGTATGTACCACATTTATATTCATATGCATGTAGTAAAAAACGGTTATTTCAATATTACCTACAGACACTCCAATTTTATTTATATGCATAAACCCTGGACAATTAACACAGCGCCATCTAGTTCCACAGTAAGCAGAGCTTGTGTTATTGGTACAAGACAACTGACATAAATATTTGAATTTTTTTTTATAAATAATATATACATAGAAAACACTCAGACCGATACAAACAATCATAATCATGAATACAAATGTTTGTATATCTTCTATACGTATCCCATACCTATACAAACAATCATAATCATGAATAAAAATTTTTGTATATCTTCTATACGTATCCCATACCTATACAAACAATCATAATCATGAATACAAATGTTTGTATATCTTCTATAAGTATCCCATACCTTTACAAACAATCATAATCATGAATACAAATGTTTGTATATCTTCTATACGTATCCCATACCTATACAAACAATCATAATCATGAATACAAATGTTTGTATATCTTCCATACCTCCGCCCGTGGTGGGCTGTGTGGCGGCTGCGGCTCCGAAGGCCGGCGGGGCTCCGAACGCACTCGTCCCAGTCGTGGGCTTGAACCCACCGAAGGTCGAAGTGCTGGCTCCCGCATTAAACGACCCTGAGGAATTACAAGCAAATCCAAAATCATTTATCCATGTAGGACATTTTAGCCGCTTAGGGGCTGTTCAAGTATTACGTAAGCAGATTTATTACAATTATTTACCCCCCATCCCCCGTTGTCAGCAAAAGTAAGCAAAGCTCTTACCCCTTCCCCATGCTTACGTAAACATTTCTCAATTAATGTATTTTTTTTTTAACAAAGACAATGTGAGGGTTGCCATTCGTGTAAAAAAGTAAATTACGACCGATGACGTAATCATCATACAGACTCCCCCACCCCCATGTCATCCAAAATAAGCAAAGAAAAGACCCCCCGCCCCCCTATAGTGCTTACGTAATACTTGAACGGCCCCTTATGAACGTAAATTTTTTCCTAATATTAATTTTTCCAGTCCCAATTCTATAAAATACTATAAAAAAAAAACTATAAAAAAATTATTCGTTCTTCTTGTGATGAATCTACATTCCGAATGAGTGGTAGAATCAAAATATGACTATTCAAAAGTGCTTGTAATGAGTTTATTTGAATAAAGATTATTTCTATTTCTAGTGGACGTCTTCCGGGTCGAGATGATTATCATCAATAATAAAAAAAAAATCTTTTTACTTACCAAACCCTGAGGTGTTGCTACCAAATGCCGGTTTCTGGAACATTCTGCTGGTGTTAACGACGTGTGGATTATCACTCGATTTCTATCACTACGGCGTCACGCTTATTTGTACATTATCTGCAATAGAAGATTAAAATTATTATTTACTAATTAACATATTTATTAAGTTCATATATTATTCCACAAGATACAATCGATGTTATTATTTAAACCTAAAATTAATTACATTAATACAGATAATAAAAAAAAAAAAAAACAAAAAAAAACACCTAAAAGTTAATTGCTATGATTGTCCCGTATCGTACCCGGCTTAAAGGTTCCCATAACGCTCGCAGCATTTCCACGTTGAATTGCTAGGGAATTCCTTTGCGCCAGATACAATCCGGAACGTCGATTTACTAATTGAAGCCGATACAGTTAAGCGTGGAGTGGTGAAATATTCAGTAATGAAAATCGATAGAAGTTTACAGCTGTCCGTGTCGCTTGCGCATATATAGCGTGAGGATAGTGGACGCGTTCGCCTGCGGTGCGAGGGAAGTGATAACTGCTATAGGTGTCGCTATCTACGCACAAGCGGTGGGATCAATTTAATTATCAAATAAGTAGGTATACAGGTATGTAACATTAAATTTTACAGATACACCCTACAAACGAACAATATATTTTAACAGTGAAGCATCAATTTATACATATATATAGTAAAAGGTAAGTATGGATTTATATATACATTATGGTTATTTCTATATGTTTTATGTGTTTTTATTTTTATTAATATTTTAGTTTTTATTTTACAGGTCCGGTTTGCAGTCGCGAGGCACGTCGGCTACACTAATTATATATAATATGACGATCTTGGTGGTGTAGCGGTCTAGCACACCGCTTTACGTCCGATGGACGCGGTTTCGATTCCCCGCACGGCACAAACATTTTGTAGTGTATTATGTGAGTTAACTACTCATGTTTTCAATATTACCCTCAACTGTCAATAAAGTAGTATTCATCTTACAAGCTTCTGTTTCACTACACATTTGTATTCATGAGTATGATTGTTTGTATCGGTCTGGGTGTTTTCTATAATATGTATGTATTTACGAAAAAAAATATATGTATTTGTATCAGTTGTCTAGTACCCATAACACAAGCTTTAGCTAGCTTAACTTGGGTTAGATGGCGCTGTGTGAATTGTCCTGAGATTATTATTATTATCAGTTATCTAGTACCCATAATACAAGCTTTAGCTAGCTTAACTTGGGTCTAGATGGCGCTGTGTGAATTGTCCTGAGATTATTATTATTAATTGTGCCCGCGCATTCACCTGCATTAAATTTCAATAAAAAATATGTTATTCTGATGTATAAGCTATATTACTGTAAAGTTTCATCAAAATCCTTTCAGCAGTTTTTGCTTGAAAGTGTAACAAACCTCAATACTTACAAACTTTCGAGTTTATAATATTAATAATAAGATATGATAAATGTGTTTTACGGAAGTAGTGTTTTTACAGCTGGAAGCTTGAAACTTATTTTTTAAGCTGTTGATTGAACAAAAGTTGTGAGGTAACAGATTGAGCATGTTATGCGGAGGAACGAGGATCATGTCTTATGGAAAGTGTATAATATGAATGTGGATGGATGTAAAGGGAGGAGACGCCCTAAGAAAAGATGGATGGATTGTGTGAAAGATGATATGAATAAAAGAAGAGTATGTTTAGATATGACGACCGATAGAGAGCAGTGGAAGAGAATGACATACTGCGCCGACCACAAATAATGGGATAAAGGCAAGGCTGATGATGATCATGACGATTGAACAAAAATAAAGAACCCTTTTTGGGTTGCAAGGAGTTGCAAGTGGAGATGTTAGATGAAGTATCGTTATATTTGTCTGTATGTACAACAAACGTCTTCTTGTAAACGAACATTTAAAGTGTCTATTTGCTATTACACAATTATATAAGGAGTCATATGAAGGATTACGAAATTTAATAGACACATTGTCAAAAAAATTAAGTGCTTTAAATTCATTGGGCGAGCCCACTGAAAGGTGGGATACTATTATTATTTACAATGTCTCATCAAAGTTGGATAGTCAGTCCATGAGTAAATGGGAGGAGTACAGGAGCAAAATAGAATCTCCCATTTTAGAAGTTCTGTATGTTGATTTCGCTTTCACAGCAAAACTACTGAACCGATTTAAATGAAATTTAGTACGCAGATAGTCTAGACCCTGAGAAAAGACATAGGAAAGGGCTTTTGGCGAAAAAGGGTTGTAGGATGTTGAAAACGGAGGATGACAGATTGTACATTTGCATGTCGTAATTTTTATAGCTAGAAGCTATAAACTAATTATTTAGACTGTTGATTAAATATAAGAATAGAATAGAATAGAAAATCATTTATTCAAATAAACTTAATTTAAGCACTTTTGAATAGTCATAACATTTTTTTTAATCTACCGCTCATTCGGAAAGCTGCCTCATCACAAGAAGAACGAGCAAGAAACTTGTGTGTTGCTCTTTTAAATAATTTTATGATTACTTTACATTTTTAAGTTTAAGTGTGTGAATACAAACCACCAATTAGCACTAATTCAATTAAATACTCAAATAGAAAAAATATTGAATATATAACCAACTGGTTAAACAATTAATAAGAGGAAATCAGTCATCGTGATTAGTGCAGACCAGTCCCTACAAGCAGCACTCGTTTACGACTATGACGGATGACCCAGCCATCACTGCGCTCGACCATATTTTAGGGAGCCCAATGACCCGGCCCACCACGCCGCCACAAGTAAATAAATATGACATTCAAAGTTTGTAAAAATAGGGATCACTTTTACAAACTTTAAATATCATATTTAAGAGTTAATTTAGAGATAAAATAAAGTAGGGGATGAAACTTTGCTTGCAAATTCGTAATTTTTTAAGCTAGAATCATTAAACTCACTTAGCACCAAGGAATTTACTTCATAAACTGTGTTTCGGTTGTAGTGCAGATTAGGAAGTGAAATTACAGGATAGAGGCGTGACATGTTAGTACTCTGGAGTGACAACGCGTGAGTGGTATCACGGGCGTCACGTGATAACGTGATTACGGACATCATCAATCAATAGGCTTCCTTTTAGGCTAAGGGGAGGGGTTTGTCAGTAATGGGTCTCATGACCCCATTGCTAGTAATCTACCATGTTAGGTCGCCCTCCCCGCGGTTCCCGCTGGAAAACATCATGATAAATTCTTGTTGAATTTGTCACTATGTACTAATTGACCTGACCCCATGTGTGTAAGACGTTAGATGTTACTTATAAATGTATACAACCTCATTTTGCTATATTATATAACTTTAAAAAAAAAGAACACAGAACACTAATTTTTAAATAAACTTGTCATTCTGAGCTAATTCATTGGAGGGAAAATACAAGATCCTTTACATGAGTACAAAATATTTGTTTTATTTTCAAAAGAACAATAGGATAGTACAAACACCATGCTCATCTTATCATCTTCCACTGGTGCCTCGCCAGCGCATTAGTTAGCGCAGGCAGGTGTACCATTTCATTATCTATACATTTATACATATAAATAAAATTGGATTGTCTGTTTGTAATATTGAAATAATCGTTTTTTACTACATGCATATGAATATAAATACGGTACATACACCTATCTGTTGTCTGTGTGTCTATCTGTTTGTTCCGGCTAATCTCTGGGTAGACCGATGTTGACGGTACTTTTGTTGGCAGGTAGCTGATGTAATAAGGAGTAACTTTGTCTACTTTTATTTTAGAAAAATTGTCCCGGCAAACATGTTTTGCCATATAAATTAATAACGCTATAAAAAAATAGGAGTTGATGATAGAAGAGTGAAAATTTAGGTTTGTATGTATTTTTTAATGACACATAATAAAATAAATATATATAAAAAAATTTGCCCAAAAATAAAAAATATTGTTAGGGGTGGACAACCCTTATCACTTAGGATTAGGAAAAATAGATATAGACGACAGTTACCACTTACCATCAGGCGGGCCGTCTGATTTCTTGCCAGTCCAATTATATAAAAAAAAATCTGTTTAAACCATTTCATACTGTAACTTGATTATTATCAGTAATAACAAGAATATAATATAACAAACAATTTATTAGTTCACAAACTTAACAACTATTACAAATAATTAATTATATATATGATAGACCAGTGATTCCCAAAGTGGTCTATATCGACCCCCAGGGGTCTATGACAAACTGCAAGGGGTCTACGACAGAGGTCATCTTGTTTTTACTATATATTTTTAAAACTAAACTGTACTATAGTTAGAAATTTACAAAAAATCAATACCAGGTAAGAATGGTGGGTCTACCTAAAACCGAAAAATATGGCAAGGGGTCTATGACTCAAAAAACCTTTGTGATAGACATTAAACATCAGGAGCGGATCGTGAATTTGTGGGACCCTGGGCTAAATCTCCTTAGAGAGCTACCCTTATTATATTACTCAACTAAAAAAATACACCGACCAAAAACAAGCGACAAGAATTCCCCATTCCCTTCGATAGACACGCATTTGCATGTGTTGATCTCAGGGTTGCCAACCTTATGATAAGAGTTAAACCAGTAGTAGCAAATCTGCTGTGAGCAGTATAATGCTCAAAGCCACAGGCGCCATCCTCCACCACCACTGGTCGACGTCAAACCTAGCGTCAATGACGGCATCAGTCAATCGACCAGTGAGAAGCACCGCTCATCACGCGACACATATGAGCACCAATAAAAAAGGGTGGATACTCCACCCTTATGTAATTTAAAAAACGTTAAGTTGTTGCAATTATAATTGCCAGTTCAATTATATAATATAAAAAAAATCTGTTTAAACCATTTAGATAGATAGATAATTCATTTATTGCCAACATAACACAAATAATACAATTTACAATAAGACACAAAACAAGAAATAAATAATAACATGTAAGTTGGCAATAGGAGCTGCCTCAGCTGTTGCTGATATAAGCACAACCTTAGTGAGGTGCACCTATAGAGCGCTGGTTTTCAGGCAGCCCCCATTACTCATAAACAAAAAAAAAACTAAGATGCGGTTTTTTTACTACATACAGATACATATAATTTAAACACAAAAAAAATATATTAAATAAGATCTAGGATACACAAATATAAATATATATAGAATGAATTACAATATTCAATGCTCACAAAAACCGAAATCAGTTACAATAACAGTATCAAAATAAAAAAAAATAAAAAAATTCATACTGTAACTTGATTATTATTAGTAATAACAAGAATATAATATAACAAACAATTTATTAGTTCACAAACTTAAAAAACTCAAAGTCACAGGCGCCATCCTCAACCACCACTGGTCGATGTCAAACCTAGCGTCGATGACGGCATCAGTCAATCGACCAGTGACAAGCAGCGCTCATCACGCGACACATATGAGCACCAATAAAAAGGGTGGATACTCCACCCTTATGTAATTTAAAAAACGTTAAGTTGTTGCAGTAAACGCTTCATGAGAAGAGGTCACAGTTTCATTTAAAAACACTCTTCCTTATCAAAAAACAAATTAACAATAGGTTTTTTAACATTCTAGATATTTTTTATATTCAAAAATTATGGTTTCAGTGAGTACTGCTGGCCCTTCGTATCCTCGGGGCCTTGGGCTGCAGCCTAAAGAGCCCTTAGGTAGATCCGCCCCTGTTAAACATGGAATTTTAAATTCCCACAAAGGTTCTAATGCTCAAGGTATGTTATTGTGAAGAAAAATAAATAAATTATTATTTTTTAAACTTTTGTGTTCAATATACATTATTATTAACCGGATCTTTACAGTCAGCTAGTGACCACGGCTAGTGCAACCTAGTCGAAACGTCGAGAGGTAAAAATCTTTATTTGCCATAAAATTATTCGTGTAAGACCCGGTTAATAATATAAATATATAAAAAAACAACATATAATAATATTTACATAATATTATATGTGGTTTTTTAATTATTGAATTATAATATTGTTAGTATATATTTTACTTATATACTATACATGTACATTTATATTTATCTTTTTTTATATGTTATAATATTTTCTTTCTTTTCTTTTTTTATCAAAATTAACTTTACTAATACACAAGTATATAAAAGTATAAATTTTTTATGTTTTATAAATATTATGTAAGCTAAAAATATTACATGTATATAAAAATATGCTTATATTTATAATTATAATCCTCTGGAGAGGTACTACCAACATATATTATATAAATATATATAATAATAATAATAATAATTTTATTTCAGACAACAGGATCCATTATGTTAGTAACAGCTTAATGACATAACTTATCCTATGTTAGTAATAATATATATATATTTTATTTATTTATATTTATATTATTATTATATATATATAATAATAAGTAAAGCATGATAATATTTGTTTATGCACAGGATTTTATTGATCAGGATTAATATTGATTATTAATTAATTATCTTCGATTAAATAGAAAAATAACATTTTTCAAAATCAGCAGCTAGAATTGCCTCCTTTTATATAAGTCAATTAAATTAACCACACTGTCTTAATCATTATGTAAACACTTTTAAAATGATATATAATACTTCTGTGTAAATTTAAAGGAAAAGATAATTTAAATTAATAAAATAAAAACTTTAAATACTTGTCTTGTAAAAAAAATGTATTATTGTAAAATAAAATGTAAAATGTAAAATAAATTGTAATGTATGCATTTTGAATACTGCCATTTTTCTATTTAACCGACGATATGCTCATGATAAAGTGATTTAAAACACAATATAGTTATACATTTATAAGTTTATCTTATATTTAAGTATATAAGTTGAAGCGGAGGTATCTAATGTGTCTGATGAATAAGAGGTGCTGAGGGTTTTAATAATGAAAATATGGAGATAAAACAAAATGCGACTAATACGACAGCGCTATATAATAGAAAGTAACAAAAAGAATATATAACAAAAAATTTATATATATATATTTAAAAATAATATAAATACTTAACAAAGAGTTTTTTTTTTCGTACTCTAATGCTGTTGACCGCAGCTGGCCTTTACAGCTTCACCAGACGTTAAGGGACGAGTGCAGAAGGCACTCCAAACCAAAGGAAGGACTTATGGAGCGGCTGAAGGCCAACTCCTGTCTGACGGGTACGACTTTAGTCTGGGCACCAGTAGGGAGTTCGAACCTCGGCTCAGGCCGTCGTAATATCGATTCCCGTTTGAATTGGACGGGGGATCGATTGAAGGAGAGCTACACAAGTATTATAGTCTTTATATATAATAGAATCTATACTAATATTACAAAGCTGTAGAGCTGTAGATATATATTATACTAGCTGATCCGCGCAATTTCGCGATTCATTTCCCCACCTTTTGCAATATTTATCATTGCAGCTCCGCTCCTATTGGTCGTAGCGTAATGTTATATAGCTTAAAGCCTTCCTCGACAAATGGACTATCCAACACAAAAACAATTTTTCAATGCGAACCAGTAGTTCCTGAGATTAGCGCATTCAGACAAACAGACTCTTCAGCTAATATTAGTATAGATTTGTTTATGACAGACACTTATTTGTTAATCGGAAAGTTGGGGAAAGGCTTAACATCTGTTTTATCTTGACCTGGCTGTTGGGTCAGAGTGGGTCCTGGCTTCGGAGCTCCAAAGAGGATCCCACCCTGAGGTTGTGCGTTCCCACCAAATGTACCTGAACTACCTGATGCTACACCGAATGCAACCGACCCTATGCTATTTTGGGGTCCACCAAATGTAATACCAGTATGTGATCTCGATCCTTGGCCAGTATATGGGTTACTGCTTGCATTAATACCATATTTTATGATATTATCTTTATTATGCGTATTATAATGTTCATAGAAGTGTGTTTCTTCCAAAACTATCCCAAGAGCCTCTTCCAGCGTTCCAGGCCCTCTCAACCTGACAATCCTGACAATTTCAGTTGGTAAGTTATACAGAAATACATTAATAGCCATTTTGTTATATATATCAACTTTACACTGTCTCATTCTCTCATCTTCTATCTCATTAGCTTTAGACAGTAATACATATAAAGCAGACCGGATTCGGTTGCAAAAATCGGGATAAGTCTCGCCGTATTTGATTTTCAGGTGTTCTAACTCTGCAGCTATGAAATCTTCGTTGCGGTAATCACCGAAGTGGAGAAGCAGGAACTTCTTCAGTTTCTCCATCGTGTTCAGGTCTTCCCTGTCGCTCACCATCGCCGCGGCGTTATCAGTCAAGCGACTGGTGAGGGCGTGCATGACATATATATTTTGTGTTTCGTCACCCTTATACAGATTATAGACGAACTCGCATTTCTTCAAGAAAAAGCTTAAAAGTCTCCTATCACCGCTGTAATAGGGTACAATTTGCAACATTTCAACTGGTATCAACTTGAGGTCAGCCATTTTGATCGCGAGTAGACCACAGCTTTAAAGATTGTTTAAATTTTCGGAATTCTAATGTTCCAAATTTAAATTTCTTAAGATTCTTTTTTGACTATATATCTATAGATTTACAGTTACAGTTATAACTGTAAGTTATGACACATACTCCAACGTTTGGCCAACTAATTACTTCAGTAATCAGGAGTTCTTACACTAGCCAGAGTCTTTTATCTGTATTGTGTTATGACAACAATAACACTCCAATATTTGGTAAATTTCTTTATTTCATTAACTCTTCAGTAATCCCTAGATTTCCTTACTTGACTCTAATACTCGCTGGATTTCCTTACGCAGTCCAGAATCTTGTATCTGTATTTATTTTAATGTAGTACAATCATTCCACTCGGCAATGCTCCGTGATATATTGGTTTCCAAATGACTATCAGGCCATCACGTTATCAGGTTAGGCTGCCATCAATTTCCGTGTGCTAAAACCCAAGTAAAGAGAGTTCTCTTTATTTTGTTACTCAATTATATATTTAATACTAGCTGGATCGGTAAACGTTTTGCCCTATAAATAATAGAGGCGAGTGCTAGAAGAGCGAAAATTTAGAAGTGTACGATAGTCTCGGTGTTCTAGCAGTTTAACAGATCTCCTTACTTTCTTCCGATGGTCGCGGGATCGATTCCTCACACGGTACAAACATTTGTATTCACGAGTATGATTGTTTGTGTCGGTCTGGGTGTTTTGTATGTATAATATGTACGTATTTATGAAAAAAATATATATCTATGTATTTGTATCAGTTCTCTAGTAATAGCTAAGCTTGGGTCTAGATGGCGCTGTGTGAATTGTTCTGAGATTATTATTATAAAATCACTATTGCACAATATTGTTTCCACTAAACAGTGACGTAATTATGACGTCATTAATGGGTATTTACCAGGGTTCGCCGATATATATCAATTGATTTTTATATCTTGATATTTATCAAATGATTTTACCTTTGAATTTAAAATTTTGGAGATTAATGTTTACCCTGGCAACACGTAGCGAAAAACTACAATTCAGAATAATTTAGATTGTTTCCCAAAATGGCAACCTCATTTAAAGTTGGAGAAATTCCCTTTAACTGGTGGGAAGGGAATTGTTAGTAATGTGGACTCATCACCCAATTACTAGCAATGTACCATGTCAGGTTGACCTCCACGCGGTTCCCCCTTGAAAACAACGTGATAAATTCCTGGTGAATTTGTCACGATGGGCTAACTGACCTGACCTCATGCTCATCCTATCATCCTCCACTGGAGCCCTGCCAGCGTAAACCGTTAGGCGGGTGCTCCATTCCATTATCATACATATAAAAAATCCCCTTTAACTTACCGTACTAGCTAGCTTTTAATGAAATTAAACCGTAACTACATATTATATAAGATTTATTTTACGAAAATGATGATGATGTCCCTTATAGATCTATGCTTAAGACCTGACGCTGAATGATTACAAATTATTGTTAAAATTTGTTGATTTATCTCACAAAGAAATGAAGATTATCATTACATAAGTATAAAATAAAGTCGCTGTCGCTGTCGCTGTCGGCCCCTATGTATGCTTAAAACTTTACAACTACACAACGGTTTTTGAAGCGGTTTTTTTAATACATAGAGTGATTCGAGACGAAGGTTTATATATATAATACATGTACACCCGTGCGAAGCCGGGGCGAGTAGTTATTATAATAATAGGTACCCTTTTGTTTAATTGTTCATTAAACAAATATTTCTCAAATAAACACTAAGTAATTCTTTTGTTACATATTAAAAGTTTTTTTTTTAATAATTTAATACTTATTGTATTTTACAAATTCCTTTCAAGTTTTTAAGCGTGTAATCCACTTACAGAATGAAATTAGCTTCTTTTTCTTAGCCGGGATATATATCTGACATATAAACAAAAAAAAATTTTCAAACCCTGGTATTTATAAATATTTTGTAACTTTAAGGCTAAAAATATTAGACGTACATAAAAATATTCTTACATCTATAATTATTAATCAGGAATTCAGGATTAATATTGACAATCTATGATAAAGTGATACAAAACACAATATATAATAATTACACACTTTTAAACTTATATCTAATTTCTAAGTATACGAAAGTGTAACACTTTACACTCTACACATAATCTATACATATAAATAAAATTGGAGTGTCTGTATGTAATATTGAAATAATCTTTTTTTACTACATGCACATGAGTAAAAATACGATACCTACACCAAAACAACATTTTTTTTTAATTTTTGTCTATCTGTCTGTTTGTTCCGGCTAATCTCTGAAATGGCTGGGCCTATTTTGACGGGACTTTTTTTTGCAAGTAGCTCCTGTAATATGCAGTAACATAGGCTACTTTTATTTTAGTAAAAGTAATCGGAAAGTTGGGGAAAGACTTAATATCTTATTTTTCTTGACCAGGCTGTTGGGTCAGATTGGGTCCTGTCTTCGGAGCTGCTAAGAGGAGCTAAGACTATGAGGGAACGCCAAAAGTACTTGAACTACTTGATATTGCACTGGATACAGATGTAGTTCCAAATGCAGAACTGGAATCAGAGCCTGTGGATAGGTTACTGGTTACAGTGGATCCTGAATTCGGAGCTTCTAAGAGGTGCTGAGGCTGTGCGGTAATGCCAAAAGTACTTGAACTACTTGATACTGCACTGGATACAGATATAGTTCCAAATGCAGAACTGGAATCAGAGCCTGTGGATACGTTACCGGTTACAGTGGATCCCAGCTTCGGAGCTGCTAAGAGGTGCTGAGGCTGTGCGGTAATGCCAAAAGTACTTGAACTACTTGATACTGCACTGGATACAGATGTAGTTCCAAACATAGAACTGGAATCAGAGCCTGTGGATACGTTACTGGTTTGAGTGGATCCTAGCTTCGGAGCTGGTACGAGGAGCTGAGGCTGTGCGGTAATGCCAAAAGTACTTGAACTACTTGATACTGCACTGGATACAGATGTAGTTCCAAATGCAGAACAGGAATCAGATCCTGTGGATAGGTTACTGGTCAGAGAGGGTTTTGGCTTCGGAGCTACTAAGGGGAGCTGAGGCCGTGCGTTCCCGCCAAATCCACTTGAACTACTTGATACTGCACTGGATACAGATGTAGTTCCAAATCTAAACCCTGTGGATAGGTTACTGCTTACATTTATACCATATTTTAGGGTATTATTTTTATTATGGAAAGTATAATGTTCCTGGAGAAGTGTTTCTTCCAAAACTAGCATCCCTAGAGTCTCTTCGAGGGTTCCAGGACCTCTCAATCTGATAATCTTGACAATTTCAGGTTGTAAATTATTCAGAAAGACATTTATAGCCATTTTGTTATATATATCAAATTTATATTTTCTCATTATCTTATCATCTATCTCATTAACTTCAGACAATAATACATATAAAGCAGACCGGATTCGATGGCAAAAATCGGGGTACGTCTCGCTGAATTTCATTTTCAAGTGTTTTAATTCTGCGGCTACGAAATTTTCGTAGAGGTAATTATCGAAGTGGAGAATCAGGAACTTCTTCAGTTTCTCCATCGTGTTCAGGTCATCTCTGTCGTTCACCATCGCCGCGGCTTTGTCAGTCAAGCGACTGGTGAGTGCGTGTATAACATATATATTTTGTGTTTCGTCTCCCTTATAAAGATTATAGACGAACTCACATTTCTTCAAGAAAAAGCTTAAAAGTTTCCTATCGCCGTTGAAGTAGGGTACAATTTGCAACATTTCAACTGGCACCAACTTTAGATTAGCCATCTTGAGATCGGGAATAGACCACAGCTTCTAAAGTGTGTTTAAATTTTTGGGAATGCTAATGTTCCAAATCTAAACTTCTTAGACTCTGTTTTGATAAAGTCAGTCAAGACAATAGATTTTATATCTATAGATTTACAGTTATTGACCTGTCAGTTATGACACCTACTCCAATGTTTGGTAAACTTCTTTATTTCATATACTCTATCCAGCCCAGATTTTTGTACGTCTTTTAAAGTAGTTCAATCATTGGCAATGGTCCGTGACAGATTGGTTTCCAAAGTGACTATCAGGTCATCACGTTATCAGGTTAGGCTGCCATCAATTTCCGTGTGCTAAAACCCAAGTAATGAGAGTTCTGTTTATTTTCTTATTCAATTATATATTTAATACTCCACCAACCTTAACCCTCCACCAGATAATAATTGCAGCACGCCCAAAACCAATTTTAAGGAATGTATGAATTTAGAAAATAAGATATCAAGACTCGAACAAGAACTATAGCGATCTAATGAGTGTATTAATGATCTAAATAAATAAATTACAATACTTGAGTTGAAGTTACGTAAGCCTGACAATGGAGTTAATAAGACAAGATTTAACTGTGCAGATTTTTAAAAATTAATTTACAAAATGCTATTCTAAAGATAGAACTGTCTTCTATAAATCCATTATTTATACTACATATTGACTATATTGATTATGATCGAATTGATTATAATCACAAAGAATTAAAGAAACTTATAACATTGAATAGAGCGAGTGCCAAGTCAAAAATCCAAACGTGGAAGAAAGGAACAATCCCCTATTATTTTGCCCGTAAACTGAAGAAAACGATGATTCATGTTTTGATATTCATTCAACAACTGAAACACAAAAAGGGAACAATTCCTTACTACCTTTACTTTCCCAGTTGTAAATCGGACCACATTTTTTCGAGGCTCGACATGAAACAGAGGTCTTAGACCTCTTCCAGACTTTTTTAGACTTTTCTAATAGATAAACACTTGGACGCTCATTCTAATCATGTCCCAATGAAAATGAAGGAGAAAAATGGCTAATTAAGTGGGAAATTGCTGCCAATGTGTCTACATCAGTCCATGCAATTATTTTTTTGACAATTCACACAGCGCCATCTAGTCCCAAGCTAAGCAGAGCTTGTGTTATGGATACTAGACAACTGATATAAATCCATGGATATATTTTTTTTGTAAATAAATACATATTATACATAGAAAACACCCAGACCGATACAAACAACTGACAAGAAACTCAGCTCATATTCTTTTCAAATACGGTTGTACATGTTTACAATAAAACCGATTCATTTTTCAATTCAAATTCGGGAGAATAGAGTGGCCACCAGCATATGCTATTGCAATCAGTGTTTGTGACCCGAACAGACCAGTCCCAACAAGAGCACATGTTCACAAGTATGATGGATAAGCCAGCCATCCTTGCCCTCAACCATATTAGAGGGAGCATGATGACCTGACCCTCCACACAAACTATACATATAATAACACAATATATACATTTGTTTCAATGATTATCTATATTAACCCCTAAATCATAGTCTTAATAATTTAGAGCAAGGATCTTCAACCTGCGGTACGCTTGGGGCCTTCAATGTGTTTTCTGTGGCCCGCCAACAGTATAAACCAACTATCAGTAACGACAATAATTAATAAAAAAGTACCCCTAATATAAAATAAAAAAATCCTTATAAATTATAACTATGGTACGATCTGCTGTATGGAAAAAAAAATTTTTTGCCCCAATAAATATGATGCACCCAGGTGTATTAAAAAAAACCTTTTTGCCTTGACTTATAAAACATTGAAGATCTCTGATTCAGAGGTTAATATAGACATTAACTGATAAAATTGAATTTTAGATACATAAATTAATTATTAACTTTACTTACATAGTAATAAAAAAAATGTAATTGACAATGCTACTGACTATATGTTACTGACCGTTAAGTATTCAGTAGAGTTGAATAAAAAAGCAGTTACTATATAACTGATACTTAAGGATTATCTATAGGTAATTAGGAATTCCAATATTGCAATATTTAAATATCTAATCTACTGATAAGAGTACCAACAACTCACCTGCTTTTAGTACCATACTAATTGCAGATAGCTTGTCAAAATTTTTTTATGACCTACACAATTCAGCAGAATAAACCATATCAAAATGTAGGTACATACAAACTTCAATATTTTGATAAAGCATAATTATCGTATTACTAGCAGTTCCCGCGACTTTATCTGCGTGGAATTTAACTTTATTTTTCTAAAATACATACAAGATTTAAAAACTGGAGTTTTGCTTGTCGATGTCCAGTAGATATGTTCTTTTCAGGCGTTTTGGGAGGTTGTTAGTTAGTAACCTCTGAGCTAGTTCATTGGGGTGGACACTCAGCCGAGCCTTGTATTTTGAGCATGTGCTAGCAGGCTCCTCTCGTACTTTGGATAAATTCGAAAACTGATGTATTTCCTAGTTGGTTATAAACCATGGTGCCCTAACAATGGTCTTCAAGATAGTGTTCTGGGACCGTTGGAGAATCTCAATGTTAGAGGTACTAGCACTTCCCCACAGTTGAATGCCATAGGTCCAAATCGGTTTGATGACCACCTTATAAACAAGCAACTTGTTCTCTACCGAGAGGTTAGAGTTTCTACCTAAGAGCCAGTACAAGTTCCTAAATCTGAGGTTGGTTTGTATTTGTTATGTAGGTACATATAAACTTCAATATTTTGATAAAGCATAATTATCATATTACTAGCAGTTCCCGCGACTTCATCTGCGTGGAATTTAACTTTATTTTTCTAAAATAAAAGTAGTCTAAGTAATTCCTTACTACATCTACCTTTAGTTACCTGCCAATAAAAGTCCTGTCAAAATTAGTCCAGCCATTTCAGAGATTAGGCAACATTTAAATATCTAATCTACTGATAAATGTACCAACAACTCACCTGCTTATAGTACCGTACTAATTGCAGATACTCAACTGATAAAAGTGTACAGAAATATTTATGACGAAAACAATTCAGCAGAATAAATCATATCAAAATGTAGGTACATATATTTTTTTTTGTTCCTGGTTTATCCGCGATCAGTATGTCTACTATAATCGGATTGGTTGGCAAATGGCAATGAGTCTGCTGTCCATTGAGTGCAAGACTTCTTCTTTAATGACGCCCTCCTGCATACATACAGGATTTAAGAACTGGAGTTTTGCTTGTCTATATCCAGTAGATATGTTCTTTTCAGGCATTTTGGGGGGTTGTCAGTTTGTAACCTCTGAGCTAGTTCATTGGGGTGGACACTCAGCCGAGCCTTGTATTTTGAGCATGTGCTAGCAAGCTCCTCTCGTACTTTGGGTCAATTTGAAAACTTATGTATTTCCGAGTTGGTTATAAACCATGGTGTCCTAAGAATGATCTTCAAGATAGCATTCTGGGACCGTTGGGAAATCTCAATGTTAGAGGTACTAGCACTTCCCCACAGTTGAATGCCATAGGTCCAAATCGGTTTGATGACCACCTTATAACTACACCTTATAACAACTTGTTCTCTACTGAGAGGTTAGAGTTTCTACCTAAGAGCCAGTACAAGTTCCTAAATCTGAGGTTGGTTTGTATTTGTTATGTAGGTACATATAAACTTCAATATTTTGATAAAGCATAATTATCATATTACTAGCTCGTCCCGCGACTTCATCTGTGTGGAACTTAACTTTATTTTTCTAAAATAACAGTAGTATAAGTCACTCCTTACTACATCTACCTTTAGTTACCTGCCAATAAAAGTCCTGTCAAAATTAGTCCAGCCATTTCAGAGATTAGGCAACATTTAAATATCTAATCTACTGATAAAAGTACCAACAACTCACCTGCTTATAGTACCATACTAATTGCAGAAACTCAACAAAAATATTTATGATCTAAACAATTCAGCAGAATAAATCATATCAAAATGTAGGTACATATAATACTTTGATACATGTAAAACTTTAATATTTTGATAAAGCATAATTATCATATTACTACAATAGCTGTTCCCGCGACTTTTTCTGCATGGAAATTAATTTTATTTTTTAAGAAATTATTATTTAAACTATACATAGTCAAAGATACTCCTTATTACAGCTGCTACCTGCCAAAAAAGTCCCGTTAAAAACGGTCCAGCCATTTCATTTTACAAATTAGCCAAAACAATCAGGCAGACAGATAAAAATAAAAATAAAATTTATTTTGGTGTACCTTCTTTATATTCATATATGCATGTAGTAAAAAACGGTTATTTCAATATTACAAACAGACACTCCAATTTTATTTATATGTACAGATGTATAGATATATAGATAATTATTAATCCATACTTATTATGATAACTTTCTATTTACACAGAATCATAAACATAAATTCATACATCATTATGTCAATAATTTATTACATTCTATAGGTTTCTTTGCTTGAATTTGAAGGTGTTTTAAAAATAAATCAATTTGAATTAAGAATATTTCAATTTTATTACGCATTATTCTTAGCGAGTAAATTTATTATTTCCGTAACTCACCAAACACGGTAAATAAAATAACCTCAAAATGTTTACGCGTGAACAAAAACCATTGAAAGCGTTTATAACTTTCCTTATTTAATGTAAGATTAAAATATAAAGAAATTTCATTTCCTTGTAGAGTAACAATGATTTAGATGACTTCTTGCCAAGTGAAATAAATAAAATTATGTATAGTACACCCAAATTACAAAGTTGCAGGTGCAAGACTCTTTATGGGGGGTATTCCGAGCGATCTACTTACCATTGATGCATTTTTTATGAAATATTACAAGTGTTTACATTTAATCGACTTAAAATTAATAATAAACGTATATCATTAATATTAAAGTAAATATTGATATAATTAATTCTAAGTTTTAAAGTAAAAACATATCAAAATAATCGTTAGGTGACGGTTGACAATTGTTATCAACTTCATTTAGTAGGTTAATGCAAATAGGTGCATGAAACGAAAGTTTTATATCAAAAATGCTATATACTTACGCAAAATAAAAGCTTGTAAATGATGTCAGTGTGGGCTGGTAATATTCTCTTATAAACAAAATCACAATATAACAATTTTATGCACTTATAACATATATTTAAGCCGAAAAATCACGCACGGATAAACGTATTGCAAAAAACGATGACAAGTGAACATAAACTAGAAAGACTAAATCATAGACAAGGTATAGATGCTAACACAGATCATGAGAGACCACAGATAATTCATGTCCATAGAGAGAAAAAAGCTTATCGACTGTTAAAGCGTATGTAAAAAATATGTAATTATTTATTTTTATCGATAAGTTCTTGAGCAAACCACATTTACGATCAGTTTCAATTTTAATACCATCGTAAAATTGTAATAAAATATATTTATGCAAAAAAGTAAGAAATGTTACACAATGTTTATTTTGAAATATCGTTCATTCTATTTCGTAAGTATCATTTTGCATAATGTTATAGTACACCTATAAAGCATTTATTTTTTAATATTTAAAATTGTGATATTGACTTAAAAATAAATACTAATATTGGGGTTCTCAAACTTAAAATAGGTTAGCAGTAGGTTTAATCTCAGCTAGCTAACTTAAGTTAGTTATACGTTATACATTTTCTTCAAATCAAGAAGTTTTAGAATGTTTCATCAGTTAATTTTAATGATTATTTATGAATTGAATGAATATGTTGTAGTTCTTTGTTCTGTGTATTCATAGTTGCATTTTACTGCAAAACCGTCGGCATCCGGAATATATTGCCGAAGCAGGCTTTGTAAAAAATAGTTTACGTGGATATCTCAGTTTCTATTCAAAAAAGCAATATTATGATACTGCATTTCGAATGAGTGGTAGGATAAAAAAATATGTCTATTCAGAAGTGCTTGTATTGACTTTATTTGAATAAAGATTATTTCTATTTCACCCATTTCAACAGCCAACTAGTTTTGTTAGCCGTTTTGGCTGAAGAGCGATATAAGGCAGTGAAGTTACATACATATAGTTTATATATACTTTGAATATGAATCGTATACCAAACTTCATGCCAATTATTTGAACTATTTGTAATGTGTTTTGGAAAGTTTCAACAGTCAGGTTATTTTAAAATATACACTACTTAATATCATAGATAGTACCTACCAATATAACAAAATATCCTTTAACAGATCTTATTATCCACAATGAAACTGTCAAGATAAGAATAGACGGAGTGATTGATTTAGGGCCCAAATGGAATAAATATAATATAGTATCAGCAAAAGAAACTGCAGTAAAGAACTACAAGCCAAGAACTAAGCCGAATATCGATAGTTTAGAAGTGAGATCTCATCACGTTAAAGATAAATATGCTAAAACAACGTCGTATACTAAAAGAGCAACAGTCAACGACTACGCGACTAGACAAAAGCCTCATAAAGTGAAACATGATAAACGTTTAAATGATTTTACATTGCATATTTATAGGCAGACGTTAAAGGTGTTTGACGAATTGCGGAATGAAGTAAACGACGATTTAAAACCGAAAGTAAATTTTTTATCGCAAAATTATGATGAGAAGTTTAGGCAATTTGTAAACGAAACTAGAAACCATAAAATACGAACCAAATTAGGAACACAAAAAGTAATTTTGAATACAATTGAAACTTCGAATACAATATTAAAAAGACTCGTTAATTTTTTAATAGCTGACATGGAAAAACATGGCGTATTGCGGTACAACACGGCAGCTACTAATATTATGCAGAATAAAGTAGACAACGAAATTGATTTGGAATATAAACATGTTTGTAAAAAATTTGGTATTTGTCGTACGAACACCGGTTTCAGCGATTTTGTGGCCGATATTTTAAAAATAATACTTACATCAAGAGATGATCAGGTAAAAGTAGCTTCTGATGCACTTACTGAAGTTGCAAAAGAAACTGACTTTAGCGAAGTCATAACCGGTGTAGCTGCGCTGTTTTTTAAGACCGTGATCGGTATTTTAGAACGTAGCGAAGTTGAAAATCTACGGTCTATATACTCCATAGCTATGAACACGTTGGCACATAAAAATAGACCGTTAAAAGTAGTGGACATTACTGACGACAAACGCACAATTACCAGGACATTGTCGTTTTTAGAACTTATAAATACATTTGACGCTGTTATTCCAGCTAATGAAGAAAATAAATTAGAATGGTCTGATATTAAAAACGGTCTAGAACAATGGCAAAACGATGAAAGGGAAGACATCTTGGATATAATGCAAAGTTTCATTGGACACATAAAAAGTAAAGGTATTGATAAATTAGATGCGGAAGGTGTGCGGAATGTTCGAGAAAGCTTTGCAAAAATATTAATGTAATAGTAGCGAAATATTAAACTCTGCGGTTTGATTTTTTTTAATTTAAATTAAATTAATTTAAAAATATAATTGATTTAAAAGCAGATTACTTTATTTTTATTATTATACATAAGCAATTTTAGAATCAATAATTCATATACAAATATATCATTGTTATACATTAATAATCTATTACTATAAAAAAAAGTTGCAGTAACAGTATAAGATTGAGAACTTTTGTCTTTAAAGATTACTGTGTAAATGTCATTGTCTATGCACCTATTTCAAAGCACAGATAATATAATGTACAGTTTTAATTTTTTTGCCGCCAAATAAATGAAACCGTCACCTACCTACAAAATAACAATGTCACCGTTCGTAAAAAAAATCACTTGTGTGTACTTGTGCTTGCAATTTTATCTTAAACCTCGATCCTGTGGACTATAGCGTTTCAGTCGGCAATTCGCTATTTAGTAAAATTAGAGACTAGAATACCAATATATGTACAATCTCACCGCGCAATCAGTTTTTAAGTTAAGTGATGCTTACAGAATACTTTTTTTTTTTAATTACAATAATACAGTAGTCGAGAGTCAGGTCAGTTAGCACATCATGATGCATTCACCAGGAATTAACTATGGTTAAAATTATCTAAGCATTCAGCTTTGAGGTTGGCATATATCCAATGAGTGCACCCATTGCTTGCAACGTACTCAAGTCTTTCTGCTCATAATCAAGTCCAGTGAAATCAATCTCAGCATAACGATTTCAATCCAAGCCATTTTTATAGTGTTCTTTTGAAACTTATAATAAAATAAATAAATTAATAACAATGTCAGCTCTTTCATTGACCACGAAATAGAATTTATACGTCGTTAGTTTTTTTTAAACTATTTTAATGCTGTTGGCTTTTAGTTTCACTGAACGATTGGCGAGTGCAGATGCCATTCCAAACCAAAGGAAGGACATAAGGAACGACTGAAGCCAACGCCCACCTGATGGATACAACCAGTCTGAGGGCTAGAAATTCGACCCTCGGCTTTGTCAGTCGGTATTTCCATACCGATAATTAGACAGGGATTGTTCAGAGTATAATTTAAGCTTCTCAATACATTTATGAAAATATCATCTATGCCAGAAGGAATATAGACAGTTTCAAAAGAGTTAGTGATTGCACTAATAAAAGCTTACGTAACAATAACAAACTGATTTTACCTAAATGTCGTTTGGCTAAAGTTAGTAATTCGTTTTATGGCAATTGCGTAAGGTTTTACAATAAAATACCAGAGTGTTATAAATCTGCCAGAAAAAAGATTTAATTGTCATATAAATCAGTTCCTTTGCAAAAAAGCTTACTATAAAATTTAAGACTGACACACTGACAACATTATCTGATTACATTAATATTGTCAGTGTGTCAGACACTGACAATATTAACTGATTACATTAATAATGTGTAGAAATTAATTTAACATTAATATGTACAAAATGATAAAAAAATATATATAATACAATAAACAAGACAAAGAGGTAAAAATGGGCGGCCTTATCGCTAAAAAGCGATCTTACTCTTACTTGTTATACTGTAATTATTTATATAAAAAAACATCTATTAAAAAGAGCAACACACAAGTTTCTTGCTCATTCTTCTTGTGATGAATCTGCATTTCGAATGAGTGGTAGAATCAAAATATGACTATTCAAAAGTGCTTGTAATGAGTTTATTTGAATAAAGATTATTTATATTTCTATTTCTATTTATAATTATAGTATACCTACACTTGTATGTACCCTCAAGCGCCCAGCCCGAAAGTTGATTCCTCTACTTGACCCCCAGCACGTATATTTTATACTGGTTTTTTTTAAATGAAACAACAAAAACAATGTTAAACTTTTATATAAGAATATTTACAATAAAAATACTAAATATGTAGTTAACTATAATTAATCCTATTAGGAATACTAGACTATTCTTATTAAAGAGAATTATCTTAAAGGTTTTATACAGGATCTCATATTACATGCCGTCATAAGTTTCTAGTGAGAGTCTGAACGTCTGATTGGGTATCTCAGGTCCCAGCGTAGATAATAAGAGGAAGGAGTGTTTTGTATGCTGATTCAGTCTGAAGATTATATATATATATATACCAAGGATGTTAGGGAGCTCCGTAACCATAACCGAAACTTTCGGATAGCCAATATAAAAATATATTCGTAACCGTAACCGAATCTGAAATAAAAGTTTCGGATAATATCGGATAGGGACGAAGCCTAATTGTTATGTAACTATTTTATTAGCTATTTTACTTTTGAAATTCCTTAAAAAATTTATATCCGAAACTAACGGAAACTAACGGAAATAATTTCATATCCGCATCCGTATCCATATCTGATATTTCATATCCATAACATCCCTGATATATTGTGTTTTGCCATATAAACTATAATCGCTATTAAAAAGTATAGGTTAGTGATAGATGAGTGAAAATATAGGGTTCTATTTATTTTTAATGACACATAAAAAAATTGTCCAAAAAATAAAGATAAATGTTAGGGGTGGACAACCCTTATCACTTAGGGGTATGAAAAATACTACTATCTAAGTAGATTCTCAGACCTGAATATGCATATAAAATTTCATAAAAATCTGTCAATCTGTTTCAGAGGATGTTGTGACACGAGAATTTTATATATAAGATATATATATATATATAACAGTGAATTTATTCTTTGCATCTTATGTTCTCAGAAATGGCAATGCTTGAGCAATAATATAATTTTACTTACTTTGTGTAAATTACAAAATCTACCAATATTATACATATATGTATGTACTTGACATCTGTGAATGAGTTTAGTGCTTAAACACATTGCCTTACAACCGACGTTAACAGATATGAGTCTTGCACAATATATTTCTATTCATTACTTATAGTAATTCTTTATATCTGACAGCCTCTGTGGTCTAGCGGTTGAGCACACAGCTTTATTTCTGATGGTCGCGGGTTCGATTCCTCACACGGTGCTAACATTTGTTTTCACGAGTACGATTGTTTGTATCGGTCTAGGTATTTTCTATGTATATAATGTATGTATTTCCAAAAAAAAACATATCTATGTATTTATACCAGTTGTCTAGTACCTATAACACAAGCTCTGCTTACCGTGGGACTAGATGGCGCTGTATGAATTGTCCAGGGTTATTTATTACTAGCTATTTGCCCTGGCTTCGCACGAGTGTATATGTATTATATATAGAAACCTTCCTTTTGAATCAATCTATTAAAAAAACCGCTTCAAAATCCGTTGCGTAGTTTTAAACATTTAAGCACACACAGGGACGGACAGACAACGACCGCGGCTTTGTTTTATAATATGTAATGATATAGGTCTTGGTATTTCTGCATATACTATGCAATTTTTTACAAGAAAAATCGATATAAATTCTGTCAGCTATTTAGTACCCATAGTACAAGTTTGGTACAAGATGGCGTTGTGTGAATTATCATGAAATTATAATTATATAATAATACTATATATAATGCTAATTAGAATAAACTTAAAGCTGTATGCTTGAATTATCTGTAACCTACAAATATACGTCTATGTATTAAAAAAATAAGTCTTTCTATATGTACAGGAATTACAATGAATAATCTACCGTATGCTGTAGAACATAAAAACTAAATTTCTTATTTCATATGAGCATAAAATGTTCAAAATTTATACCACTGAAAATATCTTTATATTGACGACCTCGGTGGTCTAGGGGTCTAGCACACCGCTTTACGTCCGATGGTCGCGGGTTCGATTCTTCGCACGGCACAAACATTTGTATTCACAAGTATGATTGTTTGTATCAGTCTGGGTGTTTTCTATGTATAATATGTATGTATTTACGAAAAAAAATATCTATGTATTTGTATCAGTCATCTAGGACCCATAACACAAGCTTTAGCTAGCTTAACTTGGGTCTAGATGGCGCTGTGTGAATTGTCCTGAGTTTATTATTATTATTATATCTGTTAATACAACTAAATATCTGCCTACTCGATTTGGCATAAGTCTTAATGGCGCAACTATTACCTGAATACAAAGATTTTAAAGCATAGTTAGGTACGAGATCTTTAAAAATATTGTTTCCATCACCAACATTGTTCTCTACTACTGCTGGTTCATCATCATTTTCCTGTCATAGATCAAATTCAAAGTCATCATCACTTATGTTATCTAATTCCAATGATTTTATCTTATCTTTTGCTAATAGATCTACTATAACATCATTATTACGAGCATTGTGCTCTCCAATTGCCGTTTTACCATTATTATCCTGTCATAGGTCAAAGTCGAAATCATCATCACTTACGTTGTCTAATTCCAATGATTTCAAATCATCTTTAGGTACCAGATCTTCTAATGTAATTTTATCTTTATCAGCAACACTGTCCTCTTCAATATATGCGTTTGGTGTTTTGTTATCATTATTTTCTGATGCACTATCATTTAAATGTACTTTACTATTATGACTTTCATCATGAGAATTTGAATTTTCACCAATTTGCATGTCCAGAGCATCCATTAATTTCATATCTTCAACTGCAGTATCATTACTCTCTTTTGATTTATCCCAATCTATTTCTTTACTTGATTCGCCGTTAGTTAATTCTATTTTAGATTTACTGTCTAAATCCAATTTTTTCTCATTGTTAGTTATTTTGTTTCTATTATACCTGTTGTCTTTATCTACATTATTTTCTCTGTTTGCTCTATCATTTTTATTCGAATTTTCATTAATTTCAGAATTACAATCTTTATTGGAATTTATTTCATTGTTACCATCAGTATTTTTGTGACTTTCATCAGAGTCGTTACAATACTCGCCTATTTGCTGGTCGAGAGCTTCCATTAATTTCATATCGTCTAATTCTGTATCACTACTTTTACTTTCAATGTCTCCATCTACTGGTTTATTTGATTCACCATTACTTTTTTCTATATTTGAATTATCGTGTTCATAATTATTACAATAAATATTATTCATTGGACTAACATTATTAGTTTCATTTTCATTGCGCTCCTTTTTGTCTTTTACTTTATTTGGGATGGGGTCATTAATTGATTTAACATATGTATTTAAATTTGTACCATTTTCTTTATTTGTGCTTTTATCACCTACAATATTCTCATTAGATTTATTATTAAGGTCAGTTGAATCTAAATCTTTATTTTCCGTACGATTTTCTTCTTCTGGAATAACTGGAACTAGAATTTCACTATTTCTATTTTCTTTCGAAGCTTCATTATCAATATTTGAATTATTTTTTACATTTTCTTGTGTAACATCACTAGTCACTTCTTTAGAAGTAGTTAAACTATTATTAGTGGAACATTCAGGATCAATTGACTCTTGATTATTTGAGATAATTAGGACGTTATTTTCATTTATAGTATTATTTCCTGAGGTCGTGTCATCATTATCAAATTCTACATTGTCTATTTCTTTATTTACTGGTCTAGTACTACTCGATGAATCACTCAATTCCATTACATTACTATTATCAGTCCTATTATTCACTGGTAAATTATTTCTTGCTTCATTAGATTTAGATACATCGTAATTTTCTGACGTATTTGATTTCTTATTGGATGTTTTATTTAATTCTAAATCATTGTTTACATTATTTGTACCTACATCGTTACTAACCTTATCATTATTAACAGTAGATTCATTTACATTATCTTTATTCTGTCCGATATCAGTCAGTAATGAATCTATAATACTAAAACTATCTACACTATCCTCTGTATCATACCCAACACTATCATTCTTATTAACACTGACACCTACACTTTCATCACACTTCTCCATTTTAATTCTTCTCCGTTTCCTCGGCACTTTGCCTAGGAGTTTCAATGAGAATAATGTCTTTAATGATAATGTTGATAGCATATCGACTTCCTTCTTCGAATTGTTGGTACTATCGCTGTCACTGTCGCACGTATCTGAATCCCAATGTATGTACTCTTCTGAGCAGAGTTCGTTCCGGACTTCTTCTACTATGGCAACCATACGATCCTGGTAGAGTGGTTCAGTCTTGATCCGTAAATATACGCGGTATGGGTAGACACAGGAATCGTCGAGACCGTAGTCCTGAAAAAACATTTTACATTTTTACAACTTGTGTCATTACAATTTTTTATACTACGATGGTGGTAAAGCTTACTGACCATTTGATGGTAAATCGTAGCCTATGGACGTCTTTATTAGTTCTCTATTTTGTCGTTTTGTACGGATCTGTGTAGTTTTTTCGTACTCTAATGATGTTGGCCGCTGATGGCCTTTACAGCTTCACTGGGCGTTAGGGGGCGAGTGAAGATGACACTCCAAAGCAAAGGAGGGACTTATGGAGCGGCTGAAGGCCAACTCCCGCCTGACGGATACGATGCCAGTCTAAGGGCACCGCTAGGGGCTCGATATAATATATGGGTATAAATAACGAGATGACTGCAACCCTGTTCGCAGTCATCTCGTTATTTATACCCATATATGAATGGAAGAAAAAAATATATTATGCCGACCACAAATGAATGGGATAAGGTAGAAGCAGATGATGATGATGATGATGATAATAACGATGATGATGACACAAATATATATATATATAATTAAAATAATAATAGTAATAAATATATATATAAAGTAAAATAAAATAAAAAGATCAATATGTATACATATATAAACTTCTGTGAACATTTACGCATGCCGTGGCAGCCAGTAATTAAGTCAACACTATATACTTGAACTTTCTGAAAGTGATAATAATTGTAACATCATAGTGTATGTCTTGTTGGTCCCTTAAATAAATAAATAAATAAATGTTGTATATGTTCTAAACAAAAGTATACTTACCATATCAACATCTGCCACATCGTAGTGACCAGCTGCCGAAAAACGTATTACGCCGACCCCAATAGAATGGGATAAGTAGATGATGATAATGGTGATGATGTAGATGATGACGATGATGATGTTCCAAACAAAAGTATACTTACCAAATCAACATCAGCCACATCATAGTGACCAGCGGCGTTCTTCACCAACAGTGAATCACAGCGGGAGACTCTGATCTGTGCGGGCAGTAAAGACCTCTGCACTTCAGGGTCCACCTTTATTTCATCTGCAACACACAGAAGGCAATATATAAAACATACTGTCCCTATTGTTGTAGAATAATACATGGTTAAATTATTATGCTGCAGTTCAAAAAGTATATATATACTAACTATCCCAGAAAACTTTGTTTTGCTATATACATTAAAATCGCTATTAAAAAATAGGGGTTGATGCTAGAAGGGTGAAAATTTAGGGTTATATGTATTTTTAATGCCACATTATAAATAAATATAAATAAAAAATTTTGGCCACAAAATAAAAATAATGTTAAGGGTGGACAACGCTTATCACTTAGGGGTATGAAAAATACATAGTGGCCGATTCTCAGACGTACTGTATATGCATATAAAATTTCATAAAAATCTGTCAAGCCGATTAAGAGGTGTATGGTAATTACCATACACATCTGAAACGGCTTGTTATCTAACAACTTGGTAACTAACATTGTGACACGAGAATTTTATATATAAGACTAGCTGTGACCGCGACTTCGTCCGCGTGTTCTAGTGACCTCGACCAAACAAAAATAAAATAAACGATTTTCCATACAAACTTCAATACCCTTTAGGTTAAATTTTTTACCCCCTCAAGGGTAACATTTTTACAAACTTTGAATGTCATATTTATTTGTATTTAATCAACAGCCTCAATAATAAGTTTCAAGCTTCAAGCTTCAAAAATGATGATTCCTTCATACAACCTTTCATCCCCTCTTTTAACCTCTTATCCTTTTTTGGCATTAAAAAGTAGCCTATGTCCTTCCTCAGTGTCTAGACTATCTGTGTAACAAATTTCATTTAAATCGGTTTAGTAATTTTGACGTCAAAGCGACACAGATAGAATTACTTTCGCATTAATCTTGTATATAAAATTCTCGTGTCACAGTTTTCGTTCCCATACTCCTCCGAAACGGGTTGACCGATTCTCATGAAATTTCGTGAGCGTATTAAGTAGGTCTGAGAATCGGCCAACATCTATTTTTCATCCCCCTAAATGTCAGGGGTAGTCCACCCCTAAATTGTTTTATTTTATTTTATGGCAAAACAACGTTTGCCGGGACAGCTAGTAATATTATTAAAACTAAGTGTTATTTTTCGGAAGTCCATGGTGTTAATGGATTTATATATTGTTTTTATCCCTGGACAATTTACACAACGTCAAATAGTCCCAAGCTAAGCAGAGCTTGTGTTATGGGTACTAGACAACTGATATAAATATATAGAAGACTTTTTATGTAAATACATAGAAATAATCAGACCGATACAAACAATCATATTCATTCATAAATACATTTTTTTTTATACTACTATGGTGGCAAGCATACGGCCCATCTGATGGTAGATGGTTACCGTAGCCTATGGACGCCTGAAGCACGAAGGTGTCACGTGCACGTTGCCGACCCTTAAGAAACCTTAATATACCCTTCTTGAAAAACCCCATGCTGTAGTCTCGTGAGAAAACTTCGGCAGGAAGTTCATTCTACAATCCAAGTGTACGCGGGAGGAAGCTCCTCTGAAACCGCACTGTCCGAGACCACTTAGGTTCCAGCGTGTGGGAATGAATTCCCTGTCGATGGCGAGTGGTGCGATGGTGAAAGGTGGCCGTAGGCATCATGTCGAACAATTCCTCAGAACACAGTCCGTTGTATAATCGGTAGAACACACAGCGATGCGAAGTCTCGCTTCAAACTAAGTGGCTCGATACCGCCAGAGAGATTGGGATCATCGACAATTCTCATAACACGTCTCTGAACCGAGTCAAAAGGACCGAGCTGATATCCAGGTGCTCCCGCCCAAAGATGAGAGCAGTACTCAATGTGCGGCCGAACTTGAGACTTATGTTTGCCGTGTGAGGAATCGAACCCGCGACCATCGGAAGTAAGGCGGTGTGTTAAACATCTAAACCACTAGACCACCGATGCCGGTACATTTAATTAACTTTTCTTTATCCATCCATATACATATCTTACTTTTCTTTTTAGAACAACACATTGTAATATATACTTATGAATACAAATGTTTGAACCGTGAGAGGAATCGAACCGTCGACCATCAGAAAACAATGTGCTAAACTGCTAGACCATCGAGGCCGTCTATTTATAATATTAGCATTGATCATAGTACGTACTGGATCGGTTGAACGTGCCATGGTAAGTAAGGCAGTGCGCTAAACCTAAAGGTCAAATTTCATTACTGTTAAAGCCAACAACTTTGAAGTGGCAATGGGCAGGGCACATAGCTCGTAGGACAGATGGCCGTTGGGGCAGTAAAGTCCTCGAGTGGCGACCACGGACCGGAAGACGCAGCGTGGGAAGGCCTCCAGCAAGGTGGACCGACGATCTGGTCAAGATCGCTGGAAGGCATTGGATGCGAGCAGCGCAGGACCGATCGTCGTGGAGATCTTTGGGGGAGGCCTATGTCCAACAGTGGACGTCTTCCGGGCTGTGATGATGATGATGATGATGATGATGATGATGATGATGATAAAGCCAACATTGTAGCCGTAGTTTTTGCTAATTGTGTTGAACAGGCGTTATAATTTTTATTATTTTACTAGCTGATCCCGCACACTACGTTCCGCCTCAGAATAAATTTCTGAATGCACCCCGTTTGACAGTTTGTATGGGAAAATAAAATTGTTGTTTTTAGTATTCTCCATGCAATTTCTTCATATTTTATCACCGTTTAAGCCTTCCCTGGCCTTTAATGAATATTTCAAGACTAAAATCAGCCAAATCGGTTCAGCCGTTCTCGAGTTATAGCGAGACTAACGAATAGCAATTCATTTTTATATATATAGATACCTTCAAGTTGTCGATATTATTATCTACTTTCACAACTGTTTCTAATTGTTCCACGGATAGTTTCTGTTCTAAATTTATTATTTGTAAAAATTAAAAGACAAAATTAAATGTACTGTTGAACTGTGCATCAGTGTCCACTACGAGACAATTACCATTCATATATAACAAGCTTACCTTTCTTTTTCGAATAACACGTTGTAACATGTAGTTTCAATGTTTTCGGCGACGCGTACACTCGCCCGCACCTCGTACATGTGGCTGTAACAAAATCGAGCATTTTTTATTTATTTATTTTATTTATTTACTTAATACAGAAAACATGTGTTAGTACACATGACACATTTACTAAAGAAACGATGATATTTACAGAAGTATAAAACTGTGTTGCGAATATCGACGCCCTCCACATATATATAATTCCAAACCCTAAAAAAAAAATACATGCAATGTCGTTACCAATCACGTATTGTCTAATAAAATTTACAAAATATTTAAATTTACCAAAAACAAAGAAAATTTAACTTATAAACAAAAAGAAAGAATGTACAAAACAAAAAGAACCTATGCCTGTATTTGATATGTATATATGTAAGCATTATGCGTATGTAGCATGTTTATTATTTAGTAGTTATATAATAATAATATATATAATAATAATAATAATTAACAAGGACAATTCACACAGCGCCATCTAGACCCAAGTAAAGCTAGCTAAAGCTTGTGTTATGGGTACTAGATAACTGACACATATACATAGACATTTTTTTTTGTAAATACATACATATTATACATAGAAAACACCCAGACCGATACAAACAATTGTACTCATGAGTACACATGTTTGTGCCGTGCGAGGAATCGAACCCGCGACCATCGGACGTAAAGCGGTGTGCTAGACCGCTAGACCAGCGAGGTCGTTATATATATCATTTTCTATTTAGTTTACTTTTCATTATATATCCTTATCTAGCTATCTAGCGTATATTGAATGCGTCTATATAATTTAGCTCTTAGGCATACATAGTGTTGGATTACAATCCAGTTCTGTACCGAACTACACGCTCCTAATTATATTATTATATTGACTGTAATCTGTTTTGTATGCTAATAAAATAAATAAATAAATAAATAAATTTACAACCACTATTTTTACAGCTTCGCCTGTGTTATGGAGTAGAAAACAAGATCACAAACCCGATGGTAGAAAATAGATGAAGAAATCGCTTTAGCGATAAGACCGCCTTTTGTGCCTAGCCTACCTTTCTGTACATTATGAATATTGTTTTTTCTTTGGATTGTATTTAAGGTGCAATAAAGAGTTATAAATAAATAAAAATAAAATGGTAAGTGGTAACAATTGCCTATATCTAAGTATACAATTACATTTGTATTCATAGGAATTATTGTTTGTTTCGGTCTGGGTGTTTTCAATTATACATATATAGCTGAAAATCAGTGTTTTGCTCCTTGAGTGATTCTCTATACTGAGCTGTGTACCAGTTTTGTATTGCTGTAGCACACACGTGCAGGTTTACCCTTATTGAATTGTTATATTATAGGTACTTGTCATGTGATGTTATAATTAAGCCTATATGTGTGTACTAAGATACAAATAAAAACTATTATCTATCTATCTATCTATCATATACTAGTTTTTACCCGCGGCATCGCTTACATTGAATCTTTAATTTACAGAAAAAAATGTACAGACCTATTTGTTTTAATGTATGTATTTGTATCAGTTGTCTAGTACCTCTAACACTAGTTAGTAATGTGGACTCATGACCCCATTACTACTTATGTACCATGTCAGGTTGACCTCCACGCGGTTCCCCCTGGAAACCATCGTATAAAATTTCTGGTGAATTTGTCACGATGTGCTAACTGACCTGACCTCATGCTCATCTTATCATCCTCCACTGGTGCCCCGCCAGCGTAAACCGTTAGCGCAGGCGGTTGCACCATTCCATTATCACCCATAAAAATAAAAAACACAAGCTGTTAGCTTGGGACTAGATGGCGCTGTGTTAATTGTTCTGAAATATATAAAATATACCACCACCGGCACCAATCTAAGCAGAGCTTGTGTAATGGGTATTAGACAACTGATATAAATATTTAGATACATTTTCTGTATATACATACACCTAGACCTATACAAACAATCATACTTATGAATACAAATATTTGTACCGTGCGAGGAATCGAACCCGAGACCATCAGAAGACAATGTGCTAAACCGCTAGACCTTCGAGGCCGTCTATTTATAATATTAGCAGTAACGGTAGGGAAAAAATAAAATTATAATGTAAAAATTTGACGTTCATAAGCGGCTAAAATGTCCAACATGAATAAATGATTTTTGAATTTGAATTTGATCATAGTACGTACTGGATCGGTTGAACGTGCCATGGCATCGGTGACGGCGGTGCAGGTTCTTTGTTGCAAACGACTGGCCGCATCGCGCACACTTCAAGTCGGGCACAACGTCGAACTGCAAGCACTTCTTGTACTCCAAATGTCTGAAAACATATTATTATATCGTGAAATAACTGTATATCAGCAGCCGACGATGGGGCAGTCATTGTAAAAACGAAAACAAACGAGCTGTGTACCAGCGGCCTAACAATGGGACAGTCAATGTAAAATTGAAAACAAATGTATTGAATTGTAAATGACATGTATACCAGCGGCCTAACGATAATATAGTAATTTTAAAAAGAAAACCTACCATTGCATCTTGAACGAACTGTGTACCAGCGGCCTAATAGGACAGTCATTAACAGACAGTAACAAGTAAATTATTTAAAAGAGCAACACACAAGTTTCTTGCTCATTCTTCTTGTGATCAGACAGCTTTCCGAATGAGCGGTAGATTGAAAAAATATGTGATGACTATTCAAAAGTGCTTAAATTAAGTTTATTTGAATAAATGATTTTCTATTCTATTCTATTCATTTATATTATTGACTGTCTCTCCGGTAATTTCCTTTACCTGCGATAATTGGAAGAAAATTCGCGTGCTGAACCGTTATTTTTTTTTTATCGGCCTACTGTAATGCTATTGGCCGTAGCTGGCCTTTACAGCTTCACCGGACGATAGTGGGCGAGTGCAGATGGCACTCCAAACTAAAGGAAGGACTTATGGAGCGGCTGAAGGCCAACTCCAAGACCGATCGTCGTGGAGATCTTTGGGGGAGGCCTATGTCCAGTAGTGGACGTCTTCCGGGCTGCGATGATGATGATGATGATGATGAAGGCCAACTCCCGCCTGACGGATACGACTTTAGTCTGAGGGCACCACTAGGAGTTCGAACCTCGGCTCAGGCCGTCGTAATTTCGATCCTCGTTTGAATTGGACGGGGGATCGAACCGTTAGACCACTGGAGCTGTTAATATGAAATATACTTACTCATTATAACTATATATAGTTTTATATTTGGAAGAGCAGCGGCGACATGTGTAGCGGAGACTGGCCGAGTGCCGCTTCTGATGGGTCGCAGCTTCCTCGGCGGTCGAGAACCAAGCACAGCAGGGGTCGCACGCTAGTCTGTACCACACAATAACAACTCAGTTATTGAAATGTTAATAGAAACATTATGCAGAGGAACCATGGAGTTGAGCTAATAATATTGTTAAGAAATTTCAAAATAGTCACCATCTACTTCCTTATCCCATACATTTGTGGTCGTCGTAATGTTTTTCTCTCCATTTAGCCTTCTCCTGACTAATCTAAATATATATAACTCAAAGGTGACTGACATAGTGATCTATCAACGCACAGCCCAAACCACTGGACGGATCGGGCTGAAATTTGGCATGCAGGCAGATGTTATGACGTAGGCATCCGCTAAGAAAGGATTTTGATTAATTCTACCCCCAAGGGGATAAAATAGGGGATGATAGTTTGTATGAATCTTTGTCAATTTTAAACCGGTCGGGCTGAGACTTTGCATGCATAAAGCTACTATGACGTAGACATCCTCTAAGAAAGAATTTTGATAAATTCCACCCCTAAGGGGATAAATTAACGCGTGCGAAGCCGCGTGCAACAGCTAGTATATATACATATACACATACATAAGAGTTATAAGTTAAACACTCACTTGGGGTCCGTAAAGGATACCACATGCACCTTCATATGTGCGGACACTCCCTGCGAAGAACGGAACGTGTCCCCGCACACCGCGCACGAGTACTGAGGGGGCGCGGGGGGCGGCGGCGGCGCGGGGGACGGGGGGGCTCGCTTCGGCCTCGCCGGATGCGCCGCTTGCTTCTGCTTCGATGACGGTAATGATATTCTGAAAACAAAAAAAAAATCAGGACTATTCACAGCGCCATCTAGACCCAAGTTAAGCTAGATAAAGGGCACTAGATAACTGATATAAATACATCGATTTTTTTTCGTAAACACATACATATTATACATAGAAAAAACACATACCGATACAAACAATCATACTCATGAATACAAATGTTTGCGCCGTGCGAGGAATCGAACCCGCGACCATCGGAAGTAAGGCGGTGTGCTAAACCGCTGGACCACCGAGGCCGTCAATATAAAGATATTTTCAGTGGTATAAATTTTAAACATTTTATGCTCATGTGTAATAAGAAATTTGGTTTTTATGTTCTACGGCATAAGGTAGATATTATTTATAAATGAAATACGCAACTAACTTGACTTTTTTAACTGGGACCTCCAACTTTATGACATCGACGTCGCGGCTGCGTTTGTTCCGGGGCACCAGCAGACTGTCTTCGTCGTCCATCTACAAATAAAATAAATTATAAAAAAAGGAAGAAATGAAAAGAAGAAATTCAAAATTCAGTTTCTTGCCAGTTCTCAATTGAATCTGTATACTGAACTGGACGGTAATTTATTATAATATAAAAAAATTAACGTTCATAAGCGTCTAAAATGTCCTATGTAAGTTGGACAACATTCTCCGTAATCAGTTTCTCATTCTAGATAGTTGTTCGTGTAGAGCCAGACTATAAAGTCAGCCAAGCTCCTCACAAAAGCTCAGAAGTCTTGTGTCTTCACAAGCTTCACGGAGCTAAAATGAATGAATAAATGATTTTTTTTTTTTAATTGGAATATATTAATTTACCACAGGGGTGAGCCACATTTTTTAAAAGCAGAAGAAACGCCACTACACATCATATGTGGTTGTTCGTTTATGCATGAGTGGGCGCTCACAAAATTTCATGAGAATCAGTCAAGCCGTTTCGGAGGAGTATGGGAACGAAAACTGTGACACGAGAATTTTATATATAAGATAATAAACATAGTGAAACATAACTAGCCCTATGAAAAGTTCTGCTGTATCAAATCGCAGCTGAAGTCAATATGTTAATAAGAATATGTATATATGTATATTCGATGCGCGTCTATCGAAAGGAACGGGGAATTTCTGGTCGCTTGTTTTTGGTCGGTGTATTTTTTTAGTTGAGTAATATAATTAGGCAGGTCCCTAAGTAGATTTAGCCCAGGGCCCCACAAATTCATAATCCGCCCCTGATATTATAATTACTAGTTACTATAGTTAGTATATAATAATAGTTAGTACAGTACTTAAATATTCCAAACTGTAGAATAAACGCCACTACACATCCTATGTGGTTGTAGCTCACTCATGCATTAACGAAATATCTCCTTTGGAAAGTATACACTCTATCCTGAGGAGATAAAAACCATCGCTCTTAAGAATATCCTTCAATTCTTGTCCCTCACCTGACCTTATTATTTTTAAATTACTTACCAATGTAATATTGGTTAAATAGCTACTCGGCCCGGCTTCACACGGGTGTACATGTAATATATATATTCTAATCTCTGAAATAGCTGGACCGATTTTGACGGGACTTTTTTTGGCAAGTAGCTGATGTAATAAGGAGTAACTTACGCTACTGTTATTTTAGAAAAATAAAATAAAATTTCACGCGGACGAAGTCGCTGGGGCCAGCTAGTCTATAGATATACCGAGATTTAATGTTTAAGTTGCTATTATGTTGTTGACAAAATTTTACTGTAATGTTACTATTACGTTATCCTACACAATTTGTATTATTTTGGATGAATAAATAAAATAAATAAAAAATAAAAATATATAAACCTTCCTCTTGAATCACTCTATCTATTAAAAAAAACCGCTTCAAAATCCGTTGTGTAATTTTAAAGATTTAAGCATATATAGGGACGGACAGACGGCGACAGTGACTTTGTTTTATACTGTAATGATTTTGTACCTAGTTGAACTGAACCCTGTATTGAGCTAAAGTTTCTGTAATTAAACATTTCTGATTCAGGGTCGTTCAAGTATTAGGTAAGATTTATTACAATTATTTACCCCCATCCCCCTTGACAGCAAAAGTAAGCAAAGCTCTTACCTCTCTCCATGATTATGTAAACATTTTTCAATTAATGTATTGTTATTTTAGCAAAGACTGTGAGTGTTGCCATTCGTGTCATCATCATCATCATTGCCTTGTCTTTATCCCATTATTTGTGGTCGGTACAGTATGTCATTCTCTTCCACTGCTCTCTATCAGTCGTCATATCTAAACATACTCTTCTTTTATTCATATCATCTTTCACACAATCCATCCATCTTTTCTTAGGGCGTCCCCTCCCTTTACATCCATCCACATTCATATTATACACTTTCCATAAGACATGGTCCTCATTCCTCCGCATAACATGCCCATACCATCTAAAAAAGTAAATAACTGTCGATGACGTAATCATCATCTACAATCCCCCACCCCCCATGTCATCCAAAATAAGCAAAGCAAAGACCCCAACACCCCCCCATAGTGCTTACGTAATACTTGAACAGCCCTTCCTGTGACACAAGTCCTGTTCTTAGTGCAGCGATTTCTGTTAAAATATTTTGTGTATAACCATATGGTTAATATATATTAATATATATTATTAATATAATAATTTACTTATTTTTACACATTCATATATATATATGTAATTTATTATAAGTAAATTAATATATTTATTTATATTTACATTTTATTCAAATTCAAATTCAAATTAAAAAATAATTTATTCACGTAGGATATTTTAACCGCTTTTGAACGTCAATGTTTTTATATTATATTTTTTTCCTACCGTCCAGTTCAGTATATAGATCCAATTGAGAAGAACTGGCAAGGAAATCAATTGTATTACTTTTTTTTTTTTTAAATCCATTTTATTTACAATGTATATTTATATATGTCTATGTCATTAAATGAAAATCCCGAACATGAAAACTATTGCCATGCACGCTCGTCATTCATGTAATCGTTTAGTGAGTAATAGGCTTTGCTCAGTAAATATGATTTAACTGATGTTGTGAATTTATTTAAGGGTAATTCTAATATATCCTTTGGTATCTTATTGTAAATTTTTATACCTATTCCCATAAAAGACCTATTGAAAATTATATATAATTATTATAAATAAACTATTTACATAAATTACCAATTCCTCCCTTTTCTTCAATATAGACTTAGGTGCTGCTTTACTGTCCTTATATGTTTTGACGACCTTCGTTACTTTGCTATCTTTTGCCTTATCTTTATTTGCTTTATTATCTTTGGATGGTTTACTGTCTTTTGATTTGCTATCTTTTTGTACTTGTTGCTGAAAAGAAATGAAAAATATTAGTAATTGAGGGGTCGATTTAGTACACTTTACTTCCGATGTTCGCGGGTTCGATTCCTCGCACGGCACAAACATTTGTATTCATGAGTATGATTGTTTGTATCGGTCTGGTTGTTTTCTGTGCATAGTATGTATTTACGAAAAAAAATCTATGTATTTGTATCAGTTGTCTAGTACCCATAACACATGCTTTAGTTACCTTAACTTGGGTCTAGATGGCGCTGTGTAAATTGTCCTGAGATTATTATTATTAATAATGTGGATTAATAGTTTCATAACAGTAAACATATATACATATTGTATAACATAATAATACGACCAAACGTCATAGTATAGAAAAAAAATGTATTGAGAAGTGCAGAAATAAAAGTTTCTTTGTCTTTATTTATCACTAGCTGTACCCGCGACTTCGTCCGCGTAGAATTTAACTTTATTTTTCTAAAATAAAAGCCTAAGTCTCTTTATTACATCTGCTACCTGCCAAAAAAAGTCCCGTCAAAATCGATTCAGTCATTTCAGAGTTTACCCGGAACAAACAGACAGACAGATAGACAAAAATTGAAAAAAATATATATTATTAATTTTAATTATTATTAATTTGTGTATGTACCATATTTATATTCATATGCATGTAATAAAAAACGGCTATTTCAACATTACAGTTACTACAGTTTTATTTATGTGTATAGATTGGGGTTTAAAATGTTGGGGTACTTGATACGACACGACGAACTAATTAACAACATTATAGAAGGAAAAATAGATGGAAAGAGAGGAAGGGGAAGACCGAGACACAGCTATATCAAGCAGGTTAAAGAACAAGTTGGAGTCGTGTCGTATCAACAGCTAAAAGGACTGATGGAAGATCGTGGAAGGTGGCGGGAGCTGGATCGACAAGAGCACAGCTCTTAAATTATGAATGAATGAATAGAGTTACATGGAGTTACACGGGAGTGTTAGTAATAGAGTTCTCTTCTAATAATTTTAATAGACAGCTCTTAAATTATGAATGAATGAATAGATTATTATTATATACCTTTAAATTACTCAGGGTCATGTTCTCTTCTCTCTGGCTGCGGATTCGAGGTGTGCTGGGCGGTGGAGACGCAGCTTTGGAGTTCCTGGTCGTTCTGATTGGTTGCTTTTCAATGGTTTCACTCGAGCGTGATTCCCTGCTGTTCTCCTTCTGCAGAATCATAAAGGTGGAGTTTCAAGTAGAGATTATGTATTTCTTTTTCATCATCATCTGCTTCTTCCTTATCCCATTTATTTGTGGTCGTCGTAATATTTTTCTCTTCCATTCATCCCTGTTCGCAGTCATCTCGTTATTTACTTCCTTTCTTACCATATCATCTTTCACACAGTCCATCCATCTCTTTTTCGGTCTTCTCTCTGCCCTTATAACCATCCACATTCATATGTCGCGAAGTAAGGACACTTCGCGACTTCGTCCGGGTGGAATTTAACAAAAAAAGTTAATTAGAGAACTGTTCTAAAATAAAGTAGCCTAAGTTACTCCTTATTATATCAGTTACCTACCAATAAAAGTCCAAAATTGATTCTGCCATTTCAGAGATTAGCCGGAACAAACAGACAGACAGACTGACAAAAATTGTAAATGTTATTTTGGTGTATGTACCGTATTTTACCGTATTTACTACTTACATATATATATATTCACATGCATGTAGTAAAAAACGGTTATTTTAATATTACAAACAGATACTCCAATTTTATTTATATGTATAGATGTATAGATATCATATTCATATATGTATATATATTCTCGGTATCTCAATGAAGGCTTAGGTGGTATATCGGTTTAGCACATTTCTGTACGACAGTCACGGGTTTGATTCCACGCACGGTACAAATATTTATTTATTTATTCTTTGCACACAAAATTGTATACATGGCGGACTTAATGCCTGATGGGATTCTCTACCAGTCAACCAAAAACAAATATGTAGAGTAGGATGTTTTTATCAGGGATGTTAGGGAGCTCCGTAACCGTAACCGAATCCGAAATGAAAGTTACGGATAATATCGGATAGGGACGGAGCCTAATTGAGACACGTTATGTAACCATTTTATTAGCTATTTGTATTTTACTTTTGAAATTCCTTAAAAAATTAATATCCGTAACCGAAATTATCCGAAACTAACGGATAATCCGAAATAATTTCATATCCGCATCCATAATCGTATCCGGTATAATAATCATTCCTATATCGGAAACCTATCCGTATCCGAAATTTTATATCCATAACATCCTCGGTTTTTATCAGTCTGAGTGTTTTCTATGTATATAAAGTACGTACTTAAAAAAAAATAAGGCTCTTGCATTTATATCAGTTGTCTAGTACCTATAACACAAGCTCTACTTAGCTTGGGACAAGATGGCGCTGTGTGAATTGTCCTGAGATATTATATTTATATTGTACTGTAGTAGTTTCTTACCTTTAAGCTACTTAAGGTCATCTCATCTTCTCTTCTGCTTCGACTTGGAGGTGGACTTGGTGAAGGTTTGGAGGGCCTGGTCATCTTGAAGGTAGTCTGACTTGCTCGAGATACTCGGGAATTATTTTCTACCTGCAACTTTTTATGACAGTCTCGTTGGTCTAACAGTTTAGCACACCGCTTACTTCTGAAGGTTGCGGGTTCGATTCCTTGCACAATACAAACATCATTCATAAGTATGACTGTTTGTCTGTGTCCCAGATACTGTTCTATTTATAACAGTTGTATAGTATCCACAACACAAGGTTGATTAAAATGATCTTAATGTAAATAATAACACAAGCTTTGGCTAGCTTAACTTGGGTCTAGATGGCGCTGTGTGAATTGTCCTGAGATTATTATTAATAATGTGGATTAATAGCTTCATAATAGTAAAAAGATAAATATATTGTATAGTATAATAATATGACCGAACATCATGTTTTTTTTTGGATTACTCTGTTGGCCGCAGCTGGCCTTTACAGCTTCACCGGACGTTAGGGGACTAGTGCAGATGGCACTCCAAACCCGCGGAAGGACTTATGGAGCGGCTGAAGGCCAACTCCAGCCTGCCAGATACGACTTATTTTGAGGGCACCACTACGGGTTCGAACCTCGGCTCAGGCCGTCGTAATTTCGATCCCCGTTTGAATTGGACGGGGGATCGATCGGAAGGGACATCATATGTAAAAAAAAAATGTATTGAGAAGTGCAGAAATATTTATTACTACCTGTTCCCGTGACTTCGTCCTCGTGGAATTAAATTTATTTTATAGTTACAGTTAGTTAGTCTAGTACAATTTATAATGGTTTCAAGTTCAATACCTTGTATGGTACAAACATTTGTATTCGAAATTTATAATAATAACAGAATAGAATAGAATAGAAAATCATTTATTCAAATAAACTTAATTTAAGCACTTTTGAATAGTCATAACAATTTGTTTTTTATCTACCACTCGTTCGGAAAGCTGTCTCATCACAAGAAGAACGAGCAAGAAACTTGTGTGTTGCTCTTTTAAATAATCCTTGTAAGTTTACATTTACAAGTCGAAACGTGTGAATACAAACTACCAACAAGCACTAATTTTTTGGGTTATAATGGTTAAACATTAGTGTGAAAGTTTGTATCAGTCTTGAGTTTTTCTATATGCAATATGTCATAGATTAAATAGAAAATAGACATTTTTCAAAATCAGAAGCTGGATTACCTCTTTTTATATTAGTAAGTCAATTAAATTAACCACGCCGTCTTAATCATTATCTAAATACTTTTAAAATGATATATAATACTTCTGTGTCAATTTAATAATTAAAGGTTAAACGAATTTAAATAAATTAAAAAACTTTAAATGCTTGTTTTGTAAAAATTGTACATTTTGTATACTGCCATTTTTCTATTTGATCTACAACATATAAATTTATGTATTTAAGTAAATATTACAAATGTATCAGTTTTCTAGTGCCCATAACACAAGGTCTGCTTATCTTGGGACTAGATGGCGCTGTGTGAATTGTCCTGAGATTACTATCCGTCTTAGTGCCAATGCGTGCGATCGCGCGCCTGCGCGTTTTATCTATTCTCACGCGTCAGTGTTTTTGAGATGCGGCCGCTATTTTGAAAATTGATACATTTTTACAAAAGTTACACATTATTTTCCCTTACTCCAAAATTTCACAAAAAAGAGGGTAATTATTCTTGGCATTTTTCATATATATTGCGAAAAAATGTATGGCACTAAGACGGTTAATATATCAGTTGTCTAGTACCCATAATACAAGCTCTGCTTATCTAGGGACTAGATGGCGCTGTGTGAATTGTCCAGGTTATTATTGTTAATCTTGTGAGTAACAGGGGAATAAATTTCATAATTTACTTACAGCTATCTTATTAGCAGGTTTCTGTAATGGCAACCCCAATCTCAACCTTGTATGTATGTTCGTCTGTTTGCACATCTCCATAAATTGGTAGAAATCATTCACTTTGTCCACGCACAGCTCGCAAATCAAGGGAGGCATTTTGTCATCGGGATTTATCTGGAAAATAAATTAATTTTACTAGTATTCTAAATGCAAAAATATGTGTCTATGGCTGTACTAGCAATGCCTGCGGTTTTATCTGCGTGAAATTTATAGCTTATATGTTTATTTAAATTATTAACTGGGTCTTAACACGAATAATTTTATGTCAAATGTAGTGCTGCAACCAAGTCGAAACGAGAGAGGTAAATACCTTTATTTGCCATAAAATTATTCGTGTTAAGACCTGGTTAATAATTTAAACAATGTATATTAAACACGAAAGTTTAAAATCAGCTTATATGTTATTCTGAAAAAGAAGACCACATCACTGGATGTGGTAATTTAATGATACATAATCTTATATATAAAATTTTTTGTCACAGTTTTTTAAGGCAAAACATACTCCTCCGAAACGGCTTGACCGCTTCTCATTAAAATTTTGTGAGCGTATTGAGTAGGTCTGAGAATAAGGAAAAAAATATCTATTTTTATATACCCCTAAATGTTAGGGGTAGTCAACCCATAATTTTTTTTTATTTTAAGGCAAAACAACTAGTGAAAACTATAAAAGACAATTGGCTGATCACAGATAGATAAGAAAATAAGGAAAAAAATACTATTCTCATATATAAGCTTGATTATGCCTCTACTTATTATACTATATATTATTTATATAAAAAAAAATCTATTAAAAAAGGCAACACACAAGTTTCTTGCTCATTCTTCTTGTGATTAAATCTGCATTTCGAATGAGTGGCAGAATCAAAATATGACTATTCAAAAGTGCTTGTAATGAGTTTATTTGAATAAAGATTATTTCTATTTCTAAATAATTACTGTAAAGTGTCATCAAAATCCATTCAGTTTTTAAGAGCTCCACCGACAAGAGCGTAGCTATAAAATTATGAATGAATGAATGAAAGTTTTTCATGAAAGAGTGACAAACATCCATTCATACTCACAAACGTTTTCATTTACAATATTAATATTATAACAGCAGTGCAGTACTTTTTGTTTTCAAGGACCCTCTTAATGACATAATAAAATTGATATGTAAAGCAAAAAGGTGACATGAAATTCAAGTAATTATAATAATCATATATATTTTTTTAAATGTAAACTTTAAAGTTAAAACCGAATTGTAAATTTTAGATACTAAGGACGCTGCTTAAAAACAATTGAAGATGTAGCAAGATACTAGAAAACTAGAACATGTTTTGAAAAAAAAATCAGGATTGTATAACTTTTGGAATAACTACACATCAATGGATACAGTTTTACAGCTGTTTTGTACTAATATATGTATATTTTAAATAAATAAATAGTAAAAATTGCGAAAAACGATATCTTTCGCCAAATATTCCATTTGTTTTGATATCCACATAACCTACTTTCAATATTCTTATATGTAACCATTAAACAACGTTTTAAATAAGTTTATATCAATTATGGGGGATAAATAATGATTATTTAATATTATTTTACCTCAATTTGTACACATTCTTGTATTTTTTGCTTTAATTCCATCCCATTTCCGTCCAAATCAACTACAGTTTGTATTATAGGCATTTTGTACCCCGCCCCAGCTCCGCACAGACGACATCCTCGATATATCTCGTATATTGTTTGTCTATCTAATTTAGATTTTGTATTTCGATCCATTTTTATAAATATATCATGTTTAAAATATTTTCTAACAAGAAAAGATGACGAAGGTTAGCTTAGTGATGTCATGACTCAGTCAGATTATCAAATATGTAGTATTGATTAATCGGTTTTGCTGTGTATGGTTACATATTTTTTTTAATGTACAGTGCTTCCAAATCATTTGCATTCGTTGCTGCTACAGGGCCTAATGATAGTTACATTACGAGAATAGAAGAATGTTCTGTAAAAAAATACCAATACCTCTGCATAAATATAGGCTTTGATTTTGGTAGCCATTCTTTAATTGTTTGGGTACTTACCAAAGGATATTGTGGCCGAATCGTGAATAACAATTTTTACAAAAAGTGAAACATTTGCATTTATTAAGCATATATTCCATTTAGATAAATTAATGATATTAGAGACTTCCGTACCTAATTATTATAATGTATACATGTAGTACTACGCCCAGTAGAAAATACACAAATAATTTGATATCTCTATATACTCGTATAAGTCTATAAAATATTGTCTTGAATGTCGAAAATATTATTTAGATGGAAATAAACCGAAGGCGATATGTTATTCTGCGCATAGACACTATACATACATGTACATTATATTAAAATTATACAAGAAATACGATAAAAACGTGAAGATACTTTTATTCTTTTGTAACAAACAAGATATTACCTACGTGTAGATGTAAATATCGACGCACGGGTGTGTGAACTCAAATGTAGAATAATTTTGATTTCAATCGGTTATAAATTTTTCTTATACATAAGCTGATAATAATATTATAAAAGGAAATGCAGGTGATAGAAACTGACAACAAAATAAATATTTTTTCCATAAATAACCGATGTAGAAATCGATAATGGTCCATGAAAAATAATAACAACCGATATTTTTTGCTCATGGGGACATCTCTAGTTATGTCATTAAGGAGTCCCGTTACTATACTTTCGTTTGTTGCACTTTAAAAAAATTGTTTTTATCTCAATTTTTGTTACTTTTTATTTTTTATTAACTTATATATTTATATCTTATATCTATCACTATTTTATATTATTGAAAATTTATATACATTTGCTACCTGGTAGTGCTGATAGTTCCTCCTTATACGCTGTCGGTGCACCTATGGAGAATGATAGCATGATCATGAAGTCAGGTCAATTAGTCGTTCGTGGTTTTATTATTAGGATTTTTTTTCAACTGCTGACATTTTTTTTTATTTATATTTTTTGGATTAAGTATAAGTTAACTGGTGCACCCGCTTACGCTAACGGTTTACGCTGGCGGGGCACCAGTTGAGGATAACAAAATGAGCATGAGGTCAGGTCAGTTAGCACATCGTGGTAAATTCACTATGAATTTATCATGATGGTTTCCAGGGGAACCGCGTGGGACCTCCACGGTTCTGATATTGCTGTTATATTGATATTGCTATTTCTGATATTGCTGTTCTAGTGATATTGCTATTTCTGGGACCTCCACGGTTCTGATATGGTACATTGCTAGCAATGGGGATATTAGTCCAAATAACTAACAAGTCCCATTTCGGGGGGAAAGCGTTTGTTAGTAATGTGGACTGTTGATTGTATTACTAACAGTGTCCCTTGTAATAATGTACAATGTACCATGCTGGCGATGATACAGGATCAGACAGTATACCGTACCAACTAGGGTTGCCAGTTTTTTTTTCAGCATATAAGGGGCAAATGTTTACATAGATAAAAAAATACAAGAATTTAGTTTTTTATCCAGGACAATTTAAAATACAATTATTTAATTTATTAATTGACATTACTATACAATAAGTGATTATATAAACGATGTTGAACTATAATTATTAGAAAACGTAATATATCGACAATACGAACTTGAAATAATTTTAACATTCGTAATGAATATATGACAGTTTTATAAAAATATTTTATTAATTTTTTGTATAAGACGTTACTTTAATTAAATTATATAATAATTATTAATTAAAGTGAGGGCTATATAATAATTCCATCTTTTATGTACTACGTTTATAATAAATAAATTTAATTTAATTTAATTTGAACAAAATTATATAGTGACATTTTTTTTTATATATTTTTCTGAGGTGCAAGTCAGTTTTAACATATTTTTATATATATTTATAAAAATCAATACAATTATATTCGTAACTATCTGCACCCGCGACTTCGTCCGCGTGGAATTTAACTTCATTTTCTAAAGTAAAAGTAGCCTAAGTTACTCCATGTTACATCAGCTACCTGTCAAAAAAAGTCCCGTTAAAATCGGTCCAGTCATTTCAGAGATTAGCCAGAACAAACAGACAGATAGACAAAAATTGTAAAGAATGTTATATTGGTGTATCGTATTTATATTTATATGCATGCAGTAAAAAACGGTTATTTCAATATTACAAACAGACACTCTAATTTTATTTATATAATAATAATAATAATAATAATAATAATCTCAGGACAATTCACACAGCGCCATCTAGACCCAAGTTAAGCTAGCTAAAGCTTGTGTTATGGGTCCTAGACAACTGATACAAATACATATATATTTCTTTTTTTCCTAAATACATACATATTATACATAGAAAATACCCAGACCGATACAAACAATCATACTCATGAATACAAATGTTTGTGCCGTGCGAGGAATCGAACCCGCGACCATCGGACGTAAAGCGGTATGCTAGACCGCTAGACCACCGAGGTCGTCGTATGTATAGATGTATAAATTAAAACCGTGATCAACTCGCTGTTTTTAAATTAGCGGTACTATGTAATATTATGTTATCTGTGGCGGTACGAACGTTGCGTGTCAGACGCGCGATTCTGTCCTTATTTTTTTAATACAATTCTCTTTTAACAGCCACATCATCTCGGACACATTTTTTTTATAACATTGTTTACTTATGGTTGTCAAAACAGTTGGATCTATATCTGTTTGCTAACTAGCATACGCGTCTATGCTTGTTAGCAAACATATATAGATATATATGTATATATTACATATATAGTAATTCACACAGCGCCATCTAGATCCAAGCTAAGCTAGCTAAAGCTTGTGTTATGGGTACTAGACAACTGATACAAATACATAGATTTTTTTGTAAATACATATATATTATACATAGAAAACACACAGATCGATATAAACAATCATATTCATGAATAGGTACAAATGTTTGTAGCGTGCCAGGAATCGAACCCGCGACCATCGGAAGTAGAGCGGCTAACTAAACCGCTGTACCACCGAGGTCGTCGTAGTGTTTTTTTATAAATGATAATAGAATGGTCCACCCGCGCTAACGGTTTACACTGGCGGGGCACCAGTGGAGGATGATAAGATGAGCGTGAGGTCAGGTCAGTTAGCCCATAGTGACAAATTCACCAGGAATTTATCACGATGGTTTCCAGGGGGAACCGCGTGGAGGTCAACCTGACATGGTACATTGCTAGTAATGGGGTCATGAGTCCACATTACTAACGATCCCCTCCCCCCTCCCCCCCCACCGTCGTAGTGTTAATACATTAGGTACATGTCTCGAGGTCACTTAGACTAAAAGCTCTAAATATTGTTGTCCCGTTATATTTACTGTTTTTGCGGAATATCTTCACGCTAAGATCTATGTTCCATGAGTTGAAGATATAAAATTTGACGACCTCGGTGGTCTAGTGGTGTAGCACACCGCCTTAATTCCGATAGTCGCGGGTTCGATTCCTCACACGGCACAAACATTTGTATTCATGAGTATGATTGTATATGTATGTATTTACAAAAATATATATGTATTTGTATCAGTTATCTAGTACCCATAACACAAGCTTTAACTAGCTTAACTTGGGTCTAGATGGCGCTGTATGATTATCCTGAGATTATTATTATTATGGTCATATGAAAATGGTCCAATTAGGTAAGCATGATAAAGATGTATGTATAAGATTTACCATATTACCCGTGCCTATATCTTTTTAAATCTCACTAAAAAAGTTAAGGGTCAAAGAGAAACTAGACCATTTGTAATAAATGTTATAATAAACGTGAATTATTTGTGTGTACAAAACGCGCATCTTTTGACTTTCGCCGTTTAGCGGAGACAGTTTATTGTCCTATGTAAGTAACTGTTCATTCGTTTACTTTACATACTTTAGTAAGGCGAAATCTGCGGCCGGAATAACACGTTTCGGTAGCACTGCACGCACTTTCTTTGCTTCCGAGAAAAAAGTTGCAAAAAAAATAAACACACTGTTTCGCGGTAATTGGTTTTTTAAAAATGGAATTCCTTATAAATTGTGTTAGTGATGTGTCACCGAATTAATAAGTTAACGATAAAGTGACTATTTTTTATTTATTAACTCAATTGTATTTAATATTTGTTGTGTTTTGGAGATTTTATATAGGTATATATTTTTATAATTTTTATTCTTTGTTATAATTATATAACATTAATATGATTGACTGATTTCTAGTTACTATACAAAACTAATTGACTATAAATAGTAGTATGTAGCCAGCTACATGCATAATGAGCAATGTTTAATACTTTTTTGGGGTCACTAAGTATACTTTAATGATTATTCAAGTGACCTTTACGTGAACATTACAGGTTATGAAGAAATCAAAGCATTTTGAAGTATATCAGTAGGATAAAAGTAATAAAATAGGGATTGATTATGTATTCAAATCAAATCAAATCAAATCAAAAATCACTTATTCATGTAGGATATTTTCACCGCTTATAAACGTCAAATTTTAATGTATTAAATTTTTTTCCCTACCGTCCAGTTCTGTACACAGATTCAATTGAGAAGAACTGGCAAGAAACTCAACTGATTTCTTTTTTTAAAAAGATAGTTTATATACATTGTGGTCGTATGTAGGTGTATACGTCCAATATTAAATGAACAACTATTGCCATGCTCCTCGTATTATATATAGTATGAATATAATAAAAAAAATAAACTACTTGGGAGTGTAAACATTATTTACTTAATTACAGAGCAAACAGTTCTCGAATGAGTGCGTAATATGGTTATTAGTGAATAAATGAATGAATATGTGTAGGTACTTCTTACACAGCTATACATACATTTTATTATTATATAGTATAAAACTTGTTTATTGACTTATTTTTTTTTTATACCACTTAGGTGGCAAACAAGCATACGGCCCATCTGATGGTAAACGGTTACCGTAGCCTATGGACGCCTGAAACACAAGGGGTGTCACATACGCGTTGCCGACCATTAAGAAACCTTAATATACCCTTCTTGAAAAACCCCATGCTGTAGTCTCTCGAGAAAACCTCGGCAGGTAGTTCATTCCACAATGTAAGTGTACGCGGGAGGAAGCTCCTCTGAAACCGCACTGTCCGAGACCACTTAGGTTCCAGCGTGTGGGGATGAATTCCCTGTCGATGGCGAGCGGTGCGATGGTGAAAATCTTCGTCTCATATTATATTATTATAATATGAGACGAAGACGATCTCGGTGGTTTAGTGGTCTAGCACACCGCTTTACGACCGATGGTCGTGGGTTCGATTCCTCGCACAGTGTTATGGGTACTAGATAAATGATACAAATACATAGATTATATTTTTTTTCGTAAATACATATTAAACATCAAGATCGATATAAACAATCACACTCATGAATACAAATGTTTGTGCCGTGCGGGGAAACGAACCCGCGAGCATTAAAATAAGTTGTCGTGCTAAACCACTAGACAACTGAAGCCGTCAAATTATTTGTTATCTGTTTTTTTATTTTGTTTACATTTTGCCTGACTTGATGAATCTTAATTTAGTTTGATTAAACAATATATAGGTAAGTTAGGTGATTTGTACTCACTGAAATGTAACGGGAAATCCGAAACGCTGAAATATGTTGATAACGTGAACGAATTGAGTTTTATATCACAACATTTTGCTTATATTTACTGCCTTATAAAGGAATATTTTTCGGACTACTTTAATATTGTTGGCCGCAGCTGACCTTTACAGCTTCACCGAACGATTTAGTTTACATACATTGTCATACATACTTTAGTTTTTTTTAAGTAATGTATGGGTGGCAAATATCCTCGATTTGTATGGATAGCTTTTTTTTCGGACTACTCTAATGCTGGCCGCAGCTGGCCTTTACAGCTTCACCGAACGATAGGGGGCGAGTCCAGATGGCACTCCAAACCAAGGAAAGGACTTATGGAGCGGCTGAAGGTCAACTCCCGTCTGACGGATACAACTTTAGTCTGAGGGCAGCGCTAGGGTTTCGAACTTCTGCTCAGGCCGTCGTAATTTCGATCCCCGTTCCAATTGGACGGGGGTTCGATGCGCAATCATAAACATAATGTCTTACTTTAACAGAATAACTAGTGGCGTACAAGTAAATATAATACAACAAACTCGCAGAGTCTGTACTCAAATTGCCAGAAAAAAAATTCAAATGTGTCATAAAATATTTTCTTTGTAAAAAAGCTTATTATAAAATTGAAGAATTTATAGAAATAGAAATAGAAAATCATTTATTCAAATAAACTTAATTTAAGCACTTTTGAATAGTCAACGTTTTTTTAAATCTACCGCTTATTCGGAAAGCTGTCTCATCACAAGAAGAATAAGCAAGAAACTTGTGTGTTGCTCTTTTAAACAATCCTTGTAAGTTCACATTTTACAAGTCGAAACGTGTGAATACAAACTACCAACCAGCACTAATTTATTTAGGCTCAAATATAAAAACACAATAAGATTAAATCAGTCGTAGTGATAAGAGCAGACCAGTCCCTACAAGCAGCACTCGTTCACGAGTATGACGGATGAGCCAGCCATCACTGCGCTCGACCACATTTTAGGGAGCCCAATGACCAATTATAAATGATAATAATGTTTTTGTAGAAAATATCTAACTTAAAATTAATAGCGCTGACAATGATATCTGATTTAACAGAGATTAAGTGCGTAGCGGTTTCTATGTTGATTGTCGCATGCCTAATCCTTGTTGTTAATTAAATATAAGTAAATCAATATTTATTTAAAAGAGCTACACACAAGTTTCTTGCTTGCTTGCTTGCTTGCTATTCTTCTGCTTATTCAGAATGCAGACGATGAGTCTGCATTCTGAATAAAAAAACTTGACTATTCAAAAGTGCTTATATTAAGTTTATTTGAATAAAGATTATTTCTATATCTATTTCAATAACGTAACTTATTTACTTGTACACCACATACCTGCAAATTACGGATATTTTAGACGGTTATGGGTTGTCCCTAGGTACTTTATTTTAAAAAATCAGACCAAGTTGCGGAAAATATTTAATGTTGATAGTTTTTTTATTTTTTATTCTTTATTGCACTATAAAAAGTGTACAAGAGGCGAGCTTAATGCCATATGGATTTCTCTACTAGCTAAGCTTTATATTACTACTAGCTACTCGTCCCGGCGTCGCACGGGTGTATATGTATTATATATATAAACCTTCCTCTTGAATCACTCTATCTATTAAAAAAATTGGCTTCAAAATCCGTTGCGTAGTTTTAAAGATTTAAGCATACATAGGGACGGACAGACAGCGACAGCGACTCTGTTTTATACCATGTAATGATATGATAGTATTGTTTTTTTTTCAGCCTCCATTTGTCACAGAAATCATTCGTAGCCGCTCATAATGATTGCAACTGTTCGGGTCGTATTTTAATCAGTATTTGTAATATCTTCATTACTATTTAATTATTCAGTACATTGTTTAATACGTACAATACTTTAAACCGATTGTTGAACGTTGTTGTATCGATTTTTAATCAATTTGTGTTTATATAACTAGCTGACCTCAAAACAATTTCAGGGATTTCTTTCAATCTTTTATGTAAGTTTCTGACATATTACATAACTATCTAAGAATCAGTTTGTCACTCTAAATATTAAAAGAAACCGCTTCAAAATCTGATACGTAGTTTTAAAGATTTAAGCATACATAGGGACGGACAGACAGCGACAGCGACTGTATACTACATTACTATGTAATGATATTCTACGTAAGAAATGAAGTGAACAATAAAAAACATTATGTTATATATTATGTATATTCCATAGCAAAAGAATTCAAAATTAAAAATATCTTTATTCATGTAGGTCTATTACAGACTCTTATGATATGTCAAATCTACCGTCAGTTCAGAATGACTTCGAGATGAGAAGAACTGACAAGAAACTCAGCTCGTATTGAACTTTGAAAATCTATTATACCTGTGCACGACACACCTCTTTGTATAATTATTTATGTATTTTGTCTATTATTTTACATCTTATACATAAAATTCTCGTGTCACAAACTCCTCCGAAACGGCTTGACTTGGCTTGTGAGCGTATTGAGTAGGTCTGAGAATCGGCCAACATCTATTTTTCATCCCCCTAAATGTTAGGGGTAGCAAAACAGTGTTTGCCGGGACAGCTAGTATTATATAAAAACATATATTTATTTATTTTTTTATTTAAATAACTTTAATGCACGTCATACATAGGTAAAAAGTACATATGGCGGACTTAACACCTAATGGCATTTTCTACCAGTCAACCATGAGTTGTGCAGAGATAAGTTGTTGGCGGTGCAAACAATAATATATTATTTTATAGAACATACATGAATAAATATATATATATACACATGTAACTACATAAATATTCCTACAAATATACACAAAAATACATATACATATACAAAAATATACCATACACACATAAATATATGACCAATAACCTGACAATGAAATAGTGATTACAGCCGACAGTGTAAGCATATTACAATAGATACAATATGATTCGCCTTGTAGTAGAAATGAAGAAACTTAATGCTAAAGAGAAAAATATATAAAAGATAATAAATAATAGTATACAAAATTATATGTCAAGATAATGTTTCCGCAATCTTCGCTTGAAAGAAATTTTACTCGTGGCAGTCCTGATGTCAAGGGGTAAGTCGTTCCAAAGTTTGATAGCCTGAACGGCGAAAGAATGATGGACAAAACCGGACAATATATGTCATTGTCATTCTGGTTCTGCTAACTATTATACTTTTGTACATAATATTATATTATTGCTTTCTAAAACCCGTGTTTGCATAATTATATCTATATATACCAATACCTAATTGTAGGGGCATTTCACTAAAAAGGTGGGGAAATGCCGATCTAAAATATGTACCTACTCATTTAAAAAATAATTTATTTAAAAGAGCAACACACAAGTTTCTTGCTCGTTCTTCTTGTAATGAGACAGCTTTCCGAATGAGCGGTAGATTAAAAAAAATGTGATGACTATTCAAAAGTGCTTCAATGTAAGTTTATTTTAATAAATGATTTTCTATTCTATTCTATTCTTTAAAAAACATATTAACTATCCGACCGACT